ATAAAATATAATTAATAAAACCTTAAGGAATTACCAGAAGCACATCTGTTCAAGGCAGCGTTATCATCCACTGAAAACATTAGAGTTTCCAAGATGGACAGCCAAAGTATATCATTTATAATGCATTACTCAGGTTAGACAGAATACAGTAACAGCAATATCCATTAAAAGTTCTATGTCCTAACAGGCTTTCTTTTCACGTTTTAAATGAGGAATAAAAAAAGTTCAGTACAGAAGTCATAAAAATAATAAAAACTATACTGCAGGATAGTCACCTTAGAAGCTCATACAACCTCTCTCCCAAACAGGGACAGTATATCTTAAGAGTTTAGTGTTAGAACGTATGTACTAGAATTTTGGACCATTCACCAAAACTACACTTGAAACAAGTATCTACCCAACCCACCACCCACACTGACATACGCAAGCACACACACACACACACACAAGAACAACCACACACAAGAACAAGCACACACAAGAACAAGCACACACACACAAGCACGCGCACACACGCAACAAGCGCACACACGCAACAAGCGCACACACACACGCAAGCGCGCACAGTTATTTATTAAAATGCAGTATCTTTTTTGACAACTTGAAATACTAAGCATATCAAATCAGAAGGTACAAAACAGCCTCAAAACACTAAAGCAATAGGATTTTTTGTTAAAAGGAATGCGTTCCCTGTGGATAAAGCAAATCCGTTAGTCAAGTAAAAATATAGAATCAAGAAGATCGGAGGCTCCTCAGATCGCTGTGTCTATCTGTAGGGAAAAAAAATTGTTAGAAACTTCATAACTGACACCAGCTCTCACCCTCCACGCTCTCAATTACTGGTAACACAATAAATCTGTTGGAACAAAAAGACTGAACATGCTAAGATGAAGAGATAAACCTGAACACAGAAGGTTCCCACTTCCCTGCTAACCCTCAACCCAGGCTTGAAGAAATATCATGCGGACAGTTTTTTTTTGTTTAAGAAGTCAGAGCAATTTGCAAAGTGCTCAGCACAGGGAGAGAAAGCCATCTGTACATTTCATATCGAGTCTCTCGAGAGGTCAGAGAGATTCCTGAATTGTTGAAATATTAAAAGGGGGAAATGACAGTGACTTGACACAGATCACTTCCCTGGATAAACTTTCATAGTCCACAAAATATACAGTCACTACACTTTACAGTATATCCTGTGAAGCGCTTTGAGATGTCTCAACAACGTGATAAGGCGCTATATCAAGTGCGAGGATTATTATTATTGTTGGATGTATTGTTCAAAAATAGCAAATAATTAGATAATATGCATTAATGGACAACTGTACCCGTATACAGATCAGTGAGCTCAGTCCTCTATAATGTTCACCCTTCAGAGTACAAATACTGCTATCCACAAATTGGCTCCCGCATTTGTCCACAAAACACAGTTACTGCACTTAACAGTAATGTCCTGTGAAGCGCTTTAGGACGTCCTCCCGACGTGAAAGGCGTTAAAACGAAATGTAAGGGTTATTAGTATGACTGATATATTTTCCTTCTTTAAATTTTTTTTTTTAAAAAAATCATTCTGTTACTGAGGTCAACAATACGTCTTTAAACTACAGTCAGTTAAGGAGAAACAGATTGCGTGTACAGTATTATTATTCTAACAGATTATTATTGTTATTATACATCTGTCTCCCTGCCTAATTGCAGCAACCCAAATTATCAAATGTGGCTGCATTGAAACACAGAGGAAATTGTGACCCAGTTACAGCTTTAGGAGTGTTTCAGCTGCATGTTGGATGGTTGAATGGCTTAAATCTGAAAACACATTCGGAATCATATAAATTGGGAGGTAATTTTGAAAGGGGCGGAGGGGAGGGGGAACGGGATCTGAAGGACAAGAATCAATATAACCTTTGGGTTCAAGTGGCCAACAGAGACACTTTTACTGATGGATTCATTTGCACGTTACATTTCCCTCCAATTCCCTCTGTGAAATTCCCCCTTGAAATAAGCAACTGGCTGACAAGTTTCTCCCCCGTAAACTGGGGCCGCCAATGTCAGTCTTTACTCAAAGGAAAGGTTGACGATTTTATTTGTGCAACGGGAATAAGCAAAAAAAAAAAAACATTATCTGAATCTACCGATGAGGAAAATTGTGCTGCAGATAAATCAGTTTACAAGTCAGTTTACAAAGCAAACTGTGTTTTTCTATCTTGTTTTTCTTTTAAAAAAAGAAAACTTAAAAGGTTTGAGGGCCTGACATCTTATAAAACATGATCTTTGCCAGCCTAACGAAAAATTTAAAGTGAAAAAAATGTACAAACGATATATTCCGAAATTAAAACATGAACTCCTTCCTGTCTTTGGCTTTGAGATTGAGAGCGCTGTGAAAAATCCACTAAATGCAGTCAATCCACTTTACGGTATATCCTGTTGGAAGCGCTTTGAGTCACTAAATCAAATGCGAGGATTAAACAAAACTATTCCAGGACTAACTAACTATTACACTGTTAAAGCACCAAGCGCAGTTTTCACAGGTTTTGCAAGGCTGTGGTTCACAATGCACTTTTTTTTTGTTGGAAGCCTGGGCCAAAAGCAGCAGGCACAAAACAGCAATGCAAGCTGACATTACAACACACAAATACTGATCCTTCCCAACTGCATTCTATAAAGAGCTCTGACAAAAGCTACGCAGAGATTCAACGTGAATCAGTTTGTTCATTAAGCACTCGCTTGCAGTGGCCAAAGATTTCAGCCCCAACCGAGTCGACAGTTCCGTATTTTTATAACAAAAAAAAACACTTACAAGAAATCCTTTGTTTTCTTAAATTTTAAATGACATGAAAACATGACATTAATACTAACTCCCCCCCCCCCCCCACCACCCACTCCCGTCCCCAAATGTCTAGCCCAAAGGAAAATCGGCTAAGAACTAATAATAAATTTAAAATAAATAAAATCGATTTTTTTAAAAAAAGACTTCAACTCCGCTGTGTAAACCAATGTAGTGCATCATTTTAAAACTGAAAAGGAAGGAACATCATTTGGTATCTCATATTTATAAATAGTTCTTTCAAGGCATAAAAACGATACCTAGAAATCTGATTTTTTTTCTGGGGCCAGTGAGGCGGGGAGAGAGGGAGAAAAGAAACATTCTAATTTTAAGAAAAGCTAATTATCACAAACAGCGCTCCAAATGTTAAAGACGATCGATGGAAAAGGGCATTTCTATCACGTACAACAAAGGAGAAAGTTAACTCACTTAAAAGATATTAACGTTTTATACCATTGAACAGTTTGAACACCTCAGCTCGATTCATATTGCACTATTTCATTACAACTAAATTTGAACACTATCTTCTCATATATAAATATAAATAAATATAACCAGAATTCCTACAAAGGCAGGGGGGAAAAAAAATCACAGAATATAGTTTTACAAAAATATATCACAGTGAGTAGGTGAAGCCAAAAAGGAACCAAATAAAGCTATCACACATCATAAACATAGCAAGACAAGCTTGAATGATGCTGTTTTTCGAAAGAGGCAGTGCAAACGCTATACCATACAGAACACATCAATGTACGTACGTAAGTACTCGCATGAAACAGTTTGGATATGAAATATACAGGGAGCTGATTTAATTCCAGCTAATTAAACAGGATATTTCAATCTGAAAGGCCAGATATTCACAGCCATTTTACGGGTTGCAGGATATGAAACTAAAAGGATACATGGAAGGATGCAAAGCCAAAAAAGTTCAAAAATACATATTTACTTTTAATACATTGCACTGGACCTTGTGACCCACCTGATTCTGCACAAATAAGGCTTTGTATAGAAATCTGACAGCCTAACTGGTTTACCAGCTTCCCTCCTAAATCTTAAGAGTCAGAAAATATAAAGGGGTGCACTTTTAACTTCTAGATTATAATTTTATACAACTGCCTACCCTAAAATATTAGCCCCTTAAATTTCAGCGAATTCCTTAATTTCCTGTCCATCTCGAATCACGGTTAAACAGCTCACACAGTTTAGCATAATTCAACAGTGAACTTTTAATCGTTTGGGTCTCACAGCTATAAATCTGCAGCTATTTTAAATGAATTCACCCCGTAGTAGATTTTAAACAGAAAAACAAATACAGGTTCATGAAGAGCGAGGGGACAAGGCTAGTGAAGGAGAGGGAAAAGCACTTGTTTCAAATTCTCAGCCCTCCCTCCCTTCCTTCCTAGTGCCTCTTACGTGCAGCATTTCAAAGTCTCTCCGGTAAATGCTCAACAGAACGGTTGACGGGAAACATTCACGAAGCAGTAAAAGCATGTCGCGAAGGAAAAGTGGCCGTGAGGATGCCTCCAAGGTGTACTGAGGCACAACCAGGTTACGATCAGGGCAATCGCTTCGCTTTCAAAAGTAGTCTAGCATCCGAGATGCTACCCTGTGTGAAAAGGGCACTGTATAAGTGTAGGTTGTTATCAAGTGGCTCTTGGAGGGCACCTCATTGAACTGCTTTCCGTTTCATAAAATGTCATTTCCCCAGTCCAGCAAAGCAGTCATTTCGGGGAAGCCTTGAAATATTGCACAAAGGAGATGTGAGGGAGCAAAGTACTTGACGCTGCCCTCAGCACGTGGCTGCTACCTAACTGAATATCTGGCAACAGTTCATCAACACATTAAGCATAACGCCATACCAGTCAACATGTAGGGCGACTGATTCAGAACCTACATGTGAATGAGAATTGCATACTTAATGCACCAAAGGTAAACTACCAGGAATAGCAGTGACTCTTGAGTTTATTCAAATGATTCTAGATTCATAACCTAAAGACATTGTGTACCCAGCAAATCACCATGCACCCACTACAGACACACAAGAGCCACGACTGCATCCAGAACAGAAACACAACGAAAAACAAAACATTTGGCTCCACATACTCACTAACGAGTTTGTAAAAATATTATACCTGAGTTTAAAAAAAAACGTTTCATGCAAATAAACAGGAGAAAATACATATGGAAGAACGGTGATCTTTATAAAAACGCATTAATACATTGGACGCATCGTTTCAGTTCAACAATCATTTCATCCAATAAACCTCGAAGTAAAATACATTGGAAAAACACAGGCCATTTCAGTAACTATCGGCTAACACAGTCTAAAAATGAAATGGACATCACGGGTGATGACGGGAGCATTTGAGTTCTATTTGCGTGTTGCTTTACAAATGCTTCTTTGCACTTTTAAGTGAAACCTGGTATTGTTCAGTGAACACCTCTGATGATGGTTGCAGCAAATCTTCCCCTACAGAACTAAAATTATTTCACACCTAGATTTTTGATGGACATGACTCTGCCTTCATTCCCTCCCTTTGGCAGCATAAGCATAGCCCATGTTACTTAGTCTCTGTATATTAACAAATGACTTCCACACAAAACCAGTGGACTCGAGAAAACGGCTCTTCATAATGTCATTTGAAATTACACGGCTATTATATATAATATATATATACATAGAGAGAGAAGCTACTATACACATTATATACACCCTCACACGTATATCCTCACTGTGGTATTAGACTTTTCTTTAAGTCGGTCAAAAATGTACCAAAAATGTACCAAATCTGGAGATAAAAGCCATCACTGCCAAGATATACTTAAGAGATTCAGTATTGAAATAAAAACTTAAGAAAGCCTCAATTTAGTGGTAACCCATTTCCAATCTTAGTACAGTTTAACAGTTTAATCTGCGGATATGTAATCGTGATCTTGTCAAACTGCCCTCATGTATCGATTGGTAGCACAGACTACCTTATTGTGTGCAAGTCAATCTTTATAAACTTCCCAACCGATGGCATGCTAAATGAATCTACTGCACGTCTTCAAACAGAAGTTTACGGGACCGATTATAGTACAATTAACACTCGTGTGATGAATTTGTCATTGCACCAACTCGCGGTCCAATGCAAAAAACCAATTTGCACCAAACCTCAGTTTAACCCAATCATATAACTGACGTAAATCTTTATCCTACCCGCAAGATATTCCATCAGTTTTAACCTTCTATCATCTAGCATCTGTATCGTTCGTGAACAGTTCTGGTGTTATGATGTTACAATGCAAGGAATTGAATTTGCAGCCGCAGATCAGAGGAATACCAGATTACAACAAACACTGATCCATTTTATCGTTATTTTAAAAAAAGTCACTGATCTACAAAGCTGATGCAACCAAATGATTCATCTGCAAAATCTGTGACAGCGGATCAATGATTTTCAAGCACTGTTTTCCTGTTCATTGCCATCCATTAGATTTTTCCTATCAGATAAAACTCTTTAGTGAATACTTTCTTGAATCTTAGTACCATATCTCTCGCTCCTCGTAATTCAAGTTCAAGACACATTTAGCATCAATTCTACCACAACATGTCTCAAGCTAAATACTAATTTGATTACTGGCTATTATAGGAAAACACTGATCTAACTGTAGTCTACAATTCTGCCTGCAAAGAAAGATTGGGCCATTCTGATGATATAAAAACATCACCTGAACTTCATAACTCAAAATTCTAGTTTGCATTCTTCGCAATAAGTAAAAAAAAAGTGTTCCTAGCTACACTAGCAACCTATATTTTTGAAATGTATACTTTTTAAAAAGTCTAACCAGCACACACAACCCTGTCCTAGTTTTTTAAAAAAAAATACGCTGTGGCACCTCAACTATATTTTAACTCCTCATTGCCTTGAGTTGGAAGTCAAATCCCACTTCGTTTGAGCAAACTAGTGTTGAAATTCAAGCTGTTGAAATAATTCACCAGCAAATCAGGACCAGAGACTAAGTTTGGGAAATGTTATGAAGGAGGATCAGTTTGGTGGCAAAAAAAAAAAATCAATCAACCAACAATTGAGTAGAATGAAAGTAAAATCCACCAGTTTCATTTGCGTTTTTAAAAAAAGGACCCAGATTATAATTGTTCAAGATGAAATCAAATATTTCAGATTGAATATCAGGCAGTGTCTGGATCTAGCTTCCTAGGATCCAATTATAGTCCAGTATTGTACTCCTTAATTTAAACATTTTCTCTTGATCTGTAACATACAGGACAGCCCAACTGCTGATTAGCCTAAGCTAAGTAACGTAATCTTAATCTACTACAGCTCAAGCAGTCTCAATGCAACCTATGTATTTGCATCTGCTTTCAACCCAACGTGTGTAATTTATTGGCCCTGTTCTCTGCAGCTTATGTAACATAATAACAATGAGACTTTCAAAGTGATTATCAGGTATTTTGGATATTTACCACAAAAGTTTAATCTTTAAACTTGATATTTCCCCCCAATAGATTCGATCTGTTTAGACTGAAACCCATCACGTTCAAACTTTATGTTCACCTATTCGTGAAGCACCTGTTGTGGTAGCTTCACTGTAGGCCGGATTTCGCTGAACGAAAGCAATCAGAGAGAACCTGAATGGCAGTACGTTCAACCATCGGAGTATGCAAATGTTATTGTGAATGTCTCGCGTGGGAAAAATTAAGATGCATGTTTCTCGTGGACAGAGGAGTTTTTTTTATTGGTTTTCCATTTTTGTTTCCACAATGAGGTTCACTATTATAACAAGCTAAAGGAAAACCTCATCTATAGGCTACCAGGTGGGATCCACGTTAAAATCCTCTCTCCCCCTCCCTCGCCCCACACGTCTCCACCTATATCATAAATCTCATGTTTCAGCAACTTTCAAAAGAGTAACAAAGTGTAAGAACAATTTTAATAGTGCCTGAAACTCCAGACATCGTCATCTGCATGCATTTCTTAATGCAATTCTGAATTCTTCAGTTTAAAGTGAGGGGAGGGGAAAGAAAAAGACTAACCTTACTAACTTTAGATGATCAAAGCAATGCTATTAAATTAGTCACATCAGAGGTACAAGTGGTCTTAAAAGAAGCTACAGTGCGTTTAAAGTTTTTATCTGATCTTGCAAGGAGCGAAGACTGCAGCAACCATTATCTAGTGCTATTCACAGTTAAGGTCTTCTATTACGTTTGGTAGGTAGGTAGCAGTCTTACTTGTACAGTGCCTGGTTCAGTCACTGTTTACAGCTAAGCCAATCTTTTGTGGTATTTTGAATCCACACGCGTGTATTTTTGTCAAAGGCTTTGTTCCATTTGGTGACAACAAACAGTACCATAACATGTAGAAACAACAGTATAAACACAATCTTCTCCAGTAGCTTCACATACGTCAGTCAGTCATCCTGTAGTGGACCAGGTGGGGCCAACTCCTTTGGTTCCACCAATCTAATGACATACCGATTGGCTAGATATTATTCTCTGTATCTAATACAGCCATTTCACAGCTCCAACTGACTTGATCTGTACTTCTGGACTAGTATCAAGCTTGGTTTTCATTCGGGAGAGCATTCATTCATCCATGATCAGTGCGACATTGATATGGGACAGATCTATCATGTGCCTGCAAAACGTACAAAAAAAAGTCATGTGAACAATGATAAACGTTGGCAGGGGGTAAAAACAAAAAGCTTGAAAGCAATACAATGGCCTCAACTGAAAAAATAACTGAACATAACAGGTCATTAACACTGTAGACATATTATGCAAATAATGAATTCTATTACAAATTAAAAAAAAATTAACAAAATAAAATCTACTTGACTGAATGACATTTTGTTATTATTGAATTTTGCTTTCCTTATTTTGGGAAAAGGGAACATTTTAGAAAACACAGAAGAAGAGATTTTACCTGTGAAACTTCTGTTGAAATGCGGACGCATGTGCGGGTTCCTTAAATTTTGCAATGGCTTTTCGCTGCTCTCGAATCATCTTGAAGTCCTGGGATAACATAGAAATGAGCATTTTTTTTTAACAATAGATTTCCAATGATGTTCTATTTTCACCTGCAAGTGACTGCAACTGAAATCCAAAAACTTAACGTTAAAAAAAAGCCATAATCATTATTGTATGTGGGAATATGTAACAGCTGTAAAAGGAGTCTAAATCTCAAAAGAATTAACAACAACTTGCATTTAGATAGCGCCTTCATGCGGGGTAGCGTCCTGGAGTACTTATATTATAATCAAGTATGAGTGTAAAAACGGAAGCTCATCTCAGAGAATTTGTCTCTTGAATGGAAATGAAATCGACTGTTAAGTCTGAGTAGAATCAGACAACATGTAACGTCAATTAAAGACAATTTACATTTAGAACAGACACAAAATATTCCTTTAAAAGTTTAATTTTTAATTGAGAAAAACAGAAAAGCAATGTTAAATCTTGATTTACGTTCCTCCCTCTCTTCAAAAAAAAATTAAACCAAGGATCAAAAAAGGCAGTTCTGTGTTAACATTTTCTTTTATCTGTTGTGGTCCGTTCAGTTCTTTCTCTGGCAAGTTCAATTTGGTCTTAAGAAAGCATTTTACATAGCCCAGGGCGTATCAAATTCAAATCTAAATACATCAGATCTGTCCTCACGAAACGGCTATGAAGATGAGATCATATCGGATCTTTATCCATTAGGAATGTCACACTGTGACAATTAACAGACACTGCGGCAGTTAACTCCTTTCACAACCATGATAATCTTTACTTCTGGAGTAATCGCAAAGCGTAGCAATAATTGCTATCAACCAGTGCTTAAGAAAACTAACGTTTTCCAAAATGTTCAAGCAACAGTAATTGAATTGAACACACTGCAGTCTGAATCTCAGAGCTGTCCTCCATGCACCATCGTATATACAATAATAACAATCCTGGCATTTGTCACATCTTCGAGATGGCTCAAAGCGCTTCACAAAATCGATTGTAAAGTGAATTGACTGTATATTTTGTGGGCCAATTGTGCCCAGCAGCGTCCCCACAAACAGTCGTGGACTGAAGTGACCAAACAGAGGTATGTGGAGTAAGGAAAGTTGCCCAATGTTTCGCCCTGCCGGGAATCAAACCTAGGTCCTTTCGCTTGCGAGGCGAGTGCTCTAACCACTGAGCTATAGGATTCCACATGTCATTGCGAATTACAATAGATACTTTAGATGGACGCTTTTTTTAAAAAAAAAACACTTTAGCTTTGATTATTGGTGAAAGTACTTGAAATGGGTTCAGTGTTTTGGTGGTGCAGGAGACGCAATTAAACATAAAGGTAGTCCAAACAGCTAAACAGCTACAGAATTGAACAAGACACGATAGAAATATCGAAGTACCTTAAGACAGACACATCAAACATTTGGCTCAGTTGGTAATACCTCTGAGTCAGAAAGCTGTAGGTGCAAACTCCCCCGATCTCTCCCCATAGCCTTGCACATTTGTCCTCCCCAAATATCTAGCAATTCAGTTTCTCCCAGTCTCTAGCCAACAATCCTCCAGATAAGTCTGTTTGTGGCTCTCTATCTACAGTGTGCAAACTGGCTGCCATATACATTTAGAAACATCACCATACCCGCAGTAACTCCCACAGAGATGTTTTGAGATTATGTGCTATAAAATACAAATTAATACTGCTTTATAACAGCAAGCTCTAAGCGACAACTCTCTCGACGGTAGTGGTACTACTATTCAGTAGTTTCCAGCTTCCACAAAGACTTTGGTCCATCTGCAAACCATCATTTTATTCCCCCAAATAATGTTCGTGGAATTCCCCCCCCCCCCACAAAAAGCAGAAACGAAGTAGCCTGATTTTCAGCAATATCTAAAACAGTTAGTGTTGCGAAATCACCAATAAAACATGCGGTCAATTCACTTTATAGTATATTCTGTGAAGCGCTTTGAGACGTCTCAAAGACGTGATAGGGCTCTATATCAAATGCAAGGATTATTATTATATAAAATAATGAATGGTTGAGCCACAGGCAAATATCTTGATGTCATCAAAATCCTCACAGTGTGACATCAAGGCAACTGCAAATGCAGAAGCACGAAGTTAATAATGGCTTTCTCAATGACATTGCTTTCAAGATGAGATTATTACAATTCTGTGTGGAGTGGCAGAAGCTTTAAGTATTGTAAGAGAGAGCAAATAACCTGGCGGGAGTGGTGTCAAAATGCACGATGTGCCTGCTTAGGAAGGAAATAAAAGTGAATGCTCAGGACGGCTCTATCCCAGCAGGTGATACTTCACTCTAAAGCAGCTGGAATGACATGTGCAGGTGAACCCATTGCAACTGTCACCGTCTCTTGGACAGCCGGGGAAAGGGGTCAGATTGCAGGTGGGCAGAAATACACAAATGCCGCTGAAACCTCGCTATTAGCAATTCTATCAAAAATGCCTGAGGGATAAGTTTTAAAAGTAGTTTAAGAAAACAATGTCATAAATGTCATCGGTCTTTTATCCTTGAAATCGCACTACACCAAAACACCGACAACATATTCAGTCAATTCACTTTACAGTGTACCCTGTGAAGCGCTTTGAGACGTCTAGAAGACGTCAAATGCAAGGATCATTATTATAATAAAATTCAACAATAAGCACGCCACGGTTTTTATAATTTTTCATATATATATCAAAATATGTAATTTAGCCCGTGAAGGGCACTATGTAAATAATAATAATCATCATCATCCTTATATTTGGCATAGCGCCATTCAAGTCAGGACGGCGCCTCAAAGCACTTCACAGGATAAACTGTAATTTTATTGTGTATTTTGTGGGTGAAAGCAGGAGACAATTTATCGTACAGTGATGTCTCACAACATAGACCAGTTTTATTTGGGGGATTGTTGGCCAGGACACTGGACACTGGACGGATCTCCCTTCTCTTTTCGAGTAATGCCACGGGATCTTTAAACGATCAGCTGAACAGGTAGACAGGATCTCGGTGGACCTCCAATAATGCAACATACCCCCAACCGCTGCTTTAGAATCAGCTGAGACTATATGACTATATCCAAGTTCCGACGTGAGGCTTGGACGCATAACCCTTTGACTCAGAGGCTAAAGTCTCCGAGACGTCTCAAAGCGCTTCACAAAATATACTGTAAAGCGAATTGACTATATTTTGTGGGCGTCTGCGTATTTTGTGCGCGAAAGAATAAGTCAATTATGTTGCCAGAACTATTTACTTATAGCCCACATAAAGTAAAATTGATTTTTTTACAAAATGCATTTTATCACATTTAAAAGGAGCTCATTTTCTGAAATCCATACATCATAAATACATTATTTAATATTACAACAGCCCCAGAGAGTTTTTGGTACGGTTCCACTAATTAGTCATTTGACATAATTTAGCGTTTGTAATTACAAAACAGAACTCTCTTCATGCATCTAGATGGGCTTCATTGAGATAACTAAACCTATACTACTCAAATCCTTGAGTCTGTTCTTCACTGCCATCACTGACATAATGTATTCACTTTTAAGAGCTGAAGTAATTACCCAGTTAATGAACAGCCGCAGCGCATAATTGATTTTTCCCCACTCTGCAATCTAAGTGGTCTATAATTCAAGCTTCATGTCTTTCTGTTTTGAGTATTTTGTTCATTTGGTGAGATGTGCTTAGTTAGTGACATGGTCTAAGGACATTTGTCTCATTTTCTAGCGACATATTCCTCAAAATGGTCTGGAAAATCTCGATAAATGGTTATAGTATTAACTTTATTGTTTGAGGTGATAGCAACCTGCTGTACTTGCCAATAGCTTCTGTCTCTCTCCCGTACTGAACATTTTCAAGATTTTTTTTTAAAAAATGGGGAAATCAACGTCCAGAGTACAGTACACAAACAAAGTTAAAGAGAGAAAGGAGTAGGTGCAATAAATTAACTAGCGGTCAATCTAACTTCTCCAAGTATATTTAATATAAAACCTAAACAACCTGTGTACAGAAGCCAACAACTGAATAGTTGGTAACTTAAATTATGCAAATCATTTTTGAATTTATGTTGAAAAGATTTTTCATTGCATAATGCTGTTTTACGGAGAATTATCCTCATTAAGTGACTTTTTCACACTGTAGATGATTCAAGAACTTTAATAAGTAGCTTAAATAAGTGCTAGATCAATTTGTTCAACTGGATTATGCAGTCACTGTAACAAAGGAATCAAAAGGAGATTCGGTGAACATGAGGAAAAATGTTGTCCATTAAAAAGTATTATTAACCTTTAGAAGTTCAGAAATAGAGTGAATGTTTTACCATCAGCTTCCAGCGTTATTTTTAAAGGTTCCACAGATCATATTCGCCACCACCAGCACAAGACACACACACACAAAACATCTGATGTTTCCACTAAGTAAGCAATATTTCATTAAATAGCTGATTGAACCAACTGAGTCTTGAAAACAAAGTCTACTGAGTTGGAAAGCTGAATTATTCCACATACTAATCCACCAGGAAAACTCCTGAAGAGTTCCGAGCACAAACAGAAAAGAAAATCAACGTATTTAAATGAAAAAAAATCATAATCTACTGATCATTTTAATTTTCTGAATTTGTGCTAGAAAACGTACACGCTTCTGAATCATTGTGACCGGTTTACAAATATGATTGTTTTATATTAAGCCTTATTCACTGACGTTTTGAGCACGCTCAAAAATACATTTAGATGCAATTTGGTTTGTACATTGAGAGTATTGTTTGTCTATGTACTTATTTTGTTTACTGGTTTAGACAAAGTTGAGGTTAACATCTAAACTGAAAAGTTTTAAGAAACGTTCTCATTATGTACAAAGGCATGTTGGTTCATTGGTGATCCAGGTTAGAGATTGTTTCATATGTAGCGCAACCTCATCTGAAGAAAAGAGTCAGAGACCGGATTGTTTCTTCTGACATTCAAGGAGAAACAATCAGGTCAAAAACCTTACATAACCCCAATATCGTTAGTGTGCACCCGCCTCTTCCAAAGTTATTGAAAAATAAAATGGTAAGAGGGGAGATATAGTGGAGGAGCAGGTTAACTTTGTTTTTCTGACTTTGATAGTGAAACCAAGGTGGGTAAACTGACAAAGTAATCACCTCCTATTCCAAATGGAACAAAGGTACCACTTTGGGGAGAAAGCAGGAAGAGATGAAGCACTGATCAGATCAGTGTAATATAGGTGGGTAAAAGTGGTATGCATCCCAAAGGAAGGAGATGGAACTTTACCAAAGTACAATTAAAGAATTTCTTCCACTCTAAATTAAGTGAATGGTTGATTAGTCCAAAAATAAATTACTAGCAATGCCAGGGAGAGAAGGGCTCGGAGGGTTCCCTTGACATTAATGTGCTGCAAACACATTTAATAATAATAATCAATGCATTTGTTAGTGCCTTATCACGTCTTCGAGACGTCTCAAAGAGCTTCATTTAATACACTATAAAATGAATTGACTGTATTTTGTGGGCAAAACACAGCAGCCAATGCGCACAGCAGTGTTCCCACAAACAGTCATGCATTGAGTGACAAAATTATTATTATTTAATAATAGATCATTTTCTTGTCACAAACAATCGATACCAATCTAGGAATAGATTAGCAAAATAGTTACAGGAGAGTATCAAACACTCTTGAAGCCAGACAAAGAGCATGTCCAAATGAAACTGGATAGGGCTAAGTAGACAAGTTGGCTTGCCACAAGTTCCTTCCTGTGGGAAAGCAAGATCAGGTAGGGACTGAACTCCAGGTCAGAAACACAAAATTACAGATACCTGTTCTGATTCTTCTGTAAGAACTTGGGTTACCAGGTGTAATAGTGGAAAGTGTACAGATAAGGGGTCAGCTCAGCCTCCAGCTCAGTTTGTGATCTTTGAGCAAAAGGGGAGAAGCTAGTGATTATCTACCAAAGCAAATAGATAATTTCCCGGCAACAACAACTTGCATTTATATAGCACCTCTCGCTTGATAGTAACCCAAGCACTGACAGTCTCTTGGACTAAGACATCGGCTTGTGCAGGTGGACTGCTGAATAATAGAATGCATCAATTCCTGTTTTAGTCATTCTGACAAGATTCAAACACTAACGGATGAAAAACTGCATCTTAGTAAAGAAGGTTTCACTGTGCTTATTCACGCCCTGGACCAATTTGCTGTGCACCAAAGGTCAAAAAGCTAAGCACAACAGTCGCACCTTGAGTCAGATTATGTCCGATGAATGCCACTACAGTCATTTCAACATGAAAATGACTTATCCGACCATCAATTAAACACTGTGAGACAGGGAGACAAGAGTCTGGAGGGCTATCCCCTTGAGGACGTTACTGTCCTACAACCACTATCAGATCAAGGTTGGTTAATTTTCTCATCACAAACTACATCACCAGCAGTCTGAGAGTAGGCCATTAGTCACACAGATTCAACTGGAAAAATATCATGAGTTGTCTGGCTAGAAAAAGAGTTTTCGCCATCAGCCCAAGAACGTAACCAATTTTCCCCAGACAGATGAGTCTGCATCATTTCTTCATGGAGCAGAGTACCACACTGAGGCCGACAGAGGAGCCTGAGAGGCTGACACGTGACAGGAATGAAAAAGCAGGAGTGAGGAAAATCGGGTGACGATGTAGAATATTTCACATCACAAATGAGAAACCACTGACAATAAGGTGGAATAACAAGGATCCATATCTGTGCATTGGTGAAACTGCAAGTAGTGTGTAAAAAAAAATATTCTAAAGCAAGGTTTGTAATTACTGTAACAGATAGGAAGGCACCATAATCTCTCACAGCAATGATCTGCTGTCCCTTCATCCAATCAATTCCAAAAATCTTGAGTGCACTTTAATTCAACTTTAGCACCGTTCATTAACTTGAAAATGTTATACTTCAGCGTCACATGCAAGGGAATGTCCAATGCAGAATTATTTTTGTGATTAGTTTATAAATTTGGCATCAACCTGCAATCTAGGGCGGAGAATCAAATTTGAAAAAGCATTGCTTTCATCGCTTTGAGACGTCTCGACAATGTGATGAAGCGCTATATCATTATTATTATTATCATCACTCATTTGCAATCTTCAGCTTGGTAAGGTATGCACATATAAGAGGGGGAGGAGGGTCACCTACCTGAATCGGTCCAACAGACATCAGCAGATTTTTCAATTGGAAATCAGTTGTTGAAGAAGAAAGCCCTTCAATTGACACTACACATGGCTGAGGTCTGCATTCCACCACTCGCAGGTTCTGTTTATGTTGCATCATTCGTCCTCTGCCCATCTGGCCTGGTAATGCGATGCCTCGCCCCTGCATAATGACCTGCAGAGAACACAGTGCTCAGCCAATTTATTTTGTCCTTGGGGCGTCAGCTAGCAGTTCAAAACTTTTTTTTTGGGGGGGGGGGGGGGGTGGGAGGAGTCGCATAGGAATTTTAAAACAAATATCTGCTGCGCAAATCGATAACGTAACAAGTTTTAAAGAATACGCGCTGCTACCAAATCTGCTTGTGGTTGACCAGGTCTCGAAACCCTCTTTAAAAATTATACGTGGAGATCATTTTAAAATTGTGTTGATTAGCAGGCAAGAGAACTTGCCATTTGAGAGACTGTTCATGAACACGAATAACATACTCAGTCCCACAACGCTGACCTTGGTAGCTCAGCTTCAGTTCTTGGATTAAAGGCAATTGATACATTTAACCGTAAAACTATGACATGTCGTATGAAAGTGAATTCATCGTGCTGTACCAGGCAGCAGAACAACTCGCGTTTATATAGCGTTCAAAGAGGAATTGAGCAGGACTGAAGACTGAAAAGATGCTGTGGGGCTTAACGGTAGAGGGAGGGATTTCCAGAGGTGATGTAGGAAGTGAAGGCTCGATCACGGATGGTGGAGTGCAGAGGGCTGTGGACGCGCAGCAGCCAGAATCAGCTAAGGGATGGGGCCGGGCGGGGACAAGGTTAGGAGATCAGAGAAATCAGGGGATGCCAGAAGAGTGGATGGATTTGCAGGTGAGGATTTTGAAATTGGCACTGTGTGAGGCAGTGAAGCCCGGCAATGATGGATGTTTGGGGTTTGGTGAGGGTCACGATTACGGACAGGGAGTTTTGTGTGAGTTGCAGCTTGGGAATGGTGAAGCTGGGGAGACCAATGAGAGTATGTTGGGAAAGCCGGGATGTAACCAAGGAACGCACAAGCATTTCAGTGGCATCCGGTGTGAGATAAAGTATAAAATAAAATTCAAAAAACGAAAATTTGGGATTGCCTAAAAGACTCCACTTTATGTGAGGCTTGCTTTTGGATTTACATCTTAGTTTGACAGAGTTGACAGCAGAAAAAAGTAATATTTATAATTACTCTTGTCTGCTGCGTAAACATAAAAAAAAGATATGTCCCAACTTAAGGTATACAGTGGAGTGATTGGAAGGGCGGGCGGGGTATTTTCTATGTGGAAGTAGAACTACATTCAAATAATAAGATTGCGTTAAACATTCTTCAATGTTGGTAATTCCAACAGGACTGAAACGAAAGCCTGCATTTAAACTCCCACTTGAGAGGGTAACTGGGAGATCTAAACACCAATGTGAAGGACGCTAAATAAATGAAATTTGTTGGTGGTGGTGCCGATGTAAAACCGAGTTTCCCGGAAGAAAGGTGTTATCCCCGACTCTATTAACTCTATCCTCAACTCCAGGACCATTGCTGTCAATATATCAAGTCCTGGATGAGCTCTCAGTAACACATGGACAAGACCCGGGTCCTGCTGGACTCCTCAGCACCTTCTTACACTGACAGCATAAACCTGCACGGTTGTGGAGCCAGCACAGAAACTCTGTGTCTTACTTGACTCCCAAATGTCTTTCAATTCATGTTCTTACATGCTCAGGTTTTCTTACACCTCCAAAACATTCCCCCCCACTATCTCTCTGCCCTGGTCTATCAAAACCTTCTTTCCCACTTTCATCACATCTCGGCTTGACTATGCTAATGCCCTGCTCGCCAGACTCTCCAGCTGTTCCCTACACAACAGGCTGTAAACTATCCAGAACTCTGCAGCTCATATCCTCTTTCCGGAGTCCCTCCAACTCACTGATTCCCTCATTCAAGCCCATTCTCAAGATGTACCTCGTTGACTGAATAAAATGTTCCTCTCTCCCCTTCCCTTTGACTCCCAGCTCAGGAGGCCAGGCGGCAGTAACAAGCACTTTGAGACATCCTCCTAATGTGAAAGTTACTATATGTGGAACCCGATTGTTAGTCGATCGGCGTATCACTTTCCGGGGATAATAATAATAATCCCTTCAAAAATAATTTGGTCACTCAATCCACGGCTGTTTGTTGGGACACTGCTGTGCCCAATTGGCTGCGGCGATTTGCCCACAAACTATGCAGTTAATTCACTTTGAGACGTCTCGACGCTGTATCAAATGTAAGGATTATTATTATTATATAAATTGTATTATCATTGGCTAATGGGTCAGGACCAGAGAGGATATCACAATGGCAAATTAATAAAATACACGGGTTGTGCCAAGCGACACAGAACCGAAAAAATACCTTCAAAAAATCTCAAGGGGAGGGTGTCGGGGGGTGTGGGGAGAGAAGGGTGGAATTCCTCCTGACAGCTTTTAATATTTCCGAGGTAAATCAGTGGGATAGCTTGCCAACTGACGCAAGCATCTGCTACGAATTTTTGCTGCTGTTAGAAACTGGTTAGAAATTCTGATCGGTACAAACCAGCAAGTATTCCCTAAATGAAGCTCAAAATAGAATCGAATGAACCCAGACACCTGTACTCTAGACTAATTTGCCAAAGAGCATCATCTCTTCAAAAGATTTGAATTTTTGGAGAGAATATAGCGCTGGTGTAATGTTTCTTGTACTCATCCTCCAAATGCCAAAGCTAAATACTTTAGCAACTCGTAGTTTAGAAACTGCTCTTTATTTCTATATCTTTCACAAGGTTTAATAACTTTCGTTATGCAAATGCAAGTAGTTGTTGTACAATTACAAAACAGGACCTTATATATAATAATCCTCGCATTTAATACAGCACCTCATCACGTCTTCAAGATGTTTCAAAGCGCTTCACAGAATATACGGTAAAGTGAATTGACTGTATATTTTGCAGCTGCCAATTGAGCACAGGAGCGTCCCACAAAAAATCATGCATTGAGTGACCAAATCATTTTTTTAAATTTATTTTTAAGGAATTATTACCCCCAGAAAAGAGATGAGCCAATCGACTAACAACCGGGTTCCTACTTACTACTGGGTAAACAGAGGTGTGTGTGTGTGTGTGTGGAGTAAGGAAACTTGCCCAACATTTCGCCCTACCCAGGAATCGAACCCAGGTCCTCTCGCTCGCTTGCGAGGCGAGTGCTCCAACCCCTAGACTCCAGTTACTTGGTTAGATTCTAGCAGCATCCCAACATACACACTATGGGCCTCTAATCTAGATTTGTCTAGCACGTTCCGAAATTAGGAAAGCACCAACAACTTGCCTTTACACAGCAGCTTCCAACTGGGGTTGCATTTGAGCGCTCAACAATGTCAGAGCTTGATGACAAGCCAAGGAGAGCGCGAGGGTGACTGCAGGCATGGTCGAAGAGGAAGGCCTTTAGGTGTGATCCGAAGACAGGCAAGGAAGGGGAGAGATTTAGCATTCCTCCAGGGAGAGAGTGCATTTTCCACTCTAGACACAGGGAAATTTCCATACAGTGGCGGCAAGTATAGTTGGAATAATTTGGCAAGTATATTTAGTCTGGTTTGGACACTCTCTAACATGGTGATTGGTTTCTGCATTGATTAGTCTCTCCTTCAGCAACACCCGGGGATACTCCTAACGGTTCCAGGAAATGGGGTGAAACAGATTAACCAAGACAGGTTTCATTATAGGAGCGTGTCAAGACTGAGTTATCAGATCCACATCTTGTCTGCCCCGCAAATCAGCTCCTTAGTCAGTCTTGCCCAGTTACAGCACTCTTGCCCTTTTTCATAATCTAGGCTGACATTTCAATACGAGGGAGCTTACAGGACTAAAAAAAAGACAGAACAACATACACTAACTAATCCTCTGCTCACATCCCGCAGTATTTTTTTCTACAAATAGCTATCCTATTTTCTCTTGCATTTGCTGACACAATTCGCCTCCACCACCTCTCTGACCAGTCCATTCCATTCCACTACTCTTCTTGGAGTCATTAAATGCCTGTTCACCTCCCACCTTCTGACCTCAAGTCCAGACCCCCTTCTAAAGTTTTTTTGGCTACATTAAACAGATTATTAGAGATCTTTTTAATCCTGTATTGAATCTTGAATCAGTGGTTAGAGCACTCGCAAGTGTGAGACCTGGTTCCGATTCCCTAGCAGGGCAAAACATTGGGCAAGTTTCCTTACTCCACACGCCTCTGTTTACCTTGCGGCAAGTAGGAACCCGATTGTTAGTCGATTGGCGGATCGCTTTTTCAGGAATAATAATCCTTTAAAAAATTAAATAATAATTTGATCATTTAATCCACGGCTGTTTGTAAGGACGCTGCTGTGCTCAATTGGCTGCTGCGTTCGCCCACAAAATATAGTCAATTCACTTTACAGCGTATATAATAATATAATATAATATAATATAATAATAATAATAATAATAATCCTTGCATTTGATATAGTGCTTTTCACATCCTCGACATCTCAAAGCGCTTCACAGGATATGCTGTAAAGTGAATTGACGTATATTTGTGGGCGAAACGCGGCAGCCAATTGTGCACAGCAGCGTCCTTACAAACAGTCGCGGATTGAAAATGACCAATTTATTATTGTTTTGTTGTTTTGGAGGGATTATTATTAGGCGTGTGGAGTAAGGAAACTTGCCCAAGGTTTCGCCCTGCCTGGAATTGAACCCAGGTGGCTCGCTTGTAAGGCGAGTGCTCTAACCACTAAGTTACAGGACTCCACTTTATATATAAAGCCCTGTTTTGTAATTGTGAAACATCTATTTGCTCTACTGTAAATGACTGTGCAAGTAGTAACCAGGTGTATTTCGCAGGTGACCGAATGGAAAGTGTTCTATTCCCCGGAAATTAACATCCTTCATAGTTTACCTATCTCCCCCTTAGCACAGAAGTCTAACTAGATTTGATGCATTGTTATTTCAATTCTATGTTCTTACACATGAATGGGTTAAAAGATGTATGAAATTATGGCCAACATGTATGGTTTCTGACGTAGATATAGTGAGAATACACAGCTATGAAGCCCTCGTGGGTTTAAAATGACTTTATGCCCTTATTCCCTTGCGGCTGACGGAGGGGCATCCAAAGAAAGTCTAATATGATTAACCCATTTCGATCTGCACTATATAAAGCAGGTCTATTTATATAACAATATAAGTGGCTTCCGTCGGAAGATGTCTGTGCTTACTTACCCTGTTCTGCTGTTGGTTGACTGAGTTCTTCATCATTCCCAGCAGTTGTGGCACGGGATGCTGACGTTGTTGCTGTTGTTGCTGCTGCTGCTGCTGCTGCAGTCGGGCTCCCTTAACCAATGTGACCTTCCGAACAGGCTGCTGTTTGAGTTGCTGCTGCTGCTGCTGCTGCTGCCGCTGCGGTTGGGGTTCGGGATGAGAGAAGACGGTGTTCTCACTCTCCTGCTGTAAGAACACAGCATCATGCTGCTCAGTGTCTTCGCTCAACATAAAACCTTTTACCGCTCACCATGTGCTAAGTACAGTATGACCTTGCAGAAATTCAAAATACCTACGCAATGTACATCCAGTGGACTAGTTTGTTCTCAGTTATACAAATGCTCTCGTACGACAGTATATGGGTATCGGTGTGGGGTTTGCTGATGGATAGAACAGTACACTGAAATTTACTCTCCTCACAATGTTTCATCCACAAAATATACATTCAATTCACTTTACAGTATATTCCGTGAAGCACTTTAAGATGTCTCAAAGATGTGATCAGGTGCTGTATCAAATGCAAGCATTATTATTAATGGAGGATCACAATTTTTTTTCTTTTCATTCATCCACAAAGACAGCAAACTAAAAATGATCTTTTATATCCTCAATGTTATACGGTAATATTTTCATATCACAGTGATATTCCTACCTTTATTATTTAGTGCTATTAGCAGTTAATACATTGTGATTGATATCGCACTTCTCACGTTAGGAGGATTCTTAAGAGTCCCTGCTAGCCAAAGTGCTTGGGGAGGAGAAAGATAACCCAAAGAACAATCAAAGAGAAAATATTAAGCTATGAAATGAATGGCATTTTCCTGTATTCAGTCTTAGAGTGCAAAGTACTAAAAAAAAACTTCCAAATGTATAGAAGCAGCTTTTAAAATGTGGTTCAACTTCCAATTTTATGGGGAGAACTGAGAGAAAGGTCATTTTACACAGGAGAGGAAACCTAGCGACTCGGAGAATGCTTTAGCAATTGAGATGAGAATTGAATTTTAGATCAGATAGTGAAGCCAAGGTTAAGAGATGGGAGTATTAAGAGTGTTGCTGTCAAATGTGGTACCTGTGGTTTTGTTAGTAAGAAATGTGAAGGAACAGTCTTTGCAGAATTGAAGCAAGATCATTTCCCTACTGAAGGGCATGAAGGAGATCAAGGTTTCAGCCACTGCACTGCAGGAAGGTTGTGTGCCCTGAATATATGATCTGAAAGAAACTGATGAATGAAGTATGGAATCATCTGCAAGAGTGGATAAGATGGGATGAGTAGAGGTGGTCATTGATGTGGAGAAGGAACAAAGTCAGAGAGAGCACAAAGCCCCAGGGAGCCCTGAATTAATGTGAAATGGATCACAGGATAAACCCTTATCTACAGCATAGATAAAGCAAATTGCAGAAAAAAACAAGTAACCAAGAAAATAATTTGGGCAGCAAACCATAAGATGGCAAATCGCTTTAGAAGTGCGCCCCACTTTATGTCAAACATTTAAGAGATGTCTGGGAAGACATCAGGAAGGCTTCCGTTCTTGTGAGGAATGTGTGGGATAGGTTGTCGCTTTGTATGAGATCACAGAATGTTGTAAGGGGAAACCCACCTACGTTGGGTTCATCAACTACAGCAAGGCTCGACTTAGTGCCGCATAAAGCCCTCGTAACAAAAACTGGGAGCCATGGGAACACTTGGCGAAATCGTGGATTTTATCTGGAATGTGTATTCCAGCTCCAAGACCCGTGTAAGGGTGGACAGTGGACTCACTCAGCACATCCCTCTTAAAGAGGGTAAGGCAAGGCTGTCCATAATCACCTACCCTGTTCGATGTGTTCATCAATGACGTGTTGGGATGGCATTGGGGGGGAGAAGGACTTGGTTATCTGTTCCAGGCCTCTCTGACAGGATTGCTGTGCCTCTGTTTGCAGATAATACTGTGCTGCTGATGGACTCACTTCAAGAACATCAAGGTGGCTGGCACATCACAAGCTGTCCTATAAAGATCCTCCCACTACACTGAAGGCAGATGCCCATCAGATAGCTGATGAGGAAACTCTTGAGGCTTGCGGCCACAGCTGCTGGAAGGCGTTACCTGGAGTCTGAGTTGTGAACACGGATTTGTGATCCAGCATCTGGAACCCACTTCAATTGGTTTGCGGAGAGGTAAGCAGATGCTGCTTGAGCTCCACACCTCCAACTGGTGGAACCATCACTCAATGGGAAGGGCTGTGTGTCCGAGCTGCAGACAGGATGGTGGCAAGGCGCTCACGCATTTTATGCTGAGATGCGTTGAGAGCGACCAAAGTAACTTTAGAATGTCAGATTCAAGAACGGGGCAGAACTTGAATAAAAGTGGATCACGTTTCTTAGACGAAAAGTTGGGACACAAAACGATTTCCACGGAAAAGGATCATTTGAAAATCAATGTGCAAAAGCTGCAGGTACGGGAACAACGATGGCAAGTCGCATGCAGGTTAACGTGGAAAAACCTAAAGCTCTGAGATTTGTTATGAGAATAAACTACTTTCTTGGAAAATTAGATGTTACATTGATGACTACTCCTTCTTGAAAGAATTGCCATGTGAAGGACCGGCAAATGAGAAGGAAAAGGAGGCGAGCATGTAAACTCAGATGCACATCTCCTGAGAATTGGAGATGTACAATTGTGACCAGAGGGCTTAACCTGAGACCGTGATAATAGAGGATCCAACAGACATATTGAGGATAAAATCTGATGTAGGTTACAGTTGGACAACAGATCTAATTAATGCTCACCAGCTGCTGAGACTAGGTCAGAACGATCTAAATAGATAATTGGGTTAAAACAGCGACCTGCTTCTAGTGCACCATCAGTGAAGGCCAACAACATACATGCATTTCGGAAGCTAGGGATCCCAATCATAAATTACGTATGTTCTTACTCTAAAATTGCTAGTTGCCTAAGATGAAGCACTTTATATGCCACTGTGCACATTCATCACAAAGATATTTACACGTGCAGTTTACGTCTCAAGTGCCTATTTGGAACTATTGCCCAAAATGTATCACATCCTTGAAACTTTCTCACTTTCTTCCCAATTGCTTTTTTTCTATTGCTTATCCCTCCTCCAATAAGCAAATTTCAAAGTTTAGCCCTGCATTCTTCCTACCATCCTGCTTATCTTTACTCACTGTCCTTCACCCTGTTCCGCTTCAATTTACAAAGATCCTGATATAAATACTGTGGACCATAATCAAAAATGAGCTAAAATGAACCACTGACATACCAAATCATCAAATGGTATCAATTTAACTAGGAATTGTTGGTAACGTGGAATCCCACTAAAAACTTCAAAGCACAACTAGGACTTGGAATAAAAAGCATTGGGTTGTGTTGTTTAGAGCACTTCATTCATGTTTCAGGAGCAAGTATGATTTTTAACTGAAAGTTTATTATATATTGACTTACAAACCTCTGCAATGTGATCCAAATTGCACTTTTTAAAAAATATTTCATGTTATAATTATAATGTAACAAAACAAATATTTAGTGCCTATAGGAAAATTTCCTATAATTGATAACTTATTGTTTTCAACGCTGTGACGAAACATAGAACAAGTTTAAAATCTTTAAATGTATGAAATTAGTTAAAATCTTAATAGAGATGTTTTATAGTGCCACAGAATAGCCTTCATATTGATTAAAGGTGTGACCACACTTAAGATTCCAAAATAACTTTTAAACCTTAAAAGTACTACATTTTCCCCAATTTTAACTTTTTTTTAAAAACTATTATGTTTTAAGCTGTGGTTTTAATTCACAGCAGAGGCATAGTTTCAATTTTCCAAGTACAGTACGAAGTACATGCATCTGTCAACAATTTTTTTTTATTTACTAAAACTCAAAACACAACTCGCTGTTTTGTCTGGGATAAAATCTTTTCCAAAAGTCCTTCAAAATCTGACAGATCAAATCTCATTTCCATTCCAAAACCCCAGCAAGTGGCGATAACACCATCCACATTCAGCACAGTGCAAATTGATTAATCCCTTTCTATAGAAATCGCACCTCTCCTGATTACACCTATCAAATGTTAAGTACCATTATTCTGGAGTGACAACACATGACAAATTCCCCATCCATTTTCTGCGGTCTTTGTGGTCTCACTAGCCTGTACCAACCCTGATGAAAAATTAATTTCCCTTATCTACAACTAAGCTGTGAAATCCAAATCCCGGAAACTGGCAACTCTTTCTGCACAGGTATTATGAAAACCGCTAAAGATTAATTGCACGTCAGGTGACATTAAATTAATTTCTGTATTCCTGACAGACATTTGATACTCTGTACTGAGAGAAAAGATAACATTGTCAGAGTACATAGAACGACAGCAGAGTAGCTTCCCGGACAGCATCTCATGGATTCCCTTTACAAAAAGGCTGCACTCCTCTGTCAAAGGTATTGCCACCAATCCAGCTGCTGGCAGGCCTGGCGAGACAACAATCTATTAAAATCCTGACACAATGCTTTATTACCACCCGCAAAACAAAACGTCAGATTCCTGTTTAAATCCCGGTGGCAGGTAGGAGAAAATAACCAGATTTAGCATAATTCTTTCACCCTAGACCAAGAAAACATTGAACAGTTCAAAGATCCATTAACATCAGTCGAAGGTCTAATTAGCACACATGGGTTTTACCTACAAGAGATTTCACTCTACAGAGTGTAGCAGCTGTAACGGAATAATATTTTCGCTCTGAAAAGCAGCACCCTCCGGCAAACAAAGTCAGCTTCAGAGGTGATTTAGTAGCAGGTACAACATTTGGATTGTGCCATAGGGAAGCACTTTCCAAGACCCAAATGCATACTGCAATTTTGACACATCACAAGACAGACGTAGGCAGAGATTCCACTATTCATTTAAGATCGTTGGAAATGCATTTGAATACACCGGGGCTAAATCACTGATGTACATTGGATTCCTTGAAAAAATTGCTATGAAAATTACTATTCATGGTATTTGAGCAAATTGGACTTGGAAAAGGTTTGCCAGATATTAGAATTTCTTCAACAGAAACTAACCAGCTTGAACATTTGTTTTCATTGAGCTTGAAAAATAACCAGAAAGAGATTGAAGAACAAAAAAACAAAAGTCAAGATTCAGCAGACCGAGACAACCGATTTGTATAATCATTGATAGCCACTGCAGTAGGTGTCTCAATTAGTTTTCAGTTTTCCTTCCTCAGATATGCTTTCGGTATTAGATCTCTACTAACGAAAATGCCTGACAAATATAGTCACTATTAAATCCACTTTACACCTCTTTTCATGGTTACAGCACTCACCTAGTAAGCGAGAGGACTTGGATTTGATACCAGGCAGGGAGAAACACTGGGTAAGTTTCCTTACTCCATACGCCTCTGTTTACCTAGCAGTAAGTAGGAACCCAGTTGATAGTCGATTGGCGGAACAGTTTCCGGGGTAATAATCCGTCAAAAAAAATTTATAAGAATAATTTGATCACTTAATCCACGACTCTTTGTGGGACAGTGCCATGCACAATTTGCTGCTGCGTTTCGCCTACAAAACGTAATCAATTCACCTTACAGTAGAATCTGCGCAGTACTTTGAGACGTCAAGAAGACGTTATGAGGCGCTATATCAAATGTAAGGATTATTATATATTAGTATTTGTAAAGAAACTTGGTTCTTACCATAACTGGTAGCTTAAGGACCCTTATTTTGGGATTGATGTGAGGCCCATCACCCCCTCCTCCTCCTCCTCCGCTATTCATTCTTTGCATCACAGTCCTTTTCACTCCAGGTTTTAACTCGAGTTGATTGACTGTGGAAACACCCATCTTCCCAGGCAACACACTTGGGCCTGGTGTACCAACGGGTTTAGATTGTGCCGGTCCTTGAGACTGGTTTGGGGGAGAAGGTCTGATCTGTTTGATTTGGTTAACAATGTTCTTTCTCATTTCTGTCTGGAGGTGAAGAATATTTCCAACCTCTTGGATTTTATTTGGTTGCAGTTGCAGTCCTACACCTACACCAAGTTTCTTCGAAAATAGTCTGGTCTTTATGCTTGGCTGCGCAGGGCTTGCAGCCTGTGGTGTAGATGGGTTACAGTTCTGGAAAATCTGTGGTGCGTTTGCTGGATGGTGTTGTAGTGGGGGCTGTACAGAACACTGCTGCTGCTGCTGCTGTTGTTGCTGCTGCCGCTGCTGCTGCTGCTGCTGTTGCTGTGCAAGTCTTTCCAGCAGTTCCTTCTTGCGAGCTCCAGCCTGCTGCTGCCGTCGGAGTTCCTTCTGTCTCAGAATTTCTTCTCGAAGTCTTTTCTGTTCCTCAATTTTCAAACGATATATCCTGGTTTCCTCATCTTCATCCGATAACTGAAGGTTGAAAAATAAAACAACAAACAGAACAGCCACATTACAATAGACAATTTTAAATATAATTTAGAAACTGTACATTACACATCGAAAAATTCTGTTGGTACTTTGCAATCAACAAGACTTAAAGAAAAACAATTTTCCTTAATTACAAGGAGCCCACTGGTGTACCACCAAGCTTATATTGACCAGGAGAATGCAAGCTTAGTGGGTTAGTACATCTTAAGCAGGTAGCAGCAGGAGTGCGACAGCTTCAGTTTCACCTGGGTTAGGGAAGGAGGGAAAAGATAGAGGACTTGGAACTTGGAAGTCTATGCTGGCACTCCAATGTGGGTGCTGGATATTTGGAGATGCTCTCCTGAAGCAATGATAAATGTTCTCTAGCAGAAACAACAACAACTTCTTGGATTTATACAGCGCCCTCCACGCCAGACGGCGTCTCAGAGCGCTTGAATGGGACAATGAGACTCTCATGATAGGCACCTTTATAAATATCTCAGGACTACAAAAGAGGATCAACTGAACAGCGCAATTTGGCCAAGTAAACCTCATCCTTCTAGAAGGATCCTCCCATTACAAAAATGAACGTTTCTTAAATAAACCTATCATTGCCATTTGAATTAACATTTGAAATTAAGACGGCCAGATTTTAAAACTATCTGAATTTTCAATCTAAATTCTTCGATGCGGGGATAAAATAATATAAAACAATAACTGGGATTTCATTATCTGAGTTATTAAAACAATGCTTCCCTCAACCTTTAGAGTCCTGTAGCTCAGTGGTTAGAGCTCTCGCTTTGCAAGCGAGAGACGTGGGTTCGATTCCCAGCAGGGCGAAACCTTGGGCAAGTTTACTCCTTACTCCACACACCTGATAATAATCCCTCAAGAAAAAAAAACAATAATAATTTGGTCACTCAATCAACGACTGTTTGCGGGGACGCTGCTGTGCGCAATTGGCCTCCACGTTTCGCCCACAAATATACAGTCAATTCACTTTACAGTATATTCTATGAAGTTCTTTGAGACGTCTAGAAGACGTGAAAAGCGCTATATCAAATGCAAGGTTTATTATTATTATTATAGACATCATGCAGGCTTTACTGTTTATGATTCTTCATGCATTTTGACACATTTGTCCAGCATATTCTAAATGTAGATGTATCAATTAACGACTTCGGTGTTAGCATATAAAACAAAAAGTGACTATACAATGGCAATCAAGGTTTACAAAAGCAATCAACTGAAACGCTTATGAGAATAGAATGCAATCAAACAAAATATCAAAATACTTATTGTTACTCTGGGTCTTTTATTGGACATTTTGAGATTCTGTACACAACTCTTCAGTCTGTGCCTGTTGTCATACAGTAATTATCACCCTGAGCCAGTTACAAAAGCAAAATGCAACACAACCCGAAAAAGCCATGATCAGAAATATTGATTTTCTATAGAATTTCTCAGCCTGAGTTCAAACTAATTTGTAACTTAATAATTGAGTCTAATCAACAGTTCAGTCAATCCTTTTGACCTTGAGCTAATTGTGTCTCAAGAATCCAACAATTTCTACTTGTCTAAATCCTTTCCTTTCAAAAGGTGCCTGATATCATTCAACTGACAATTTAAAGACAATAGTCTTCCAATACAGTGCAGATTATTCCCCAATGGCCCAGTCAGTAAATGCTGCACACAGTGAATCTTAAACCACACAGAGCAGAAGATTGCAGATTCCATCCCCACTCTATGCTGATTTACTGATCTCAGCAAGGGCAATACAGCTGTTCTTAATGTCTTTTTTTTTTGTTTGGGACATTTATATAGCACCTTACACGATGTGAGGATATCCTCAAGATGCTCATAATCTAGGTTCACACAAAGATAATTTATCATTAATTAATAATTATTATCCAAAGTGTTTTGGTATCTTGTGTAACTTCCCAATCTGTTAATTCTTTACTCCAAAGGGATCATAAGTCAAACACCTCCGAACTTCTAACTTCACTGTTCACGGTCTAATTTACACATCTACACAGCTATTTTTATAAAGCACTTCAAGAGGTTTAGTTGACCTGAAAGGCATTATATAAATGCAACATCTCAAAGTGCTTCACAAAGACAATAGGGAGCAATGAGCAGTGAAAAAAGAAAGGAGAATTTAACGATAATCCTTACATTTAGTACAGCGCATTTCATGTCGGGAGGAAGTTTCAAAACACTTTACAGGATTTCACTGTGTGTTTTGTGGGAGAAGGCAGAAGCTAATTTCTGAACAGCAATGACCCACAAATAGCCATGAAATGAATGGCCAATTTTATCTGAGGTATTGTTGGTCAGGACACTGGAAGAAACTCATTTCCCTTTTTGAATACCATCTTGGGAAAGGTGCTATATTAATGTAAATTTTGTATTGCATCTTCACTCCCACCTCGACAGGTAGATGGAAGGCAAAGCAGGATGACCAGAGTAAAGAACCGAATTTGTACAAAGACAACATTCAGTCTTTAGACTCTTCCCATCCGCCGAAAATGTCCATGAAAATCTTTTCAATCGAGTTTTCAGAACGATTTGATTAAAAGAAATTAAGCGAATCGCTTCTCTACTGACCGTAAAAAATTAGTGCTCAATACACAGAAATGTCTGCATGACGTTTTCTACAATTGAGTAACAACTATCAGGTAACAGGTAACAGTTTTGCCCACAAATTATACAGTCAATTCACTTTACGGTACGTTCTGTGAAGCGCTCTGAGACGTCTTGAAGCCGTGATAAGGCGCTACGTCAAATGCAAGGATTATTATTTTTTATTTAGCTATTAGCCATCAGACCAATTTTACTGCATGTCAATTTAACTTTTCTGTTTGTCAGAATACAGAGACACACAATGATTTTATACATCAGTGGCACAGAGTGCTCCCACACCGAGACACTTCAAGCTGCGGGCTCAAATCACGGCCAGTGCTGAACCCAATTGATTTGGAACTGCAATCAGCACTCAGAACTAGGGAGGAATGCCAAGACCGTGATTCGACACAGCGCAATTTCAAAAGCAAAAGGCAGATTTATTTTTTGTGAATGAAACACGGCTTTTGTCGTTACAGAAGGCTGAAATTTGTTTTTCTCAGGTAAATTAAACCAAAGGTATTAGAATAGGCTTTAGATACACCCATTCTGGGATCACACCCAAGAATGCAACCTGCTCAGTTTCAAGATACGAGCAATTAAACGCTTACCTTTATTACATTGCTTCCCAGTAGACATTTTCCTTTGGGATAGACAGCTCCTGGGAACCGGCTACTTAACAGGGATAAAGCTACTTTGTCTCCTGATTGTGTACACTACTCAAGCTGCCAAGACCCACTGATCATGTGCTGAAGTATGTAATTTAAATGATCACCCTATTAACAAAATGTAATGCGGCCATTAAAAAAAAACATTAATATTAATAAAGCTATCCTGCCCAAATGTCACAGCAGCAAAACAAGTCAGCTAAAAACACTCTGGGAGCAAACTGTAAAATCTAAACGGTGCCTTAAGATCTTTATCGAGGTTACGCTACATTCTGTGGAGCCAAGACACTTTGCAACCCTTTCTGCAGTGGTTTTGGAAATTATATTATAATCCCACTAATTCTACCAAAAAGAAACGATGAAAAATATCAGCAGGATTCCTTCCATTCTTCTCTCCTTTTCCCTCTATCCAGTTGGACCTACCTCCCCCTAAAAATATGTACACTTGCGTTACTGAATTTGACCAAAAAATTGTTGCGACACAACGTGCATTTAATTAACGCCCTTCGCTTGGGGTAGGATCAGAGCTCTTAAAGGCACTAAAAGCATTACAAGGCAATAGGAATATCTGATATTTTCAGTAAACAAATCAAATTATTATATCCATACAAACCGACCAACCAGTAATCTGGATCCACATCACTATTTCTGTGCTTCAGATGACGTACTGGAAAAGCAGCTTAATTGAACCAGAAGAAAAAAAAGAAGACTGACCTCTGCTGCCACAGGGTCCTGTGATTTCTGTTTTGTGTATTTCGGTTGTGGGGGCTTCTGGGGCGCGTTGACACTGGGTGCAATTTGAGCAGTCTGTCCCATCTGTTTCATTCGGGGAGCTGCTTGAGTTGGGGTGATGGGTTTTGCCCAGGAAGTAGATAAAGGCTGGGCAGGAGGAGCTGACATCGGTCGGTGCTGTCTCACACCAGCGTTATGAGGAGCAACAGGCAATTCTCGCAGGTTGCTGTTTCGCTGAGAAGCTTGGAACTGATTTGGTAGCTTATTCAGGTTTTGTTGCCCAGGCACATTCTGTAAATAACAAATATAGCATTATTATTTTTTCCTGTCAATCGTCTGCCTCTCCACTCCCCCCCCCACCCCCACCCGCATCCTATCCTGAAAATGGTTTGAATTTTTTTTTCTTTCTGTGGTCGAGGTCCAAAGGAACCCAACAACCTCCAACACATCAACTAAACGGCCCGTATTCATGTGCGGGTCTTGGCAGAGAGTTTGAAAGACTATTCGGCTGTAGAGGAAATAACAGCTGAATCCAATCCTCTCTCAACATTGCCACCCCTTCCAGGAGGGGTCCCTGGCCTTCCCTTTCCTAAACCAATGGCGCTAATACCAATTGCTGTACCCCAACTTGGTATACGTTGAATTAACATCATTCGGGGAAGAGGTGGGAAGCTACCCTAAAGGAAGCAACAGAATTTGCTTTGGGTAAACTGCAGAATAATTCTAGTCTGATTACAGCTGGAGCAAACTCAACTTCGACTTAAATATACATTATATACAAGTTTTATTTTGGGCAGGGGGAATATTGAACCACTCTCAAGGTATTTTTAATATAATTAATCTTCAGTTCAATGTAGCAATTTAAATTTAAGAATGCCAACATGGATATCTGCCAACATGGATATTTTAACACATTTTCAACCAAGTAAAGTAAAGGAAGTTGTGAAACAGATTTTGTTTTTGTGACAAGCAACCTCACATAACCAATCTAATTGTAGACTTCAGTAATTTTTTTCGTCAGGGCTGTTTCCAAACATGCTTTTGGGAACAATATTAATTTGGATCGAGTTGGTGCACAGACAAGAAATCTGTGTACTTCACTTGGACAGGCGATTAGTCTTTGGCAAGTCATTCATAGCCTGGGTTAAGGCTCAAGGCACAACACAATCAACAGGTCTGTCTTTATAAGTTAGCAATTCACCACAGGAGGCTCAGTAAGATGTGCTGGTTAATGAATGAAATGAACAAGGGCCACTACTTAAATCAACTTTGGTTTGGGAAAATGAGCAATAATAAATCATACAAATATTTGAAACTATCCTCTCAAGAAAATACTTCTGAAGTATCATTTTCAATCTCTAAATTGAGGAGATGAACCATCAACAATCTCTGAAGCTGTGACGGATTTATCTAATTTGATGTCTGTAATTCGACGAAAATTTACAAAGATACTGCTTTAAATGAAATTTTAAAAATTCTTAGCCTTGTATGGCACTTTATATAGTCTTTGGTGGATTGGATTTGTTCAGCGTCTTTGTAAAAACATATTGGTTCTTCTCAGATCATCCTGAAAATAGCGCCTAAAATGCTAGCAGCAATTCACTAACTTGTTCTCGCTGCTCAGAAATTAACTGTAGTCGATAGATTTAGGTGGGGAGAGCTGGGACTCAGTCCGTGAACCATAATTAATAATAAACGTTGGATTTGATGTAGCCCCCTATCACATCATCGAGACGTCTCAAAGCGCTTCACAGAATATACTGTAAATTGAATTGTTTACTTTGTTGGCGAAACGCAGCGCTCAAATCTTTGAGCAGTGAGAATAAGTCAGTGATTTGCTACGACCATTTCAGGTGCTATTTTTCGCCTACAAAATACATAAATCACTGTACTTTACAGTATATCCGAGACGTTGATAAGTCCTCCCGACTTGAAAGCCACTATACCAAATGCAACGATTACTATCATTGCCATCTTTATGGACAAAAAGACAACACTGCTACACAGAACTGTCTCATGTTGACATGATAAACTTGCTGTTCATGTGAGTGCAACGGAAGCTTAACCACGGAATTCACAGTGTTGTTTATTGATGGCTTTATATTGTCTCCCCCAGTGTGCTTGCAGCTTGTGCTGTCTGACAGGCACCAGAGCCAACACCTGCTGGTGGATCTTGTGCTGCCAAAGCCTTGAATCTCAGTCATATCAAACCCGTTAGGTTTGCACCAACATTTCTTTTGCTGCATACAAACGCCGTGGGTGCAATTTATTAATAATGGTACCATTTTGCCACCAATTGTCACAATTCTGTTTCTGATAATAAGCAGACAGCCTTTGATCAGATGCATCCAAAAGTAACTTCTCTGCTAGCCCATAATATGCGGCAATTTCTGCCGGCACAAACGATAGTCTGGAGGCAGCAGGACAATACCATCCCAAGTATCATTTGCAATCTGTCAAACCTCTCTCAGCCTCTAACGTGTTTATCCAATTAAGATTCTTTACTTCTCACAAATCAATTCCCAAGTTCTATATAGTATCAGGGTCAATAAAATTAAGCAAATTCTAAAAAGCAAATGAAAGAATCCTTCAAGAATGGTTAAGTTAACTTGTGGCCTCTTTCATGTAAAATAAATGTCCCGAAGAGCTTTTAAAAAAAGTTATAAACACCGCAACTTTCAATTCCTATTTCCTAATATTCCAATCCTCCAAATAAAATTGGTTATTAACTTCAGAGCCGTTTGTGGAACATTGCTATGCAAAAATTGGCTGCCATATTCGCCCATAAAATACAGTCACACCACTTTACATCCTGTTAAAGAGCTTTAAGACGTCTCAACAACATAAGGAACTATTATTAAATGTAAGGATTATTACATTAGTAATATATTTGATTGTGGTGTGCTTAAATTTCTGAGTTAAAACTATTTTAAACAAGTGCAGGTGTTTAGTGACTTGGTAAAGCAACTCACAGGCAGCGTGTAATTCAGTAGGTGAGATAAAGAAAACTCAAAACTCTGGAAAATCTGAAATTCACAAAAAAAACACAATATGCTAAAAATTCACAGGACATGACTTTGCATCTGAAAGAAAGGTATGGCAAAGTGCTGGATACAAATTATTCAACAAAAGATCTGATGAAAGTTCATTAGATAATAAGATAATAATCTGTTAATTAATAAATTGGTCACTACAATCCACGACTGTTTGTGGGGACGCTGCTGTGTGCAATTGGCTGCCACATTCTGCCCACAAAATATACAGTCAATTCACTTTCCAGTGTATTTCGTGAAGCGCTTTGAGACGTCTCGAAGACGTGATAAGGCATTGTATCAAACGCAAGGATTATTATTATTATTATTACAGCAATATGAATCTATCTTCCCCTTTCAGATGTCAATTGAGTTGTCGTAGATTTCTATGTTGTCTTTGTAGAATGTTATACGCCCAATGTTATACAGTATAAAAGAAAATGTAGCCAGAGTGAATCCTCGGCCCTAAAGCTTGTATGGATTTATATTCTGGACATTTTACTGTGCGTCAGTTTAGAGTTCTCATTATGTTCAGCATTTGGTGCCATCAAACTCCATTCTGGGAGCCTGATTGACTGGCAAATTACCAGAAACGCTCAGTCCCCTTTGTCACACAACGAGTGGATAAAGGCAGAACAATAGCCTCAATTGACAGTTTACACAGAATGTGATGGCAAGGTTCAATGTGTGTCTGCCTTCATTCAATTGCTGCACTACACTGGAGACCACGTTGGTGTTTTTTTTTGAAGGTGGGGGAAAGAGAGAGAAAGAGAAATCTATAGTACACCCATAATTAAAAAGTAGGTGTCCTCTTGTCATTTGGGCAACATTTTTACTGCCTACTCAAGTGCAAGTGAAGGTGTCTACAGGAACGCACAAAAAAACAAATCTTAGGTATATATTCTGCATACAGAATATACAGAAGCTTCAACATGCTACAAAGATTCTTGATCTTTTACATACAAAGTTCAAATAAAACGTCAAGATTAGGATTGCCTATTTTAGGCTCAAAGATAATTTTTTTTAAAAGGCTTGATATTAAAAAGTGCTTACGTGTCTTAACTTCATACCACTTTGCCGCTGAGGATGCTGCAGTCGATTATCATTCACAGTTATCAGAGGCATCTGTAAATGAGGCCTGAATTGTTGTGGAGCATTAGGAATGATTGGCTGGGGAGAGCAGTGATTGTGCGGTGGCGGCGGCTGCATCGGCATGGGGGGCTACAAGATAGAAATGCACATCAATGATAGGTTACAAACTGGTTATTACTCTTTGGTAGTTACAAAATGTCATCAGTACAGGGTTGGAATATGTAATCACATAAACCAGGCCCAGTTTAGAAGGAAACCACGTGGCTACCACTGGGAGAGAGTTGATACTTGTGGAATCCCATAACACAGTGGTTAGCCCGCTCGCCTTGCAAGTGGGAGCACCCGGGTTCCATTCCTTACTCCACAAGCCTCTGTTTACCTAACTGTAACTAGGAACCCAGTTCTTGGTCAATTGGCAGATCACGTTCCAGGGGTAATAGTCCCTCCAAAAAAAAAAAGAAAAGGTTTGATCTAAGTGAATGTTTGTCGGACACAGCTGTGCGCAATTGACTGCCGCGTTTGGCCCGCAAAATACACAATATATTCTGTGAAGCGTTTTGAGACTTCTTAACGGCGTAATAGGGTGTATATCAAATACAAGAATTATTACTGTCATCTTAGAATATTTTCAAATGGGGTCTATTTCTTGGAAATACCAGTAAATTTTAAAAATCAGTTTATGCCTTCCTTCTGAAGCCAGAAGTGTTACTTAGGCATACATTTTCGCCCGCAAAATACACATAATCATACGACTTTACAGTATTTCCTGTGAAGCGCTTTGAGGCGGACTTGATAAAATGCTATGTCAGAAGCACGTTTTATTATATGTGTCTGAATTTATACTTGTATTAACCACTAATGGAAATATTTGTGAGTGCGGTGGGAAAGAGAAATCAATCAAATTCCAATCCCAGCTCTCTTCCTCCCTTCCATTTCAAACCAGCTGGATCTCTTTCTCAATGCAATCCAATTGCTTTGTTACTCCTGTTATAAGTATCTGCTTCATTTGATAAATATTTACAAAATGAAACGGCTTTATTTTTTTGATACAAGTTTATTGCCAATTTTGCAAGGATAACTGTCATATAGTAACACAAAAGAAGTGCAACAGTTATTCTTGAAACATAATCCATGAAAATAAATAGTCGTTATAATACCAAAAGATTAACTTTTTCAAAATAACGCGTGCAAAAAAAAAATTCTGATTGGATCGTTTTAAAATATTAGTTCTGGAAATTTTACCACAGTCTCAAACAGTTAAGTGACTGCAATTTAGAGATGAATTCCAGTTGGTATTCCATGTAGTGATTTTAGCAATATGCGATTATAATTGTGAAATCCTATTAGAGGCCGATTTGTCAACTTGGCTACGCAGAACAGAACACTGCCCAAGAGCTTAACCCTCTTATGTTTAGTTCTTGCAATCCACTACACTCCGATGGCTTTTGCATGAAAAGCTGTTCCTTCATCGGACTTTTAACATTAAACTGGTGGCTTATGTGTATCACAAACAGTAGAGGGCGATGCCAACATTTCGCTCTCACAAGCCGCAGGCTAACTGAACACAAAAAAACTTTAGGAAAGCAGATTTCAGGCATTATATCAGGGGGTTGTGGGGTGTGTGTGTGTGGGGGGGGGGGGTTTGCAACTCCAAATATTACAATTAAACAAATTCAATAAATAATAAACCCCATAAAACATTAACTAATATTTCTTTTGACCCACAGAAACAACATGGTGTTGCTGCATTAAACAGGAACCACTTAATAAAATTAGATTGACGTTGTGCGTTGGCCCAAAAAAAGCACAATCATCTCAGTACATCTGTACAGGGCAAAGGAAAATGCTCTGATTAATTTTCTAATCGAATCACTGCAGCTTATAATTCCCAGCCTACATCTACCAAGACTGACATATCTCATACAGTGCACAGGATCATTAGATCCAACTACTTAACACTTGGTCAGATACGTTTCTCTACATCTAACCTTTCGCTGCCCATTAACCTCCAGCAGCTATGGCTAGATTCTCACTCGAGTCAATAAATGCTTTATTGCTAAATACTGTGCTCATACCTGCATATTTGGTTGAAGGAGAGCTGACGGCGGGAACGGCTGTCCAGGGCCTTGTGGAAACTGATGTCTTGGAGGAATGAATGGTCTGGGATTCAATGGACCAGGCTGGTTAAAAGGAGGCATACCCATAGGCCCTTGGGGCTGCAGGCTAGTCCTTACTGGAGCTTCCCTTGGAAATAAATGTTGTTGTTGCTGGTTAAAGCCTGGCCCTGGATGGTTGTACACCATGGGAGGTTGGAGAGGCATGGGATGATTGTTCATAAGCGGGGGAGGAGGACTGCGCTGCTGAAACATATGTTGTCCTTGAAATCGTGGTTCTGTAAATTCAAAATGCTGCATTAATGTTCTGATAGACTGTACTGAGTTAATATCTCTTTTAATCACCGTATATTTATCAGTTATCACAATTGAGACATTTAATTACAGGACAAAAGTTGAATATAAGAACAAGAGCAAGTCATTGAGCCCTTCACCTCCATTCTGCCGGTTTAATAGATTTTTTTGCTCACAAAATACACTATTGTGTATCCACTTTACAATATAATTCTGTGAAGCGCTTTGAGATGTCTCAACAACATGATAATAAGAGCATTTGATATAGCGCTTTTCAAGTCTTCTAAACGTCTCAAAGCACTTCACAGAATTTACTGTAAAGTGAATTGACTGCATATTTGTGGGCGAAACGCGGCAGCCAAATGCGCACAGCAGCGTCCCACAAACAGTCGTGGATTGAGTGACCAAATTATTATTGTTTTTTTTTGAGGGATTAGCATCTCCGGAAAAGCGATCCGCTAACTGACTAACAACTGGGTTTACTTACTGCTAGATAAACAGAGGCTGTGAAGTAAGCAAACTTGCCCAACATTTTGCCCTGCCAGGAATCGAACCCAGGTCTCTCACTTGCGAGGCGAGTGCTCTAACCACTGAGCTAAAGCACTCCACAAGGCACTACATCAAATGCAAGGATCATTATATTTGTCAGATATTTTAATCTCATTTTGACAATCACAATTTTTTTCAAAATTTACAGTTATTACCAAGAATTACTTCCAAGATACACCAGCTAGTTTTCAGCTGACGGTATAAGACAACTTTCAGAAAGAACTTTCAGAAAGCCTTACCGCCCATGAAGAAGGGTTCTCTGTCTTGAGGGTGTGGTCCTCTCCAAGGCTCCTGAAGGGGTAGCCTGGGTGGCTGGTTAAAGTTACCAGGAACTGGAATAGGTGGCTGAAATTCTGGAGGACTCTGATAACGAAACAATACAGAGTCAGGAGAAAAGTACTGAACAGAAATTCTAGCACCTCGTAAATCATTTTCTCATAACCCAGTCAAATACTCAACATCTGACAACTTACCAATTAGTTTAACTCTCAGCACAAACTAACTGATTGGCACCTGAGGGAGGGGGGGAGAAGGGGTCACTAAGTTATCCATTTTCTTCCCAAAAAGAGTGTAACTGTAGACCTCATTAATTTGACACAATTTAGAAGCTTGACCACCTCAATTTACCAGGATGACAGTCTCAAATTCAGACAATTTACTTTTTTTTAAAAAAAAGAAGTTTAAAATAATTGCAAGAATTGATGGGAATTAATTTGGGCACAAGCAGAGAGAGGGGTAATTGTTCTACCCGTTAGATCAGCAGTTTGCTTGTTTCACTCACTTCCTCAAGAACTTATGAGGATCAATTCAATATACATTGTGAATGGTTCATCACACATTACACTCACATACTATTAGGCACACACACAAGGTCTTGATCTCTCTCAAAGAAAATAAGCAAGATAAGACCATTTTAATCCTTTTGCAGAATAGGAAGGTACTTCGCTTTCACATTTTATCCTTTCAAATACCCTTTCCAGTTAAGAAATTAACCTTCGTTGGCATATGATCCTTATACAAATTGTGCTTTTCCTTCTACACCTTACGTTAATTATGTGATGTTATCAATGGTAATCCATCTTTTCATATGGAAGGATGGCACTCGCTTAACAATGGCAAAACAGCTAAAACTTCACATAAGGTGCTCAACAAAAAGTTAATCAACTACTGAAAGATGATATAGCTAACCAAGAGGATCAAATGGCTATTGTACCACTTATCAGTTGCTCAATGGGTTCAGGCGTATAGTCACAAAAACCCTTAATTAAATACCTTAGCAATATTGTTGAAATCTTATGAATTGTTCAACAAATTAATGGTGTTGGTCTTCAAAGCCGGCATTTATTATTAATCCTACTTAAAATGTAAAATAGTTATATGTGGAAATCAATCTGATATAGCCAGTGAGCACAAGTTAATTCAACTGACTGTCACTGTTTGAAAAAAGGCAAAATCTAAGTAAATTAAATGACTGCTATACAACCTGCATTACGATTACAATACACAGCGAAGGTGCTTCAGTTACTGGATATAGATCCCCTTATCTTCCAGACCAGAAGTGACAGTATCAAAAGCTCACCAGAAGAAAAAGATGTCATGAATAACCCTGTACGCCTATCTCTTTACATTCACAGTGGCAGTATACACCAGTGGTTGTTAACCCCATAGAGGCAATCTGCTCCATTCCCACACTTATCTTTAAGCACAACGCTGCATTTTAAAAACATACAAATGCCCGATTCCTTAAGCATTTCAGATCACATTTGGAAAACAGTCAAGAACAACAACCATTTCTTTCCAAATGCCAGTTTTAATTCCGACAACCCATTTAGATTTTTGGGTATAACAGCATTTAAGACTCAAAGCAATAATTTATTAGAGCATTTCTGAAACCAGAAGTTCAAAAGCCTGAAATATATATAGGCTTCATACTAGGATAATGATCCTCACTTTCAAGATGAGCTAACGAGGGATAAGAGGTGGAAGCTACATTTAAATTTTAAATCAAATGCCTAAATCTGTAAAGCTAGACTTCTTTCAACAATCCAAATGCAGATACTTTGTAAAACATTAAAATACATCTACTAAATATACAGTCACTATACTTTACAGTAAATCCTGTGCTTTGTGACATCTTCCTGATGTAGAACCATAGAAATTTACAGCATTGAAGGAGGCCATTCAGTCCATCGTGTCTGTACTGTCTCTTGTAAAGAACGAACTGTATCAAATGCTCTTCAGAGATCAAGGCCAAGTCACTGAATCAGAGCTTCACACAACCAAATTATGCGAGGCATTATGCCTGAAATGGAATATTTTTCATTCCCAGCATAAAACATCTCAATGTTTGAATAATATGTAATAAAATACAACAGTATTAGTATAATAGAGTCACTGCACTTTACAGTAAATCCTATGAAGTACTTTGAGGCATCCTCCGATGTGAAAAGTGAATACAAGGTTTATTATTCTAACAGATAAAAACACAGGTGGAAAGGAATGTTGTTTTAAGCTGTATGGTTGAGGCTGCCATTGCAAATCGATAAATGTTCTATAAGAAAAAAAACACGTTAATCCTTTGGTGTGACCCTTTCTTCCCGGTAGAAGTAAAACCCATTTTACTCTTTTAGAACCAATTGTCCAGTTGAGTTTCTCCAGCATTTTGGGATTCAGTTTTTCATTTTTCTTCTTCAAGGGAAAAGTTACAACTTCTAACACATAAAGTCAGGACTGTAGCTCAGTCAAAGGAATTTGGCATCCAAGATAGAATTCCTACATTGCAGGATATCCCAGCAATGCATTGGAGTGACAGCCGAGACAATGAATTCAAAGTCTTATAGAAGGACTTGAGCATAGATGCTTCTGACTCCGAGGTGAGAGTGCCACCATACGCTGACACACACACACACACACTAAAACAGGTATTTGGGGATTTATTTCAGTACATCTCAGTAAGGGGAATTCTATGAAATTCTAACTCTGCTTTTTTAAAAAAAAAACATTTAGACCATGATTAGTCAAATACTAGGCACGGTCCAGCATTTTCTGGAATTGTAAAATCAATATAGTATCTTTCAACCCGCAGTTAAATGCCTCCACCTTAAACAGTTTGGGTAGAAATACTAAATTGACAACTGGATCAAAAAAGTATTTTTTTTAAATTCTCAAAATTTATTTTTTATTTCTAATATTCAAATATATCATTTATTTCTAATTTATTATTTCTTCTTGCATTTGAGATGCGAAAAACTTTACACTGCACACATCAAAGTTTAAAGCAATTATTGCAATTGCAGCTGTCCAAATACAATTCACAGGAATGATTTTGTAGGAACAGTACACAATACAGCCATACAGAAGCAATGCCCTCTAGCAATCAAGAGAAAGGCTCCCCCTTCCCCTTTGCATCTCAATCTAAAACAGATTTAAAGCAAACTGGTTTACGGACTTGTCATGTGATGGATGGCTCACCTGGTTAATGCTAACCCCGTAACTTAAACTTCAAAGTTTTATAACTTAGCCTTAGCTCTCCCCTCCCTCCACTATGTTTTCAATTGACATATCGAGAGCCGAAAATAAGGGAAGAATACATTTTACCCCATTTACATTTCACACCAATGCCTTGAAGTCGGAGACCAGAGATTTTAAGAAACATTTACATTTTTCCTATTATTCTGTGAGGGTGAAGATACCTTTAAAATAATAAACTGCTACATTGGGATTTGTAAATGGCAAATTCCAGATGCATTACGCTGAATGAACCCACGGAACTTGACTTGGTTGCTGACATGAAGGCAAAGGATCAACTGCAACATATCCAGGATTCGCTATTTACAAATCTCGCAGATTAGACTGCATTGTTAACCATTATAAAGTAAAAACTGTTGAAATATATGAGCCACACCTATGTACTTATTCTTGATATAAAAAGTCTAATCTTTTGTAAGAATGAGTACACAATGATGTATTTTTGTACCATTCCTGAAAAAATATTTCCCAATCTCCCAATATATTTTGCTTATATCAAAAACAAGCCACATACTGCACGGGTACTCTCAGCTACTGCACATGGAAACACACAGATATGATTAAATTTGATAGTATGATAATGTATGCTAATCACGATTAATCAGATGCCTGGTGGCAAATGGAAGTTGCTTGGTATTATGTCACCTGCATTTTAAATTGTGCACTGTATACGCCAATCTGACAGTATTTGACAGCTGGTGGTATCTAACACTGCATCTGCTCTCCTCTGCCCAAGATCTGATGAGAGAAAATGCCCATCATTCCTTTACCACCTATAAAGGTTATAATTACATAGCTTTCCAAGACATGGCTTGAAAACACAACACGCTCACGCTGAAAGCTTAAACTACTCAGTACACCACTCTGCCTCATTTTAGCAAGGTCTATAACCTGAATGAAATGTAATTTGCTTCAGCAACCTTGTTCAGATTCCATTTGCATAAACTGCTATGAGAAGCTCTACCCAGGAAGTGTCAATCATCACCACCTGATGTCTTGTACCCTGCAGACTACAATGCAGATCTCCATGGTTCTTAACAATAACTACATTATACTACTGATTCTCTCTTAGTTGATCTGTTTTATCTATGTCTCGATTATAAGCTTGCCTGTGATGCTGCAGGATGACATGATCTTCCTTACTGCTGCTCTACCAGCTACCTTCTCTGACTTTGGCCTATACGTTGTGTATGCTATATAAAGAAAACAAAATGCTAATGCCTTTTGCATTACAGTGCCATTAACCGTCTAACAACTCAATGGAATTCTAGTGTTCAAACACCGGTTTCATCTGGAATGATGAGTAATCCACTTATATCCATTAATCTTTTTCAATATTACCACTAAAAGACCAAATCTAAAAGTGGTAGGTTGAAAAAAATAACCATTTAGAGAGAGCAAAAGAAATAAATTAATATATGCAATTTAATCAAGACCTCTGAGCCCGACACTAAAATAACGCAGCAAATTCATAAAGCAAATTCTGCCTCATTTATTTTAATAGGTTTTTTTTAAACATCTTATGACGTTCCCTGCTGCCATCTCCTGTCACTTTCACATTTGTACAGCTTACAGTAAAATCACCAAACCCATCACAGCACAAAGCTCATATCAAACATTTCCAGCTGTGCAGACAACCAACAATGTTTACAGATTCTCAAAACTTTATTTAGCTTTGCCGGTGTTTAATTACTATGTTAATGCTACTTTACAATCAATATTGCAATACAAAGCGAAGCAGCTGCTACTCACAAGGAACCTCTGGGGACCCACAGCAGGCCTGGGCTGGCTTGGCGTAGGCATCAAGGGCACTGCAATTACAATGAGCGAGAGAGAGAAAAAAAAACGATTGTTACCTTTGTGTTCTGACCTTTGAAAAGATTCAAGCATGAGCGCTGCATGAAATTCAACAGCCTAGGCTTAAAAGGCTTTACGTTGCACTTAAAGAGTAAATTATCAGCACTTGCTCTCTGTTTTTTTTCTCAAAAAAAATACCTTACGTACAAGCAGCAAGAATGTTAATTAAACTGCTTGAGGAGAAAATCAATTGGGCCCTATACCTGTGCCAGTTACGTCTATCTGACCAGATTTTGGATGCTTGAGAACTTCCAATTAAACATCACTTGATCTCATCACAACCTGATTAAGTGAACAGATTTTTGTGAAAATGTTGACATCAGCATTAAAAGTTAACCAATAACGTAGGTTACAATTATGTTGAATATGCTTATTAAAACTACTTCAAAGGCATACTGCTTTCACAACATATTCGTAAAAATACTTCATCCATCTGAAAATGAAAATATCTCAAAGGAGATTTTAAGGAAACAAATTGGAAAATTGCAAATCTGAATTTCAGGATGGCTGAACGTTGAAATATCCTGCACAGAACAGGGCTAATCAACTGTCCATGATAACCATTGTTTAATGCTGGTTTCATTTTTTCCCCCCACTCCTAATTCAGAAAGGAAGACTTGTCTAACAGCAGTCATCACGCGAGGTTATCTATGAAGGTGCTAGCAGCAGGCTCTTCAGTAACTTGCCTGAGATGTCATTCTTCACATGTGACTCAGACAGTGAATGTCAGCAGGCAATTCAACAGTGTGGGGAGGGGGTGGAATGCATCCCATCTGATCCCAATCTTATCCGCCCTAAGCATCCATTCACACAGTCTTTCAAGCAGGTCAGATGGATGGCACTCAGGAGTAGAAACTATAAATTAGGTCAATGTACCAAGCCCCATTGCCTGCACTCCTGAGCTGAGATCAGCTAACTCAGGCAGGAGCCAAAAGGGGCACATTCTTGATCTACAAGGCTCAGCACAAACTCATTATCCACTTAACCACTGCCAAGAGGTTTCTCGTCTTTAACATAATTGGCTGCCGGGTTTCACCCACAAAGCATACAGTCAATTCACTTCACAGTACATATTTGTGAAGCGCTTTGTGACGTCTCGAAGACGTGATAAGTGCTGTATCAAATGCAACGATTATCATTAGTTATATTATAATTATTATTTTACCCATGATATCAAACAGCTCCGCAGCAGTATTATACCATTTTTACACATAGAGTATTGGAAGATCTGGGAAAAGGTTTAAATCTCATCGTTGAAATTTGGAAGAATTGATAGAAAGAATATGAACTACTTGGATAACAACCTCTAGCAGATAAGGAAGAAATATTAAGCATTAAATAGTACAATTACAAAAGTCAGAAGTGTACAGCATGATGGTAATTTCCATTACTATCAGAATTTCTTTTGCAAGCAGACAAAAAAATTGCATGCAAGTTTGTTCGAGCTCCATGGCGTTTACAAGGCCCAGCATGTTCATATTCCAGGTGAATCTCCCTTCTTAACCTCCCCCCATTCCCTCAATCCCTTTCTCTTTAATTAACATGGGATTGCCTGCATGAATGGAGGGGCACTTGAAGCTTATCACTGTTCTGCATTCACTCCTGCACTGATAGTCCTGTCATTATGCCATCACCGACATCGAATTTGTTCAAAAAGTAAAACTACAGAATGTATGATGTAACAAAGTTTCACTTAAAAGCTGTTAACAGGAGAAAAACAAGCATTTTTCCCACCGTATTTTCTCTTCTCCCTTTATGAACTATTTTTCCCTTATTTTGGGATACGGCACAAATGGCCATCTCACCCAAGTGACCACAAACCATACCTCTACTTTGATAAGACTGATGGCAGGCTATTGAATTGCAGTTGAAAGGAGGGTGAAGGAGAACAGGAGTTCTGGCTTGAATGCCCGATAGTGACCCTGTACAAAAACTGCTCAGGTTAGTGGTTTTGTAATCAGCATAGAATAGGTTAAACTGGAATGGACCAGATAGCTGCGCAGGAATGGGGAACAAAGACAGGAAAGAGTAACTGAATAACAAGTTCGTATTAGGACAGTTAAAGAGGCCCAGTTAGGGATATGAGGGAGAGCTAGAAGGGGGTGGTATTAGAGTGGTACACACAAAACATAATTACAGCGTTGTGATTGGAGCATTATACCTATATATGGAATGTGCGCCAAGTTTTTCTTTGTTCGAACCACAAGAGTTGTGCCTGGACTGTAACCTTTTTGCGGTGTGGTAATAAAGAAGAACTTTTGAAATCTACCTGAAGTCTGAAGGTTATTTTACACACATAAAGACGGTTTGAGAAGTAACCCAACAATTCTGGAGTATCACAGAAGACAAGAAAATGGACATAGATATCCCAAGACCCAGTAACAAAGTCAGACGTGACTTGAGGTAAGAAATCCTCTTGAAAAATTCCTTCGTCTCGGGTGTTGAGCTGTTTGAATTTTCTCGTGATCCTTGAAAGAATCGTGTGTGAAGGTTGAGACTGAAGCTTGCTAAAAATTGAGTAGCCTATTTTTCGGATATTGGATATCCTCTTCGGAGTTGAAACGGCCCACGGGCTCAAAATTTAGCACAACGGTAGGTTCAAAGGGAGATTCAAGTAAACCAACCACAGTTAAAGGAGGGCAAACCCCTCCCGAGATAAGCTTGACTGAAATGTTGGAAACATTAATTAAGGCTTTGCAGACCAATTTAAAGCTCCAAGAATTACAGGAAAGCATTGAAAAAAAGTATGGCATAAGCAGCGGCCAGTGGGCCCTGCCAAGCATTCAGAAAGCATGGGATAAGATGACCCGTTTAAAAGGGGAGTCTCAAACCCGATTGGCAATGATTACAACAAATCAGTTGCGACAGCGGAATGAAACAATGAAAGATACTCAACACGATGCTGAAATGAATAAAGCTAAGGAGCAGTTGGCTGCAATGGCAGAACAACTACACAAAAAACAAGCAGAAATCGACAGTAAAAATGCTGAGATTGAAAAGCTTAAAGCTGAAGCGGCTGGTAAAAGTAATGTCGGTGGAGCACCTGTTAAAAGTGGCTCGTTGTATCCACCATTGCTGTCTGCGTCAGCCCCTCCGGCTTATAATAAAGGATGAGTGTGATCCATGGGATCCGTCAACTTGCTGCCCCGATCCATGGGGACCCCCTCTTCCATCAGTCCAACTAAGACCCGTAGTGACGAGATACCACCTAAGGCAGGGTATGGCACCGCCGGGAGAGGCCGTGCTCCCTGCGGAGGGAGCTCATGACGGATGGGCAGGACATCACGAGTATTTGCTGGTGGAACCCGAAAAAATTGACAAATGGTCTAAATCGCTATCTGACCCTCAAAAAGGTGCGCTGAAGACTTGGGAGGAGCTTAATCGTCTGCGTACTATTTATGGCTTACACCCACAAGATGGGGTGCAAATATTATCAGTTATGGCAACTGGCTGGGATGCCAGATTACTACACGATAAAGTAACAGTAGCTTTGGGAGCAGGATGGACAGCTATTCAAACTTGGCTCCATAACCAGGGTCCAGCTTGAATTGATTGGAGTAAAATTGTGGCTTGTCAGCAGGAAAATAGCGAGTCGGTGCGACAGTATGATGATAGATGTCAGGCTGTATGGATAGAACATTCCGGATTGGCTGGTAACAACGGTCCAGATGCGTTGGGCCAAGTGGCTAAAGGACCCTTAAAAGCGGCTTTTATGGCCGGATTGAAAACGGAGATTGCTAAGTTGGTGAAACTTACTATGTCTACTAAGGAAAAGATATGGACGTGGATGGAAGAAGGAATGCATTTGGGTTCAGATGGAATATGGCGACAACATGACACTCAAAGAACAGTAGCTCCCCAGTCTTTAATGGCATTTTTGGCCCAACAGATCCACTCTTGGGGACATCTAGCCCCTCGACAGATGGTGGCTAGATTTGCGAGACATTGGTGGGGAAAAGGCTTCAGGAAGCATGCCCAGAATGTGACGGACAGATGTGTACCGTGTCAAAAGATCAATCCTGGTCCCATTACGGCGATGCCTCAGCTACGACCCCAGGCTCCTATTGGCCCCTTTCAGGAGATACAGGTTGATTATATCTCCCTACCCAAGAGCCAAGGTTTTGCTGACGTACTGGTAATAGTTGACAGATTCTCCAGATGGGTAGAAGCTACCCCTTTACACAAGCAACAACGACCTAAACAGCAACGATCCTGTGTAAAGATTACATACCAAGGTGGGGACTCCCAAGTTCGATTGATTCAGGCCAGGGAGCACACTTTACTGGAGCGGTATGCCAAGAGGTCTGCAGAATGCTTAACATCAAGTGGAGTCTACACTGTCCTTACCACCCTCAATGATCGGGCGGTTTGAGAAATAACCCAACAGAGGGTGATGAGTGGGAAAAGAGAAAGAACAAGCATAGTTGGTTCTCTACTTATTTAATGTTCATCTTCCAGCAGTTGTCTCTGAATAGCGACCAGTATTAACCCTTGATGCCCAGGGATAACAAGCCTAATAGTAGGACCATAGTCATTTGCCTGACTAACTCGCGAGTGACTTCTTTTTAAGGTCGACAGATTGGTAAAACTATTCATTGAAAAAAACTGTATAAAAACAGTTTTAAAGCAAAAAAGAATACTGCCATATTGATTGAAAATTATCAAACTATATACACACAGGTGACCAAAAAGTTGTGATACCATTACAATGTCTCATAAGTCTTAAATAAATTATAATATTTTTGTGTTTTTAGATAATAGGGTAGATATCACAACCTTTTGGTGTAGATTACGTCCTATATACAATAAGATAAATGATTCTGATAAATTCTCCAGCAGTATGGTAAATTGTGCGACACACAACTGAACTTGCAAATAAGTGTAAGTCACATTAAATTGTGGTGTAAGATGTTTCAAATTCAACAGAAACACTCTCTGGGGATAAGACCTATAATAGAGCAACAACTATGAAAAGTGAACTAGGCCACTTGCGTCTTCCCTGGTTGCACTAAAAAGGATGGGTAGGTTCTTATGGACTCACATCAAGACCAACATTAAGAGTTATGAGCACACATTTTGTTGAATTTGTGGGCGCAAGGCAGGATCTCTTTGCTGACTAAGGTATTTATTCTTGGAGGAAGATAGGTCTTGTGCAGAAAGCCAGCCGATGCCAAGAACACCATCTGGGCTGAGGTACGTATAGAGGGTACTTTTCTCCAACAGAAGTCACCGGTTCCATGTAGGAAGAAAATCTGTAAAGGGGCGGGGGGGAGAGAGAAAACGCACAAGACAAAGTCAAGCAACTTTCACGACAGTCTGAAGCTCTCACCTTGCACTGGGGACACCACTGGGCCTCGGAAATGAGGGTTTATATGGATGTTTTTGGATTGTTGCGTTGGCGGCCCTGTTTGATTCAAAGTAGAAGTTTCTGAATTTTGTTGCTGATGCTGCTGGTGATGTTGTTGCTGCTGTGGTGGTGGTGGCGGCTGCTGCTGCTGCTGTTGTTGTCGCTGCTGCTGCTGCTGCTGTGGTGGTGGTTGTTGTTGTGGTGGTTGTTGAGGTGGATGTTGTTGAGGTGGATGTTGCTGTGGTGGATGATGTTGTTGCTGCTGCTGCTGCTGCCCCTGCTGGGGGCGAATGGGAAATTGAGATGGGGGAGGCTGCCTAGGATTTCCCATTAAAGGTGGCGGCTGTCGTCGTTGTTGTTGTTGTTGAAAAGAACCTCTACCAGGGGTATAATCTGAAAAATTCATCATCGGGTGGGGATTCTGCAACACAAAAGCGTTTCGTCCGTGAAAATAAATCCATTGAAACAGCCTTTACTCACTACAAATAGAATTCTATACAACATATCGATGCCAATGATTTTCTGATGAAGAACATTATAATAATCCTTGCATTTGATATAGCTGCTCACCAGGTCTTTGAGACGTCTCAAAGCGATTCACAGAACATACTGTAAATGAATTAATTGTATACTTTGTGGGTGAAACGCAGCAGCCAATTGCACACAGCAGCGTCCCACAAACTGTCGTGGATTGAGTGATCCTATTTTCTAAAAAAAAACATTTAAGGGATTATAACCCCCGGAAAAGCGATCCGACAATCGACTAACAACCGGGTTCCTATTTACTGCTGGTAAACAGAGGTGTGTGTGTAGTAAGGAAATTTGCCTAACATTTTGGCCTGCCCGGGAATCAAACGCAGGTCCTCTCGCTTGTGAGGTGAGTGCTCTAACCAATATGCTACAGGAATCCACGTATTGTATTTTGAATGAAGGTAAGAATGGAAGATTTAAAAAAGAGAAAGAATGAATACCCCATATTACATTGGAAATCACAACAAAAACTTCAGCTAATTGTAGTGATTTGTTTTTGTTAAACACAACTCCTATTTGCACCAGCAAGTTCCAACAAACAGCCATGACATGAAATGACCAATTTATTTGGAGGATTGTTGGCCAGGACACCAGAAGAAACTCCCTTCTCTTTTCCCAATTGTAATCGGATTACCACCTAAAGAGGCAGACAGTTTTACATCTCTGCAAAACATTCTTGTTAAGGATAAAATGAGCTGAGCACATGCTGCACTGTCAACCAATTGGATACTTGAGATTTATGAATATGACAACTCAAAACAAAATGTACAATTGTAGAAATGATCTGCGTAATATACCTTGCCAGCATAACACACTGTGCTAAATTTACTGAACCCTCCATCATTGCTTAGTCCCTATAGCCTGAAGTTTGAAAACTAATCTAAATGATTAAAGGTTAGAGTTCTCTCAAAAGGCATCTTTCGAATTGTTTACGTATGATTTTCATTCAAATTTTTTTTATTGTAATTTAATTATGCTAATTTGTACTCGGAAGATTGGAAGCAGCAACATTGGAGCACCAATTTATGGTTGCACAGAACACTGCAATATGGGGACAAAGGTTCGATTCCCCGGCCACCAGTCTTATCGGTGTCATTGAAAAAGGGCATCTGCTGGCCCTAGTGTTTCACCATAAGAATGGAGCGAAACATTACAGAATCATCTGATGGCAATTGCAACTGCACCGTGTGGATGGCTATTCAGACAAACAACAGCAGAGGTCTGAGAGCAGGTTGCAAACCCAATGTCTTTGGCACAGCTACTGTACATGTAACCTGGAGAATAAAACACTCCCCACAAAATATACAGTCACTACACCTTATAGTATATTCGGTGAAGCGCTTTGAGACGTCTCAAAGATGTGATAAGGTGCTATATCAAACACAAGGATTATTATTATTATAAACCGCCCTTATGGTTTTGTTAAAAAAATATATACATAAAAAATAATAATATTATTATTATATACATAAAAAGGCTGTATACATCATTTTAAACAGTTTGTCTAATTTCACGGCGATCAGCATTCTACTCGGCATTACAAAACAAAAGAACACTTTAAAATTTACAGGTTCAAAGTTTGATTCATATACTGTTCATTCAAGTTCATCTCCACCTCCCAGATTCTTCTAATAAGGGGGATTGATGGCCCGGACACCTGGAGAAACTCCCTTCTCTTTTTGAATAGCGTCATGTGACCTTCAACGTCTATCTGAACAAGCAGATGGGATCTCAGTTTAACGTCTCATCCGAAGGAAACACCAAATTTAAAGCTATTTATTCTATCCATCTTCATTGTCTGAAAATTAAACCAGGCACACAATTTTTCGTTCCAGAAAGAAACACACAAAAAAAAAGATTCCTCATCCAATGACCATCTATGCAGCACTGCAGGAATTCAGACAAAATATATCCACACCGATGCTACATATACCATCGTAACGTGACAATTAGCTGGTTGTTAAAAAGATCGACTTGTTGCTATTTTGCTCAATAATAAATATGGCTTTAAGACTTAAGGATAATTATAATTTAAAATACCACATTGTAAGTCATAGATAGTGCTTCGTGTTACTGTGCCACTCGAGGGTACATACACAACACAACTGCTAGATGGTGCTGTATCAATGTTCACATTACATGCTGAAACAGATTTCATGGGTCAAAAAAAATAAATGTTCTCTCATTACGTTCAGGCAGTTGAAACTTCAGCACAGGACACTTGAAGATTTGAAGCGCTCTGAGACGCTATCCTGCGTGAGAAGCACTATATAAATGCAAGTTGCTGTTGCTGGGTACCATTATTTTCTCCTTTAGCCCACTCCACATGCATCAAAGTTCCTCCTTGAGGTCGTTCCATCCCTTTTCCCCCCAATCTTTTCACCAACAAGATTTAAAAATGGCACTGCTAACATGGTTCCACCCCAGGGCACAAGGAAAAAAAAATACTTCAGTACAGGCAGCCAATTGTGCCATTGAGTTTCATCTCATTCTCCATATCCTGCATTCTGAAGCTAATGTAACCGCCACAAAGATATTGTTTTCAAAGCATGGAGCAGTGGGAACGTCCCAGACCTTAATATTTCCTTATCTCTCAGGGCAGGATGAACAAATGTTATTATACAAAGACAAAAATACAAATAAATAAAATGCCCAGTTTTGGTATAAAATGCCAATGGTCACAGAATATGTTCCCTTGGCACAAATCACAAACATAATAGCAATAATAGTTTGTCATTTTGTCAACAGTTTCTTAAATATTATCACGGATGTGACTAATATATGCAAGGATACAGAGATTGCAGAATCCACATTCAACACAGGGGTTTTGCTATCAGTTTTCAGCACATTAGTATTCCATCCTAAAGATGGAAATAATTGGAGACTCCACACTGCCCCAGAAAAGCAGATCATGTAAAATAATATTCTGCTTTGCGTCGATGGTGGTTATAACCTTCCATAATGCACAATGTTACTTTAGGGCGTTCAGAGAAAATTAACAAATTTACATTTTTTTGTAGCTGACTGCAACAAACTCCAAGTGTATGAACAGTGTCTAAAACATTAATAATAATACTTGTGCTTGATATAGCACCTTGTCACGTCGGTGAGACGTGTCAATGACGTGATAAGGACATAATAATAGAACACCCAACTGTCTCCAGAGTGGGCCAGAAAAAAAGTCAGTGCCTACTTTGTACTCAGCTTGGACAAGATTGTGCAATAGAAGAGGGAATGCCATTTAAGAAGATATATAATTGTATGAGTTTCTGCGAGAAAGACCTGGGGTGTCATTAGTCGAGAGTAAAAATTAGATTATCGTGGTGTGACCACAATCTTTCTCCTCCTCTTTTAGAATAGAGGCAGTTAATTCCGAGAGCAATTTTACAAAGTGTGATGGCTGTTTTTTAATGCTCGCTCTAGATACTCGTGTAATCCATTTCATGTGATTAATTCTATACCAGAGGATTAGCAATTGTGTTGTGATTAATGCAAGTTTATCCAGAAATTATTCAATTGTTAATGAGAAAATTCTATCTACCTAATTTAAATCGTAAGCATAAGCTATTCTAAGTAGCACAAAGAGTCAAAATTATTTTGCCTGGAACAGGAATCATCCGTTTAAGGCATAATTTGGGAGCTCCAAAATAAGAGCCCTCCAGTGAACCTATGCTGGGCTCAATGCAAGCTCTGGCTGCAAGGCATGGGATACCCCTCAACACAATAGTTATCCCTTACTTAAATGATAATAATAATTCTTGCATTTGATATAGGGCCTTATCATGTCTTCAACGCGTCTCAAACGCTTCACATAATATACTGTAAAGTGAATTGGCTGCGGATTTTGTTTTTTCGCAAGAATTATTATCCCCGGAAAAGCAATCCGCCAATCGACTAATAACCGGGTTGCTACGTACTGCTAGGTAAACAGAGGCGTGTGAAATAAGGAAACTTGCCCAACATTTCGCCCTGCCGGGAATTGAACCCAGGTTTTTCGCTTGCGAGGCGAGCGCTCTAACCATTGAGCTACGAAATGCGCGTTTACCTGTAGTGATAGCGGCATCTGCATCAAAGGTGGTCGCTGGTCTCTTCTTCTTCCTCCACCATCTTTCCTTGGATCACAAAATCCAAAATTACCTGGACCTCCTCCTCGTCTCCCTCTTCTTCCCTGTTTTCGTTGACGTTCCATCTCCTCAAACTCGCGTAGTGCTGCCTTAGCTTCATCAGAAAGTTCTAGAACAAGAAATCACATTGAAAATTTGAAACTAGTATGTAATGCGAGTCCAAGGGTTGCTTATTTCTGCCGGCCTGACAAACCGTCAGATGAGCTATCAAGGAATTGTCCTTTGGAGAAGAGCTGCTGCAAAAAAACTGTTAATAATATTCCTTGCATTTGATATAATAACTGTAATTTTTTTGTTAATTGTTGTATTGTTGTCTTTGGCTTTTATTTAAAAGAGGAAAAGCTGGTTCTGTTGGCTCAACTAAACCATGAGTGCTTATCGATCAATATTATTACTCAAAAGATAAATTGCAACGGTAGTTTCATAAAATTTTTTGAATTTGACAAAAATGTGATGCATTTGAAAACAATTTATATTAACATTGAAAGCTTTAATATATTAAAGCTTAATATATCTATTTAATTAAAATCATCACTGAATTGCCAAACTAAAATAGTTCTTTGTTGATCAGTGGAATCACTTCAGACTCCAATACATTGTACAGGAGTTATTTCAAGAAACAATAATGCTCAATTCTCTTATTAACAGACACTTGCCACAACATTGTTCAATCCTAACTTGGTGTCATCTCATGGAAAGTCACAAAAGATACATTATAATAACCACTGCATTTGATATAGCGCCTTATCAAGTCTTTGAGGCGTCTCAAGGCGCTTCACAGAATACACTATCAAGTGAAGTGACTGTATATTTTGTGGGTGAAACATTCATGTTTTGAGCTTCCCACAACAAACATGTAGTGGAAGAAGTGTCAAACAAGCTTACAGCTACTGTGACTAAGCACTTCTCCAATGTGAAAAATGACTTACAGTATAAATTCTGCAGGTATGCCAGAGACGGTAGATTGGGGTCAATTGAGTGGCACATTCAATATTTAGCACATCAAATGGACCCAGGTGTGCATGTTGCAAGTGTGTCATTCTCCGTCTCTCTCTCTCTCTCCCCCGGGCTGTTCTCAACGGGAAAAATCAATGAAGCCAGGTGCATGGTAACGCACCTCTGTTCATGTGGCTTAACGCAGAGCGAAATTTGATATCGCCAAAAGTCTACAATTCTTATTACAAAACATTTCGGATTTTTGGTCATGTTTTCGTGAAAGCAATTAAGAAAACCATTCAGGCAGTATTACTGTAGTAGTTCACAGCAACATCAACTTTATTCAATAGGACTTCATTCACATCAACAAATCACTCTTCCTAGCCCGTTTAGTTGATGAAATGGCCAGATTATACCAACTCTCACAAAGGCCTTTTTTATTCTGAGCAGGTCCACAGCACATTTTTTCATATTTTAGTGATACAGTGAATCAGCAATTATAAATTCTTAGATGTCGAGATTAATTTCAGTACGGCCAATAATAAAATGGTTTCACACGACAAGTCTAATCAGTTAGCAAGAATGCTTTCATCCAATAGAAATAAGCTGTCACATTAGGTCAGCAAAATGTGACGAACTGGAGATTGCATTTGCAACTTCAACTGAAATGTCAATTGCCCTCTAAATGCTTTTTCAACCGCTTCAAGATGCAGTTGAGAGCAGTTACGGAGTTCTGCTCTTTGTGTAAGCACATATTGATTTTTCCAGCTTTTTTCTCGTTCCATTTAAGGTCCTTTAGAAAATCCTGAGGTTTTCAAAATATACCAATGCAAATAACCAGGGAGTGGACAAAGCATGCTAAATTCCTTGCCTGAATTTGTGCTACACGATCAAGGCTTCCTCCTTCCATCCCGTAATCATTACATTTATTCAGCTATAACAGTTAAAAAAAACCTCCTCACAGTTTATTATGAATTAAGGTGAGAGGCGAGTATAACTGGAAACAAAGAATTGCAGTACTTCATCTCAAAATCAAATATTCTGGTTATTAACATTTCACATAACAAGCAAAGTAAAAATTTGGCTCTGTAATTGGTTTCAATTTTTTTCATTTCAAGTGAAAGAGAGCCCTATTTTGTATTGCTGACGTTTCAGAATGGGGGGGAAATTTTTTTTTCTTTCCTGCGAATTTTCCGAGCTGACTTTCCTAACTAAACAAACTGCCAGAATACGATAACACAATTTTTAAAAAAACATGGAATATAAAACAATGGAATATATTTTAAAAATCAAGTAATGCTTAACTTGTATAATTCATCAGTTAATCAGTCAACTAATTAGTCAATGATATCAGGAGCATAGAAAGGCTTTGGAAGAAATTTAGTGGGATGAGTGGTATTATTTACAAGCGGAGACTGGAGGAATCCTAATTTTCACAGGAATAAAGAAGTTTGAGCTGAGAACTGATAGAGGTCTTGAAAATTCAGAATGTTTCCATAGAATGGATAGGAAAAAATTATTTCCATTGGTCAGTGAGTCAGTGACTAGAGGGCATCAATTTAAGATAATTACCAAAGGAGCAAAGGAAAAGACCAGGATTTTTTTTAACATGGAGGTTTGTCAGGAAGTGGGATGCCCTACAGGGAACAGTGGTTGAGGCAGAATCCACATTAGCTTACGAGGAGAACTGAAGAGATATCTAAACAAGAACAATTGGAATGAATATTCCAAAAAAATAAATCAACAAAAGAACCCGCACAGACAGGATGGGCCATATAGCCTTTTTTCATGCTGTAAAGTTCTATGTACTATGTATTTACTCAAACTAATCGAGGATGATCATTACCCAATTGCATTCTATCAGAAACCAGTTCCAAAATGACACAGGTAACGAACAGGTTACTGCCTCCATTCACAGACCAAGAGCAATCATAAACTGTTGCAGTCAGGAGAGGAAACAAGGCAATTAAATGGGGAAAAAAAACAGAAACAAAACTATATTTACTTACTTATAATTATTGCCTATATTCCTAACTAAAGCATCAGTAAATCAAAAAGCTTTTCAATTTAAAGGTCTGTTGGGTTGCATTACTGACCCAATGTATCGGGAATGTTTCTCCTTTTTCTGGCTGCATCTGTTAATCGAATAACTGTCCCTTCTTTGCGTTCGGTTTTGAAACGGATTCGTCCAGATTCTTCATCATCTTCATCCTCATCATCAGACACTTCCTTTGTTTCTGTTTTTGCTTCACATATTTGGTTTACCACCTAAGCACAAAAAGACAATGTTAATTTAGTCGTTCGACAACAGCTTAACCTCAATAACCATGAGTGGGTTGGAAGGAGAGGAAGGAAAGAGGAAAAAACACTGGACAGAATTCACAATCCTGTTTGCTGTCCTGTAATGGAAGTGCTCATTTGTGAACATCAGGTGAGGACAAGACAAGGCTCAACTGTGACACCTCTCTCATGGCTGAATGGCCTAGCAATATTCATTTGTCAGGATTACAATCAAAGAATAAATTGGGTGAGGCACTGGAAGGTGGCAAGCACTTGCAGAACTAAAGCAAAGTATAAGTGAGTAAAATCAGGAGTCAACAGAACAGGGCCACTGGTGACATAATTTAAGTTTATTTACAAACGTGATTTTAAATATACGTAAATAAAATATTGTTGTAACTTCCAACCTCCCACAAGCACAAAATAATTTGGATAAAAGAAAAATAACACCTGTGCAAGCTTTGTCTCACTAACATGGTTCTGTTGCATATGATACACAATCGCACATTAGATTAAAATTCTCCAACAAACATTCGATCTGTTATACTTTGAATTTCGAAGTCTTCCAAATGAGCGCACGAGTCAACCCCAAAAAAATTGATCAAGTGATTATTCTTGAATCAAGATGAAGTTTATAACAGTAACCATCATATCATAGAGCCATAGAAATTTATAGCACAGAAGACCATCCATTCAGTGGTCAAATAATTGATACACTTTTGGCATCACCCATTTGCTTTTATAACTTGCATTTATACAACGCCCTTCACGCTGGGTAGCGTCCGGAGCACTTCACAGTGCCGGGTCTGATCCATTGATGAACCTAAAGTTCTCCATCTACCCCTGTTGAAGTTGACCTACCCGGTTTCTACTCTGCTTCTTCCCCCATAACCAAAATGCAGGAATTCATTCCGTGGAGAACATTCAGCATTCAAAACGACGACAATTTGGATTATTTTACCTCGATGGGTTCATTAACAAGCTCTGGAACCGGTTCTTGTGAATCCATAGCAATGTTCTCATGTTCGTATTCCTCATTGACCTCAGGTTGAAGTTGTTCTGCTGCATCCTGGGATGTGGAATATGTATACTCTTCTTCCTGAAAAAGATAAAAAATGCTCTCAGAAAACTGGCTTTTGAGCAAAGGATACCAATTCAATGATTTTTCCCTCCATACCCAGAGGCATAATAATAATCCTTGCATTTAATATAGCACCTTTCATATCACATCTGATTTGTTTTAGTGCAAGAAAATTACTGCCATTAAAACTACAGTGAAACCCAGTTATAATGCAATACAATAATTTGGAAATCTTAGCTGACTTTTTCCACTAATAATAATCCTTGCATTTGATATAGCACCTTATAGAGTTGAATTTAGCCAATTTAGCTTATTTTTTCCCAAATTCATAAACATTGAACCAAGCCTCCCGTGCAATAAATCTTCCAATTTATACACAGTTTAAAAAAATATGGAATATTTTTAAAGGTTTTAAAAAGTGTACAAATGTTATCTTCTCATCTTCTCCCCACCCGCCCCCCAACAGAAAATCACATTCATAATGCATTCATATTGTGACATTTCCATTTCAATTCAAAAATACTCTTATGTGGTTTTACTGACTTAATGATGATAAATGCTTCTACACCAGATCTCATCTTAACAGCTAAGAGTTAATCTCTTTATTCAGCTTAAAGCTGGTATGTGCTGAAATAAAGGAGGTGAAGAACATCAATCATTTCTGGAAAATTAACATTCTAAAGAGGTCAGTAATCTATGCACCTTTACAGGACTCAATCAGATCCCATCCAATCTGCTGATAAAAACCTTTCACCTTAACTGTGCTTGACAATTGCAGTGTATCTGCATCAGACAAAGCAGGCTTTTTCCACAAAGATACAACCCTCAAGGTCATAATGCAGAGCAGTCTCTAAGCCTGTCAGAAGAGTATTGCCTACCTCCAAACAAGCTGTCAACATAAACTTTGTCAGACAAGAGATAAAGAAACTGACAGCGAGTGATAATAGGTCTAATTTTCACACCTCCCCTGGGACAAAAATAGTTTTAAAATCAGCCTGGACCCTGGTGATGAAGTGTTATCTGAAATGATACAAGAGAAAAGGGCTTACTTGAAATTCATCATCTAGAGGGTCATTGATTTCAAGGTCTAGCACTTCATCATTGTACATCTCGTCTTCACCCTGCTCTCCCGTGTAATCCACTTGGTCCTCCACTGCCTCATCGCCTTCATACTGCACACCTTCTTCAGTATAGTCATCCTGAGAGTAACCTTCCAATTCTTCTCCCCCTGGTGCGTCCTCTACATCTTCAAGGGCCGTATTCTGATCATATGGGTCTTGCTCTGCATATTCAAATAGCTCTTCTGTACCTTTGTCAATACTTTTGGACAGTTCTAAAGATGCCGAGGCATTGAATTCAACATATTCACCTTCATAACTGAAAGATAGAACATTTATATTACACGCTTAAGACAAGATTGCAGAAGAAATCAAAGATTTAAGAAAATGCTTGTGTTCAACGTTTTACTAATCACAAATAGTAAAGTGAATTGGATAATAGGATTATCTTATTTGTTTATTTAATTTCTTAATTGTTATTAATAATCCTTGATTTGATACAGCGCCTTACCACGTCATCAAGACATCTCAAAGTGCTTCACAGAATGTATTGTAAAGTGAATGAACTGGATATTTTGTGGGCAAAACGCAGCAGCGAATTATGCACAGCAGCGTCCCACAAACAGTCGTGGATTGATTGACCAGATTTTTTTTGGAGGGATGTTGCTGCTGCAGAATATTCTAGATTAATTACAAAATATATTTGTATATTTATTTGATTTCTGGGTTGTCATTCGTTTTTCGATCAAGTCATTAATTTAGGTTCCATCTGCCCCCACCCTTCCACTATATCCAAGAAACATGGGTTGCCCCCCAGGTTATTTTGACTTAATTTTCCTCCTCATATAAATTCACCTCAAAACTTGCAATTAATTGCCTACTCATCTCATTCTCTTTAGGACATTGTTTGTGCTAATTATCTGCTGTGTTTAGCCTCTACATTTACTACAATTCCAATTAATTTCATTCTGGAAGGTACTTCGAAACGTTTCTGGTTTCGAAATGTGTCAGGCGTGCTATAAACGCACGTTGTTAACAAAACTGTATGCAACTAATCTGTATTGTTTTAATTTTGTATTCTAAATTGAGATTCCATACCGGGGTAACAACAAATGTCACCTATTAGAAACATTAAATCTCATCAAATCAGATGAGAATAGCAAGTATCTTAAGCAAGACGCATAAATGTATTCCTTGATCACCATTATTGCAATGCTGTTTACAGTGCTCCTTTTCAGTGCTTAACGAGAATTTCTACTAGAGTCACAGTAACAGTTTCAGGCAAGAGTAGACTATTAATCTGTCTAGTCTACCTACTCAACTATCCAAAACATTCCTTTGACACATCTATAATGATCCTAAATTTCTGAAAACTTCTATAAACCAGTATAGTTTTAGAACCATTCACAGTACATAATTCCACCACTTGTGCTGTCTGATAGTTTGGTCTCTATACTGTTTACTACAAAATCTCATTTTGTCTGGATTTTTAAAAATGTATTACATTTGTGATTAGTGTTTTTGGAGAATATATATTTGTACTTAAACATACACATGATGAGAGTTTGTTTCAAGGAAGAAAGGAAATCTATAAGAATATGCCCTATCCTAAATTGGTATTTATCTCTTTTTCCTACTTCTGTCGTACAAGATTTTGAATTGATGGTCAGAAACAGTTTAGGAGCTGTCATTTTGTAGACGATCCTTTCTTCAGTGACAAAACTGGGGAATGATTTCTTCTAAAATGTCTGCACACAGGCCAACTCTCAGACCAGCAGTTTGACAAAATAACCAGCATAGAGACAGCATGAGAAGTACATACAATTGTACAGAACCAGCTATTTTAAAACGTCAAATTTCCATAACAGTATGAACAAAATACCCTCTTTTCAGCTAACCTGCACTTGAGTCTTAACCTGGATCTCAATTAAAAAAAAGAATGGTTACAGTCGAATGAAGTTACTTAGATGGCAAATACAAATTTATGGATGAATTTAACAACAAATCTCCGCCCCCCAACACACACCACACACACACCTCCACCATCATTATTTCAACACTCATTGAGAGAAAATAAGTGCTGGAGGAAAAATTCAAAGGCAGATGTTATTGCTTTTAAATCATAAACTAAAGTTCCTTTAATGCCACATCCACCCAAACAAAAACTGAATTATAAGCCACTCTCATTATCAGTCCAATTTTTTATTTGAAAGATAATGTGTCAGGGAAGAGATAATTTCTGTTCAAGGTGCCTCAATCTCTCCACATTACCAATTCTCAATATAACTGAAGTGTAACCCTTTTAAGATATAACCGTTAAAAACAAAGATAACCCTAACCAAAACTAAAAATTCACACTTAAAAAAAAGTATTCGGAATTTGAGCCATAATCAACCTGTTCAGGTTTTAGAAAGCAGTGAAAAAAAGAAAAATAGACAACTAGTGGAGCAGTAACGAGAGCCAAGTGGGTGAATGACAAATGGGCACTGCTGCTATTTGTTTTAATATTTCCCATCCTATATCCATTTTAAATTAATGTTTTCTGAAACAAATTAAATTTTATGAGAAGCCATGGATATTCAACTTTTGAAAAGGTCAGCAAATGTAGAATATAATGAAGTAATATTCTCACTGTTGGGCTGTGCTTTGTTCTGAGATTCTCACTGCTTACTCAAGTACTACTTGCAATGGTCAACACGCAGCTAAGCACACGGACAATATTTTTGCATTAAATATTACTCCAATGTAACACAAGAACAAATTTAAAATATAACATGCCTAATAATGCCTTCTGCCAAACTATTAAACTATTAAATTGTAAGTCGATCAAAATTCAGATGAACTGTTTTCCAATGATGTTTTGAGAAAGTCTTGAAATATTTTGGGATCTACCTTCATATTGCCAATGCTGCATTCACCTATAATATAGTCACTACACTTTACATGAAATCCTGTGAAGTCCAACATGAAATGCGCTATATGACATAATAATAGCACAATGTTCCTTAATAATCCTGACATTTGGTACAGTGAACGAGGATCATTTTCAAACTACCCAAAGTTGCTACCATAACAGCAGACACAAATCAACTTTGTACATGACTTCACACCCTTTCCTTGAAATCCAAACACAGAAGTTATTAAAGATGAGATTAAAGATCCGAATAAATTGTTCTTAAACCACTGCAATGGATTTTTATGCATAGATCATGAAATCTTTACTCAACCAACATATACTGTCAATTCACTTTACAGCAATAGTAATAAATAATAATAATCCTTGCATCTGATATAGCGCCTTATGTCTTGAGACATCTCAAAGTGTAATACTGTAAAGTGAATTGACTGTATATTCGTGGGCAATATAGTCTGAAGTGCTTTGAGCATCTCCAAGACATGTTCAGGCACTATATTAAATGCAAGGATTATCATTATTATTATTTTTTTTGCTTCAAATGCAAATCTATCAAGCAAAACAGGTTTTCCAGTCTGGAGCTGGGTTTCAAAACTTTGATAAAAAAATTCTAACTTTTTCCTGCAGTCTTATTAATGCAGACTTATTTGACAACAGTAATGGCATTCTCACAGTGAATAGTTTAGTAAACAATACAGTTAACACAGGTTCAAATTGAAGGTTACACTATTTTAATAGCTTGAGCTGTTCAGACGGTTAAGAGTAAAGTTAAGTTTTTGCATCATAAAAAAACCCCTCCAACTTGTCTTTTTCATGAAATACCTCAGAAAAAACAAATTACATTTGTATAGCGCCTTAAACAAATAATTTTCTCTGCAGTATCCAACCACAAAGAACAATAAAAATAATCCTTGCATTTGATATGTCTTTTCGCGTCTTAGAGAAGTCTCAAAGCGCTTCACAATAGTGTAAGTGTAGTGACTGTGTATTTTGTGGGTGAAACGCTGCAGCCAATTGCGCATAAAGCTGAGTCCCATAAATATTTGTGGATTGAGTGACCAATCTATTATTGGCTTAAAACTTAAGAACGCTGATGGGGTAGTCATAAAATAAAATCCTGATACTCCATACATAAACATATTTAAATCTTTGATTTTAGGAATGCTTTTTAAAATTTCACAACATTGCATGAATATTGTACAACTTTGACATGAGGTGCCATAACAAGTTTAATCCTTGCACTTGCATTTTTATAGCATCTTCCACATAAACATCTCAAAGCAATTTAATATTTGATGAGAAATGAAGTGAATGGCGTTATATAGACAAATACATTAACCGCACCAGCAATATCTGCAAATAATGAGATGAGCATCCAATTAATTTGAACTTGGGGATGAATTTAGATGATGAGGGGAAAATAAGTCAAGATAACCAGAAGAAAGACTCCACTTTATGTCCAACTTTATGAATCACAAGGCAGATGGAACCTAAAATTAACACCCATCAAAGAAAAGAATCTTCTATAAATATATAAACAGTGAATACACCCAAGAACATGTGCTTTGTCATTGCCATTTCTTATCACACCTAAACTCATGTAATATCTCCATCTTTATCAGCCTCAACATCTATTGTCTGATTTCTGTGAGAACGGATATCAGACATGAAACAAGTGAGCACTTTGTGGAGCTGTCGAATTAATAGTGCTGAATTGCTCTATAGCAACATATATTGTGCTGATTCAAATTTTACAGACATGTACACAGACAGGACAGACATTTTTTCCAAGCAGCAGTGATAAGAAGCAAGGCACAGAGCAAGAAAGTCTGGCTGGTCTCTGGAATTAGTTTGAAAATTCATTGGCAAGTTCGACTGGCAAAATGGCAATCAAACGAACAAAAAATGTGATTACCAATTGACTGACACAATGGACGAAATAGCTTTCTCCAACGCTGAAAATTTCTAAAACAATCTTGAATTTAATCTGGATGTTGTATTCACCTACAAACACGCAGTCACTGTACTTTATAGTAAAGACCTATGAAGCATTTGGGAGACATCCCAACAACATAATAAGGCACTATATCCATTGAAAGCATTTGGATTCTTTATTTAACTACATGAAAGGCTCTAAACAATTGCAAATAATAGTTGTTGGGTTGGATGAAGCACCCCGGAACGCTATCCTGCTTGAGGGGGTGCTTTATAAATGCAAGTTTTTGTTGTTTGATTTTCTCTAACAATGGTTATTTTTCAAGTCTATGATCAGATACGGCAGGGATCCCAAAATATAATTGGACAGGCTGAAATTCCAGTTAAGTTACTGAGGGGTTCAGTGATGTTCTTGCCCAGCAATGATGGGCTGATTGAGCAGTCAACATGAAACAGGGCTGTATTTGCTCAACTCAACAAAAATGCTTTTCAAGACATTTTGATGTGATAAAAGGGCTAATATAAAATGCTAGTACGATTGATGAGATGCATCTTTTCTCAAACTATATTACATTCCAGTTCTATGCATCTGAAGTAATCTAAGATTAGATTTACAAAGAATTTACCACATGGAAACAGTCCACTCGACCCAACCAGTCCATGTTTATACTTCACACAGGCCTCCACCCACTTCTTACTCCCCTCCATGTTTTTCTATTCCCCTCTCCTTCATGTGAATGTCTAGCATCCTTTTGAATGCACCTATATTATATGATTCAACCAATGTTTCAGCCAGCAAGTTCCTCAAACTCACTACCCTCTGAAGTAGTTTCCACTAAATTCCCTTTTAGACACCCCCCACACATCCCCTAATCACTAGCTTATACTTCTGTTAGAAAATGCTCAAAAATAAGGCCCTGAAAAGCTGACATTTGAATATTTTTTAAGAGTTTAGTTCTGTAGTCCTAAAGTCAAGATAACCAGTTGAATTTTTAGTAAAAAGGAGCGCCCAATGTTACATTCCCTAGTTGGGTTAAGAAACAGTTAACCTGAAAAATATCAAAATAAAGCTGCTGTAGAAAAACAACTTGAGGATTTACAATAATACTAATCCTTGCATTTGATATACAGCCTTATCACGTCGTTGAGATGGCTCAAAGGGCTTCACAGAATATATTGTAAAGTGGATTGACTGCCAATTGCACACAGATAGCCTTCAATTCAGGATATCTAAAATTCATTCAAATCTTAAGTTGTTGAAATGCAACCTTCAAAAAAAAATTGGCATTATGATGTAGTAATTTAAAAAAAGATTATCAAGCGGTCATCAAAAAAGTTAATTCAAAAAAGAGATATAGTCCCAAATTAGGTTCTTTTGAAAATTCAAGTCAAATGCATTGTGAACACATCAGATGTGCTGAGAGCAGCTAACAGAATTGACATGAAAACCTATTTGCTGAAAATGGAAGGAGTTTTGCTCTGTAAAGTAACTGGCAGAAATTCTCATGGGAGCCACAAGAAATCCTGCTTTAAAAATTCCATCTACACCTGCTGAGTAAATGAGAATTTGAGTAAATGGAAAGTCAATTCTTGACCGATATTTTACAAATTGGGTGATCACAAAAGCACCTACTTTACCAAATTAAAGCACCAACCAACAGCAAAGCAAATTTAATACACAGCTTAATTGTGTTCGTTTACCACAAATCAGATTCCGAAGTGTCCAGAACGTTAAAAATACAGAGGAGATAAAAGTCTCCAAAGCCGAGGTTGAAGCAAAGTACTAGAAAATGTTACACTCAGGCAAGCAATTGCAAACCATAGATATTAATAACTTGTCACCACTACTCAATTCAGATTTTAGGTACTGGCTAGCACCAAGGGCCTTTTAATCACACTGACTGGAAAAGGAAAACAATCAGTAAACGCTGCTGCCCAGTTTGCAAAAGGCCAGAAGCAACAAATCAATGGCTGGTTGTCAATAAGCTCAGCTCTACAGCACCACCAGAACAAACTCCTGGTTATCCAGTGTAAACAGCATCGACTACAAAGCAGGTGTGCAGTTTTCACACCCACAGAAGCAGTTTAGTATCAACAGCAAATTAATCTAACAGACAGTCTGCCCGCTGAAGTGAATGGTGCACAGGAATGTGGCTCCTTATCTCTGGAATAGGTACCTAGTGCAAACCAAAACACCCGAGTATATCTACTAAGCATGCAAGTGATGATTGGAGAAGCTTTTTATCTGAATATACTATTCCATTAGCCCTTGAGAACACGAACATCCAAATGCATACTCCACAAGTCTCCCAGATGATAATAATAATAATAATAATAATCCTTGCATTTGATATAGCGCTTTTCACGTCAGGAGGACGTCCCAAAGCGCTTCACAGAACACACTGTAAAGTGAATTGACTGTATATTTGTGGGCGAACGCGGCAGCCAATTGCGCACAGCAATGTCCCACAAACAGTCGTAGATTGAAAATGACCAATTTAATTATTGTTTTTGGTTTTTTGGAGGGATTATTAGTAGTTAGGGCTGATAGGGCTGAAATTCAAATCTGAGTGGTGAAAACTCAGTGAGTGGAGTACGAAGTACACGCGAAAATCTATTGTACCTTTCATTTGGTTCTTCATCACTCTGCAGAAGGTTATCATCAAGTTCTTCGTCCGATAAATCAGATTGGTTCTAACGAAAGAGGAGGAAGGCAAACGCATTCAGCAAGTAAGGAAACAAAAATGTTATGCTCAAACTGTATCTGCTCATTCTACCTGAAAATTCTTATTCAATCCTTTTTACACTATTCAACCACATTTTGTTCACAACGAGATAACATCTGCTTAAAATGTTCACTCTGTCAGACAAACTCATTCGCAGTAACTGGTTTAGATTTCACAAATAAATTAGTACATACATGTTCCAGCAGTTTTTAAAGTTAGATACTAATGATGGAATCCAGCAGTTTTTATTAATATTAAAAAGGATAAACACAATATGGGAAGAAGGATCGTTAATGATCTGAGTAAACTCACTCGTTTCACAAAAAAAAACGTACCTTTTTGCTTAATCCCCAATCATCACTAAGTAGGTCATCTTCAAGATCACTAAAAGAAACATACAATAATTAGTCTGGGAAATCAATCATTTACTGATCGTCACTGAAAAGGCATTTGAATTGCACAAAGAGAAGACTGAAATTATACACTGCAGACTTGTCAATTATCCTCCAGCAGTCTGACAGATCAAACCAACTTCAACCACTAACATTTTACATAATATCCATTTTTTTCTGGAAGTTTGGGGACGTAAATTGTTATTTAATGCATTTTAATCGCCAATCCCAACCCCCAGCTCCAGTCTGAAACTCTTGACTGTCCAGCGCCTTGGCACATCCTCCAGACATGAAAGATGCTATACAAATGAATTTTGTTGTTCTTGTTGTTTTGTGACAAGCGTGGTAGCCAACTTGCACACAAGTTCCCGCAAAAAGGTGCTGAGGAATTAACAGCTCTCATAATTGAGACACCAAATCCTTCAATTAGATTGCTGCCTTGTAATCATTCCCTGATATTATTTTCCCTATAGATTATTAGGAAATATACAAGCCAACAAAGCAGACAGAGAAAACAAAACTAGGGACAGAAGTTCAAATATTGTGACACATCGGATAATCTCACCCTTCTAATTTTTAATGACAAGCGTGTGGACAGTAAATACATCTACTGTACTCCAGGATGACAGCAATCAATACTCAATTCAATTGGACCTCTTACTCAGCAGTTCTTCAAAGATCTAGCCTGAACATGTAGAGATAAAGGACAAAACATACTAAAATAACTTATTTTTAAATAAAGGGTGCACTTAATAATAATCCTTGCATTTGATATAGCGCCTTATCATGTCTTTGAGACATCTCGAAGCACTTCACAGAATATACTGTGAAGTGAATTGACTGTATATTTTGCAGGTGAAATATTTACAAGAATAATTTAACTTAAAGCCATATTAATGCTGGAGCTGATCACGTTTTTCCAACTAAAAATGTGTTAGGCCAGAAGAGGAAAACATCAATTGTAAAAAGGTTGATTGCTATGCAGCGTAAAAAATTTAATATCGTCCAAGAACAAATTAGATAGATTTCTGTTAGGAAATAATATCTCAGATTCCAGTATTTAGTTTGCATGTAACTACGTCACCTACTTCTCTTAGTGAGAGATAAACTGTGTTCTATCATGTTTACCTCCGAGTTAGGTTATGAGTTCAAGACCCATGTCAGGATTTGAACTCAGTTAGATTGTGTTATACCGTAGCGATATTAATACACTTTTATAGTTAACATGGACATTAAAAATCACACCATTGAAAAAGAGAATTTCTGGAAGAGACCAGGAACATAGGAAAACAGCAGCCTGTTAAATGAATTTATTAAATCTTGGTAGATCTTTTATAAGAAGAATTCTTGCATTTGATATAGCGCCTTATCATGTTACCCCGCATGAAGGGCACTATATGTACACACACATATATACACACACGTAGTTATTATGGTAAACTTGATAATAATTAACTGTGAAATGCTTTGACATTTCTTAAACAGATTCTTTGCGAAGCGGATGTAATATTATGTAAACAGCAGTTTGAGTATTTTTCAAATTACATTTGATACTGACCTTTGAAGGACTAAGCTTGTTGAAACAAATTATGTTTCTCATTCCACGTAGAAAATCTCTATGTCAAATTTCATTGCTTTCCCCAGTTGTTTATATTCCTCTATTGGGTGACTCAAATTTGCTTTGTATAAGTTTTAACATTAATTTTTAGAAGTCATTCTTCTAAATGTTTCCCCTTTTCATTTTGAATTCCACTTATTCAATTTATCATCATGTTCCTTCATTTTGCACAACTAGTTTTTGTAAGTTGTCAAAATAAGCCAATCCACGCACTATCGATTACTATAGCATTCAGACATCTTTCTCCTCCCCACCCTCAACGCAGATGTCAAACAAGGACTGTCAAGTGCCTTGGGACAACAACAACAAATTACATTTGTATAGCGACTTTCACGTCGAGAGGACATCCCAAGGTGTTGGACAGTCAAGGATTTGGGCCCGAGCTGGTGGTTGGGATCAAGAGGAATGGATGCAGGGAGGGTACCAATTGTAGGGTGGCCGAAGGCATGGTCAAAGAGGAGGGTCTTAAGAGGTTCCTTAAAGGAGGCAGAAAGGGAGCGAGGCATAGGGACTGTGGGGTGGAGTGCCAGGGTGTGGGGGCAGAGAGACTGAAGGCCTGCCTGCAGATGGTGGGGTGGGCTGGGAGAGGGACGTAGAGCAGGTCGGAGGCCACTGAGCGGAGGGAACGGACAGGTTGATATGGGGTTAGCAGGTCACAGAGTAGGAAGGAGCAAGATCATAGAGGGCTTTGAAGGCGAGGGAAGGGACAGCCTCCTGACGTGAGAAACGCTATATAAATGTAAATTTGTACTGTATAGCATCGAGTCACAGAGTTACTCCTTTAAAAACTATAGGACTAATTAACAAGACCTGGACCGGCATTTTCAACTTTTTCAGCATGGGTGGACAGCAATTCTCCATCTCTTTTACTGCCCCATCTACTGACAGAAGTTGAGGCCTACATCACAACAATGGACAGCAAATCTTCCAAGAAATACTTACTTCTTGGCAAACTTGCCCAACATTTCATCCTGTCGGGAATCGAACCAAGTTCCTCTCACTTGCAAGGCAAGTGATTAACTATTAAACTACAGGAACAGTGCCTCACAAGCCATTATAATAACCTTTCTAAACCTTAGCTATATATTAAATTCTGTGCATGAATATATATAGAAATACAACAATTGTACAGGTTTTCCAACAATAAGCTTCAAAATATCTGATTAAACTGTAACATTTTACAACTCTTCATTCATGAACTTCTCACATCTGAAAACATAAAAAGGGTTACGTACAACTATTAATAAATCTGTGAAGGATTCAAATACCCAATCTTAACCAATACCAAGGCCATGAAGAAGATATCCCATGTTCTATGATGTGTACCAATTGCTCATCATGCAGTTATCTCAGTTTAAGTACTATCTCATATCATGACACCAATATAAATTGAACAAAGTTGAAAGAATTAATCCTGGAATCCCCAAATGCCGTGAGAATCTAGAATGTAGTATGCAGCTATATCAACAGCAACACACATTCAGTACTTTGATAAACCAGCACTTTCAACGTCAAACTGAACTCTCCAATTACGCAGTCAATTCACTTTACAGTATATTCTGTGAAGTGCTTTGAGACATCTCGAAGATGTGATAAGGCGCTACACCAAATGCAAGGATTATTATTATTATTATCATCTACCTATTTTGTCTTGGAAAATGTACTGGCAGAAGGATGCTATTAATATTCTCCAGGAAGCTCGCAGAGAATTTCTGGTACCTGCTATCCACCGAGTAAGGGCTCAAACCTGCGATGTCAGATGCCAAATGACTAACCATAGACTATGCTCCTTGGGGGGATAATAATCCTTGCATTTTTCTAAAGTACTGCAGATAACAGACCAGCCAACGTGGCTTGTCGGCACGACTTGTGAGGGGCAGACTGGGAGCAGGGTATCTTCCCACTTGGCTAATGTTAACCCTGCGAGCAAAAGCCCAAATGGCTAGGATGGTCCTAGCTGCACAAGCAGTGGCAAGCTGCCAGACAGTTGCATACATAGGTAGTGTGCAAGTGAACGTCAAGCATGAATTGTTAACATCAATTCTACGAGAAAACCAGATGTCCAGGCCAGGAAACATCAGCACTGGTTGAGTGCACAACAATATCCAATTGTCAGATGTCTTGCCTGTTCACTTCATGTAACCACCCATGACTATTGCTACCTCATGAGCTAGAAAAATGATAGGTGTCATGACCATGATGACGATTTATATTTATGTCCGTGGCTAAAACGGCACCACCATTATGAAACACCATTAGACAGACATAGTATGACCATTCTTTTCTACATTTATTGCAATCTAAGACTTAATGATTCAAAATGAAGAGACATTGACATGAGTGTTATGCACCACTGTCAACTTACTATTATCTCAACTCAATTTAAAGATTTCAAGGTTTTGACATTGATCCTGTGTGCTAACAACTCGTACAGCAGTTATAAAACCCAATCATAAGAGTCAACCTTCAGATTACAGTAATTTGAGTGCATTGAGACACCCTCCCGACGTGAAAGGCCCTATACAAATATAATTTTGCATTGTATTTTATATTGTACAATGTCCAGGTCTGTTCTCAGCACCAACAGCATGAGTTTAACATGATCAAATTTACTTGCATCATTGTTTTTACTTCACAAAGACAAGAAACTGTCATAATAAACTAAGATATTCCCAAGATTTCAATGAGATTGATATAAGTCTAAATGAATGCCGTGAAGGAAATTGAAAATTTAACCTTAAGACTTTACTTTTTAGGTTGTCCTGACATTGGATGATCAGTTAATTGGTCAACCCAATTGGTTAATCAGAAACATACTGCGTCGGTCTGTAAAATCCAGGTTGTAATCGAATAATTTAATCCAATTATTTGATGAAATCATGTTGAGACAACGCCCAGTGTATGTTGTGTATATAGCAATTTACTATTTAAAAACTGAAAACTGGTGTTGTTAAATTAGAAATCCAGATAGATATTTGAGAAAAATATTGAAGAGTATGGAAAAGAGGATTTTGGAATACTACCGCTCCAAGGCATTCATCATCCTGACTTGGGGTATACACCAGCATTCCTTCATCATCGCTGGGACAAAATCCTGGAACCTCCTATAATCTATCTCCACCAGCAAGACCGCCAGCTACAAAGACTGCAGTGGTTTTAAGAGAAAGCCACCACCTTCTCAGGGTAACTAGGAATGGCATTCACATCCACAAGCAGAACAACAAAACGTTCCACTACCAGTACAGACCAATTTGCCACCTCCTGAGCTGCAGACCGTCTGCAAACATTCGAAACTAGAATGCTCAATTAGCCTTGGAAATAATGGCAATAAACAGTAGATGATCACTGATCAGAACTTTCAGCAGCAGGTCAAAGGAGGAGTTCCTAAGACCACAAATGTCAAACAGCAGCAGAAAGATATGTTAAAGCAGTTGCACCCAGTGATTATCCTCCACAAAGTTTAAAGGAGAAACTATTACCTCCTTAAGATCGATTACATTTTTTTTCTTTAAATAGTGATTATCAATAGCACTGAGAAAATGGGCTTACAACTGGAGGAGCTAAATGAGTCTAGCAATTTTTAAGCCTGGCCACAAATCTCTTATTTACCTTGAGCTCTATTCTAAATTATATTTCTATCCCTGTTTGGTCATTAACATAAATACATAATACATTGTAGATGATGTATATTAATATTGTAATAAATGAACATGTTATTGAGTTACCTCTCCCAATCATCGTTTTCAGTTCGTCTTCTCCGAGATCGCTCAGCACCAGGTTTATCAACTTGGTCAAATTCATCCTCTATAGAAAGAACAACCAAAGTATTATTGAACAATGTAATGTCTGCACCATATACAAATGTTAGAAACACAAATTTTCTCTTTATTTGTTGTTATACCAAAGCTGACTCAACTGGATTAAAAGCCACCCCAAACCTAAAAATAATATGATATTAACCAACTAAAACGCCCGATTTTCATTCGCAATAAAGCACTACTATGCTTGTTTGTTTCTCTGGTTTTACTCCCAAGTATTTCCCTGTTTTTTTTAAAACTGAAAATTATATTTTGTTTTGCCCACAAAAGATTCACTTTACAGTATATCATATGAAGCGCTATAAAACGTCTCAAAGACGTGATAAGGCGCAATATCAAATGCAAGGATTATTATGATTATTACTTCACTATTTGGTATCCATAAAAATGCATGCTCACTTCCACCAAATAATTTTGAAAGTAAGACCTATGAACAATAGGGTATTTGTACAACAAATGATTAAAATAAATTGTATGATAGGAGGAATTCCAAAGGCTTCAAATCAGCCATAAATTATGGAGTCCATAATAGATTCACGAAGCAGATACACGATATGTGGTAATAAAATATCTGTCCTTTGTACATGCTTTTGAAAACAATTGGACTTAAATTATGAGTCATGAAAACTTGGGTTAGTGAGGTAATATGAAAATAATACCTGAGTTATGCGCAAGTGAAATTCTAATAATTTAATTACAATGCCTCACAAGATGTCTTCAGAATAAATTTTGCTTTTTTCAAAATACATTGTAAAATGAGTGACTGCTCACCAGTGGTCTTCACAACCATCTCTTTGTGAAAGAATCTACAACTGTCAAATTGACATTTATCTCAGCTCAGATATACAGTAACTAAAAACAAGTTTATATTAATATATTTTTAAAATAAACCTTTAATGAAAATCAGTATAGACCTAGTATGCGTAACAGTAGAGAACATTTCAACTCAAGAAACAATCCTTTTGTGACTGGAACTGTCAAGAAGCCTAAGGGTGCTCGAAGACTATTTGCTGAATGACAAATGATCCACAGAATTAATACTTAGTGTTGAGATCATTTGACTTTGGTGTCACTTTTCATTTGATCATGTTGTGAAGCACTGAATCTTTTGCAGACTATATAATGCATCTTCTCTGTACTCGACTGCTGCGAGACTCATGGTGCCTTGATAGAAACCTGGATAGAAACCTCAATAGCCGCTTACATTAAAAGAGTAACTATAGGGTAATTTAGAAAATAACTTGAACTCCTAAAGTGATTTTTGCATTAGAGAACATCTCAAAGCACTTTACAGTCGGAAGGAGGCACGAGTAAGAGGTAGACAATAATAATCTTTGATCCTGCGCCTTTCATGTCAAGAAGACATACCAAAGCGAGTGTCTTGTGGGCAACGGGGAAGCCAATTCGTGCAAAATCCCAAAGATGACCACCAGCTTCGTCAGATTTTTTTAAAATCAAGGTTTTTAAATGCAGGGAGAGAGGGTGCAAGGTGGAGGAATTATAAAATAATAATCCTTGAATTTGGTACAGCACATTTCATTTCAGGACACCCCAAAGCACTTCATACCGTATATAAATATGGAAGATCAAGAGGACAGAGAGAAACAAATCCAGTGGAAGGCCAAGTAAACAATAATAATAATCCTTGCAATTGATACAGAGCCTTATCATGTCTTTGAGATGTCTCAAAGCACTTCACAGAATATACTGCAAAATGAATTGACTGTACATTTTGTCAGCGAAACAAGAGTAGAAAGTAAACATTTGTCAGCCAAAGTCATCAAGACATGGGACAAGCTGGATCCCAGGAAAAAAATCATTTGAGATGGAAATGGATTGCAAATAAGTCTGAAGGGAAAGATCAAAGTACATCTGATAAGTGATATAATACAACAGAATTTGCATTTTCTTTGGTCAGCCAGTTGGCTGACACACGCTTAAACACATCAACATGTTTAAGAGCAGCTCCATTCATCCCACCTTTACAGGTAAATTCTTGATCTTTATTTGAATGGAATGAATGCGCACTTCTCCCTGGAAGGAGCCATCATACTTAACTAATTCCGGAAAGCATATGCTAATAGCTGTCAAGAGCCTACCCTTAGGGACCCCAAAGTTTGTGTGTGTGTGTATGGGGGAGGGGGAGGGGAGATGGGGACTGCTGGAGTCCAACCAGCTAAACCACATAGCTTGCTGTTGACAGCACTGTCTGGCAAGCTTTCCCACTGCTTATCCAGCTTGGATCAACCCAAGCCTTTATGAATAGAAACCACAACTGCACTCTGGAACACTGATGGAGTGCATGCCTCAGTAGTGCTGTTCACCAGCATGAGGAGGGTCAGTTGAAGGATCCTGGACTGGATCTGAAAGTTACTCAACATTCACTAACCCTAACCCTCCCATCATACACAACCCCCTTCCACCACCCTCCCACCAGCCTTTAGGAACTTAGCATTAAAACCGTCCACACCTGCTGTCTTGCCATTATCAAGGCACAGCAGCGCAGAGTCCAGCTCCTCCCAATGTTTTGAGTCGTTAAGACCTTCAATTTGTTCCACACATCCCACCCGGCCATTTGTTTCATCCTCCATGCAGATGGATTTCTGCTACGGCCTATTGGGTCAGACACCAAATCCACATAATGCTTCCTCATCAGTCTGTTGTAGAACACCGGACTTGTCCCAACACTGGAGGGGGCCTCTGGCCCTGACCAATGCCAAACTTCAGCCAGCGGAAGGAAAATTTGGGATCGTTCTTCTGCACTTCACCTCCTCCTGGGGTGATGTAATCCTTTGATACCGACTGATTTCTCTAATAACTTTGCTGGCTTTGTGCCGTGTTATTTTTAGAGCAGTTTTAGCTTGCTCCAAGAAAGTTTCCTAAACTGCTTTAAAGGCCTTTGGTTTCTTCTAATGGCTCTTTCCCTTAGTGGTTACTTTGACAGGGTCCTGCTTCAGGAATGAGTGCCTTTCTGGCCGTAGCTTTAGCTTGGTTAGATGGATCTCCACTACGGCCTGTTGGTTACAGAAGCAAGAAAGTCCTCGGCTATAACGTCAGTCATCGAGTCCGCACTGTCAGCCCTCACACAAAATTGGTCCCATGCTTCACGGTCATCAATACTGCTTGTGTGGCAGAGTACCTTGGCATGATCACTCATAACACAAGGCACACCGATAGCTCTAAACTGACATTCACCACCATACCACAGGGTCAGTATCCTGACCTAGTTCAAGGGTTGGCCTCTCGACACAGAAGATAGACTGGCCAGTGGTTTCCCAGCAATGCCGAACGCAATTGTAGATCATAGGACTTGCCAAACCACTCACCACCAAGTGTGTGAACAAAATACAATCCCCACTTCTTTGATAACATTTTCAATAATCCAAACAGTTCAGAAAAATCAACTAATTACTGTAAAGTGCTTTCAGGAGTTTTGAGACTCTTTCGAATACAAAATGAAGGAGGAAGAGCAGTAGGAATACATTCAATCTCTAAAGCAGTGGGGGCCAATCCTTGGTTTGCAGGGGGCCAACAACAAGAACTAGCCTCGGTGATGCTGCTTCCACCTCACCAGTTAGAAACCTGGGCATCTTGTCCGACACTCAACTGTGCTTTTGCTTTCTCCCCCATAGCCGTGCCATGACCCGCTCTACTTTCCCTCACCTCCATAATATTGCACGACTCCGCGACTGCCTCACCCCTCAGGCCGCCGAAACCCTCAGACACGCAATCATCACCTCAAGGCTCGACTACGGAAACTCTCTCCTTGTTGGCCTCCCAACTCTTGCTTCCACAAGCTGCAGATCATCCAGAACTCTACAGCTTGTGTCCTCTCCCGCACCAGGCTCCGTGATCCCATCACCCTCACCCGGTCCACTGGCTACCCATTCCCCATAGGATAAAATTCAAAATCCTCGCCTCGCTTTCAAGGTCCTCCACGGCTTTGCCCCCTCCTACCTCTCTAACCTGCTGACGTCCTATCAACCTGTCCGCTCCCTCCGTTCAGCAGGCTCCGACCTGCTCCATGTCTCCCTTCCGACCCAGCCTACCATCGGCAGCTGGGCTTTCAGCCTCTCTGCCCTCACCCTTTGGAACTCCAGCCCACAATCCCTGTGCCTTCCTCCCTCTCTTGCCTCCTTCAAGGCACGACTCAAGAGGTTCCTTTCCAACCGTGCCTTCAGCCGCCCTCCTACCTCTCCACCCTCCCTCATCCCAATCCTGCCCCACTACGCTCAGGTCCTGCTTCCCAACTGTTCAGCACCTTTGGGACGTCCTCCCAACGTGAAAGGAGCTTTACCAATGTAATTTTCTTGTTGTTATTTAAAAGTGTGTTTCCAGTTTTTCTCAATTTATGGCATAAGTCTAGAAATATTCAAAGAAGAAAATTGATTTTGCTGGCCAACCATAAAGGTTGGCTACGGGTGCTCTAAAGCCTTGATATCCAAAATAATAATATTCCTTGCATTTGATATAGCATCTTATCACATTGTCAAGTCTCAAAGCGCTTCACAGAATATACTGTAGAGTGAATCGACCGTCTATTTTGTAGGTGAGACGCAACAGCCAATTATGCACAGCAGTGTCCCACAAACAGTCATGGATTGAGTGACCAGATTATTATTTATTACAACCACAAATGACACTTGTATAGCGCCCTTCACAACAAAAAGACGTCCCAGGGTACTGGACAATCGGGGGTTTTGAACCCCCAGCTGGGAATTGGGGGGGGGGGGTCAGGAGGGGTGGATGACAGGGGTGGCCGCAAGCACTGTCGAAGAGGAAGGACTTTGGACAGGACTTGAAGGGAGACAAGCAAGGCTGAGGTTGGATCAGGCGGAGGAGGGATTGCAGGATAAGAGTGTTGGGGCAGAGAGGCTGAAAGCCCTGACGGCCAATTAGTTATTTGGTTGCTGTTGCATCAAACGAGCGCTTGCTTCACCCACCCAAAGAACCATGGCCTCCCCGCCTCTCTCTCCCCCAGTGAGGAAGGTAGAGGTGTGGTGACACCCTGGGCGGGGGGGGTCATGGCCACCGACTCACTGACTTGAAGCCTTGAGGCTGCAGTCAGAGGCCTCTGCTCCCATTTGGACTCACTCACTCACTGACTTGACTTGAGGTCTCTGCTCTTGTTTATCGCTCACGCAGACTTTGGGAGGTTTGGCCTCGGGTTTTTTTTCTCCCTCTTCCGCCCCCCTCCCCCCCCCCACCACCACACACACACACACAAAAATAAATACATTTTAAAAAATATATAATTTGTTTTCATTTCTTGTCTATGAAAAGCTCAGAGTGTTTTCGTTATTTCTTTTTTGCCCGCCTCCTTCCCTCATCCAACCCCCGGGCCTCTCCCTCCTCCCACCCCCCCACAGGCCTCTCCCTCTCCCCCCTCCTCAGGCCTCTCCCTCCCTCAGGCCTTTGCCTCCTCCTCAGGCCTCTCCCTCTCCCTCCCCCCACCCCCCCAGGCCTCTCCCCCCCCCAGGCCTCTCCCCCCCCCCCCAGGCCTCTCCCCCCCAGGCCTCTCCCCCCCAGGCCTCTCCCCCCCAGGCTCTCCCCCTCCCCCCCCCAGGCCTCTCCCCCCCCCAGGCCTCTCCCCCCCCCAGGCCTCTCCCCCTCCCCGCCTCTCCCACCCCACCCCCCCCTCAGGCCAGCGTCCCTCCCTCCCGCTGTGCTCGTGCTGCTGGACTTGTTGTTGCTCTCGAGTCGTTTACCCTGAGCGTCTCTCGCCCTCCCTCCCTCTCTCTCTCTCTCTCTCTCTCACACACACACACACACACACACGAACGTACCTTGCGCCTTGCCGGCCATGGCCTCTGTGTGTGTGTGTGTGTCTGTCTGTCCGTGTCTGTGTCGCTCCTTCTTCCTCAGAGTCTCTCAGTCAGTTGACTGTGGGAGCCGCTCTTACACCACAGGCCCCACTTATCCTCTCCTCTGCTCTGCTCTCTCACACTCAGCGTGGGTGGGTGGGTGGAGCGGGAGGTGAGGAAAGCGAAGGACAAACCAAAAAAAAAATAACAATGATGATAATAATAATAATAATAATCCAGTGGAGAACGAGAGAGAGAGAGCGCGCGCGAGTCACAACATGGCGGCGGCGGCGCCGTCTCTCTCTCTCTCTCCCGCCTCCTCTCCGCACCGCCGAGGATGACGGGATACTGGAGGCCTCGGCGGGTCGGAGCATGCGCACTGGCCAGCCACAGCCACCACCACCCACATGGTCCACAACACCACCACTAACCCACTACTACTACTCATCCTCATCATCATCCTCATCCTCATCATCATCACCATGTTTCCTGCCCCCCCCCCCCAAAAAAAAAAGTTTTTTTTTCAAACAAATAATAAACGTCGGTCGATTCGCTCTACGGCGCTCGTCCCCCGAGAAAGCGCTTTTGAGGCGTCTGGAAGACGCGATCAGGCGCTGCGTCGAGTTGGATGGATTATTGTTGTTGTTGTTGTTGCTGTTATAATAAATGTCATTTTCTCCACCGTGACCAGGGCTCTTTCTGCCTCGTCGTCTTTCTTGACCTCTCTGCTGCCTTTGGCACTGTCGACCATTCTACTCTTCGCCACAGTCATGGTTCTGCCTTTGCCTGGTTTCATTCTTACCAATCCCCACGTCGACCACTTCATATCTGCCAAAGCCTTCTCCTCCCGCTGCCCACCATCATGTGTGGCTTTCCTTGGGACTCTAACCTTGGTCCTCTCTTCAATGTAAACATGCTCCCGCTTGGTGATGGGGTTAACTTCCACATTGTATACAGATGACACCCAACTCCATCTCTCTGCCTCCACCCTCGATTCCAGGATCATTGCAGTTCTGACTGATTGCCTGCTCTCCTGCTTGGCTCAAGTTAGTTGCCTTCTCACCTCAGGAGCTGACAGCACCAATCTACATGGAATGCACACTCCACCTGAGTTATTTGAATGCACTGAAATTGAGATGATTCTTAACAGACTCAATAATGTAATTTTTTTAAAGAAACATTGCATTTTTCAGCCCATATTTTTATTTAAAAATTTAAGTTAATGTGTTCTTATACATTTCAATGTATATTCTGTTTAATTTATGGGGGGGGGGGAGGAATTCCACCCAATTACGTGGTTGTCAGGCCTTCAGCCTCTCTGCCCCCACTGTTTAGAACTCTACCCCACAGACCCTTGGCCTTTCCTTGCCTTTTTCAAGTTCCATGCCAAGACCCTCCTCTTCGACTGCGCCTTTGGTCACCCTCCTACTGCTACCCTCCCTGCCCTCCACCCCTCCTGATCCCAACCCCCAGCTAGAGGCCAGCTTTTTTCCTGCAATCTATTCATGAGGTTTTTTTTCGCAGTAATGATACTAACATGACATAGCACCTTCTACATTTGCCAATATGACAGTGAACTGCTGTACATGGAAACCACTGATTAATAGTCCTGTCAAGACTTACTGATTTTGTGAAAAATAAAATGCAACTATACTGTCTCATTTTAAAAACACAGCTCTATTGACTTCAGTGGCTTGGAAATCCATCTCACTGTTAGCAATCATCTAACCTTGGCAAGTTCGAAACTAGAGTTTGAGTCAGCCTGTCAGCTTAGCTGATACTTTAATAGTGTCTTTTGTAGAATACAGTGTATGATCAAACCTCAGCTGACATATAATGGCATTTGGTACAGTTTTCTTAGCTTGAAACTCTAATGTGTTGTGCCATGATTTTTGGTACAAACAAAATTAAAGTCCTTTTCTGTTGTTTGTTCCTCACTCCCTCCGTCACAACATTGGTGCCGATCCTTCAGCCATTTAGAGCTCTCTTCATCCTTTCGAACTCCATCCCTCAATCCCTCCGCCTCATCCTCTCCCTTGCCTCCTTCAAGACCCATCTCAAGACCCTCTTCTTTGACCATGCTTTTGATTACCGTCCTCCCCCTGCGCTCCGGCTTTCCCAATCCCGAGCCCCAGCTCGGATCCGAAATATCGATTGTCCAGCACCCTGGGACTTCCTCCCGACGTGAAAGGCGCTATACAAATGTAATTTTGCTGCTGTTGTTGTTCAAACCTCTTTGCCTCCCATCCCTTCTTCCTGTCTTCAAAATCCTCTTAAGAATCTTTCAACCATGCTTTTGGTCAACCCTTTTCTGCCAACACAGTACCCCCTTTTATAATTGTTAAGCACTTCAAGACATCATTTTATTTGAAAGGCACTGTATAAGAATAATAACAGTGTGGAGTCCTGTAGCTCAGTGGTTAGAGCACTCGCCATACAAGCGAAAGGATCTGGGTTCGATTCCTGGGCAGGATGAAACGTTGGCCAAGTTTCCTTACTTCACACACCTCTATTTACCCAGCAGTAGTTGATTGGCGGATCACTTTTCTGGGGGTAATAATCCTTTATAAAAAATAAGACCAGTTCCTAAGATTGTATATTGAGTATCATATCAAATGCTCAGGTATGTTAATCGTAAAACGAGCCTTGCTCTGAATGTAATTTACAGTGATGTTGTATCAAGTCTATGGCCAAAAAACAATCAACTGCAAAAAAAAATTCAGACACATAGCTATCTCACCTCATAGCACAACAATGTACAATTGCATTTAGACAGCCAGAACTGAAATGTACAAATATAAAGTGCTGGATTAGATGAATTTCATGATATTATTAATAATAATAATTCTTGCATTTGATATAGCACCTCATCATGTCTTCTTAACATCTCAAAGCGCTTCACAGAATATACTGTAAAGTGAATTGAATGTATATTTTGTTCCCAATCCTCAGTTTAGCTTATTATCATATCTCTGATTTGGAGCACAACGTGATATAGCGGCAACATTTTTATATTTAAACACACAAGAAAAGATTCACCAGTGTTAGCTATTATCACATTTTGGATTCCTTGTGCTACTGAAAGAAAGATCTCAGCTATGGCTATCAAACAAACCTGAAAGCCAAGCTGCCTCCACAGAAACATACTATCGCTGTTATGGATGGAGTGTCGGTAAGGATCGGTAAATGGAGAGTCAGTAAATGTAAATGGGTTTGTGGAACTCTGTGAAGCTGCTGATGGATTCCTTGAATTCTAAATGTTAAATTACAACAATCGTCAGAAACAGATTTGGGCTCCAAATTTCGAACACATCATGAAGATTGTTTTGGAAATTGTGAACTACATGCACTGTACCACAGACAATCCAACAGCTGATTGAAGTCAATGACAAAGATCTCCCTGTACAGTACACTGTGTTTCCAGAGGAACAGTGATCATTTGTTGTTTTGAATCGTTCAATACTGTAAACCTATTCATGGAAGAAGAGGAAAAAGCAAACATTGAACTGACAGATTCTCAGTGGTGTTGGAGATAACCTTTTCATCAGACATGCTGCTGCATCTGTGCAAATTACTTATAAGGAGAGCTGAAGTTGCTATATGAAACTGTCTTTTTTGACCTCAGAAATGAGCTTGGCTGTATAAGACCTATTTTCAAAACAATGACCTGACACACTTCTCATTCCCGATTAAGGCTTTTGAAAATGGTGATGTAGAAGACCAACAGAGCTGCAAGTAACTAACAAGCTCTTCTCCAGTGTCTTCAGGATACTTTTTCAGGATACTTCCATATGTATGCGGATGACATCCAACTCTATCTTTCTGCCTCCACCCTCAACTCCAGGACCACTGCTGTCCTGAGACTGCCCGTCGGACATCAAGTCCTACAGTTGAATGTGAACAAGACTGAGGCTCTCCTGATTGGCTCACGCCAGCGCCTCAGCATCTCAGGCTCTGGCAGCATCAACCTCCATGGTTGCACACTTCAACTCACCAGCCAGTCAGGAACCTCGGTGTCTTGTTCGACCCTCAACTGTCTTTTCTTCCCCACATCCAAGCCATGACCCACTCTGCCTTCCCTCACCTCCGTAACATCGCCCGACTCTGTCACTACCTCACCCCTCAGGCCGCTGAAACTCTTGTTCATGCCTTCATTACCCCCAGGCTCAACTATGCAAATGCCATGCTTGTCAACCTTCCCAACTCCTCCTTCCACAGGCTGCAAATAATCCAGAACTCTGCAGCCCGTGTCCTCTCCCGCACCAAACTCCGTGACCCCATCACTACCACTCTCGCCCGACTCCATTGGCTCCCTATCCTTCAGAGGATCCAGTTCAAGATCCTGGTCCTCACCTACAAAGCCCTCCACAGCCTCACCCCACCCTACCTCTGTGACCTCCTAACCACCTACCAAATCACCCGCTCCCTCCACTCAGCCGGCTCCGGCCTGCTCCACGTTCCCCGACCCACCCGCCATACCATTAGCGGGAGAGCCTTCAGCCACTCTGCCCCCAACCTCTGGAATTCCATCCCCCAATCACTCCGTCTCGCCCCCTCCTTAGCCTCCTTCAAGTCCCACCTCAAGACCCTCCTATTCGAGCATGCTATAGGTCACCCCACTTCCCCTCCCCTCCCTTCTCCCCCCAGACCCCAGCTCGGGTCTGAAATGCTATACACTGGGACATCCTCCCGTCGTGAAAGGTGCTATACAAATGTAATCTTCTTGTTGTTTTGTTCAACAATTTTAAGGTACAGAATTGAAAAGTTCTCCTCCGCTTAGATTTACGGTCAACATTCTAGGCTGCGACAGATTATTTAGAGTTCTGTTTGGTCAGCCTATCTCAGTTGGTACAGTAGAACCTTTCTAATTTCCGAGTTAGAAGATTGTGAGTTCAAATCAGAAACTCATAATCTTGTCTGACACTCCAGTGCAATACTGAAGAACTGTTGTATTGTCAGAGTTGCTGTCTTATGGATGAAACATTGAACGTCTGCCTGTCTTATCTGCCTGTTAAGGTGAACTTTCATGATCCATGACACTATTTGAAGAGAGAAGGGACTTTTTCCTGATATCCCAGCCAACCAGGATAATTGGTCATTCACCTCATAGCTGTTTGTGGGTCTTTGCTGGAACAAATGGCTGCCACTTTTGCCTACAAAAAGTCACTACACTTGACAGCGGTGACCTTTGAGAGGTTTCAATCCGAAAAAGCTCTATAAAAACGCAGGTTCTGTCTTTTTTCTAATTGATGAGGCAGCTTTTCAGTTTGGAAATTACTGAAGTGCAAGAAGATGACAGATTGAAGGCAATTCTGTTTGAATGTCAAAGCAGTGTGCTGTGTGAGAAATATCCGTGAAACAGGATTGCCAGCACTTCATCTGATTTCTACGTTAGTTTCCAGCCATGATTTGCAAATCTCTTTATTTTACCCTTAAACATGTAAAACCCAAGAACAGATTTGTTGCGACTGACACATTTCAAGGTTCTTATCTTCATGCACTACCAAAGTAAAACACAATATTTCAAGAAAATTGTTGGAAACAATGTCAAAAGGCACACTAATGAGAGAGCTTTCAACACAGTTCAAAGGTGTACTTGTATTACCTATAGATAGGTAGAGTGAGAATAGTAGAAATTTTGAAATCCATATTATGCTGATTAGAAATGTACCCTGGTGTGTCAGGAGCGGATCCTTAATCAATACTCTTCCTTCTTAATGCCAACAACAACAACAACTTGCATTTATATCATGCCCCTCATGCAGAGCACTTGCTCATGTCCATGAAACCAGATCGACCACTAATTCCCAGATTTCTGCATTTGACTCCCAGTGAACAGGATTGCGCCTTACTCTTGAGGTTCAGTAAAACCATCTTTAACTAACACATGTATCAAAATACATCTAATCCTAGTTTGCATAGAAAAGCAGTGTGGACATTTTCAGCACGAGAAGGCCATTTGGTTCACTGTGTCTGCCACTACTGTCCCTCCCCACCCACCCACTCTCATATCCCTTAACTTCTTCCATGTCTACGCCTCCAAATCTTATTGAGGACTAGCGAAGCCTTCTAGTCAGCCAACGATACTTCACAATACTGCAACTTTGCCAAGCATGTTGCTTTAGAGCCAATTCATCTCATTTTTACCCTTCCCTCAGGGAATATCTTTGGACAAAGTACTCAGTTAATCACACTCAATAGGATATAAACCCAGAGCTTTATGTTCCCAGGTTCAGTTGAATGTCACAACTGACTGAGCTCAGTAGGCTGGATGTCCCAGATTACTTTGCAATTAGATTATTAAACAAATAAATTGAATAATTGGGATTTCTAGTTCTTCTCACAATTTTCAACAAACTATTTCAGTTGCCAACATTTTTTCCTTCATTTGTCGGTCTGCAACCAACCACAGTACATATATATTGCTATATGATAGAAAACAATAATTACATTAGAATTGTATTGTGGTATGTTTATTTTGTAACAGCTCCCTCTATTGGATGATGAAACATAACATTCAAACCAAGAAGGCATCTTCATGCAGATTACCAGAAAAAAATAATCTGAAATGATTTAAAACTATTGTAATTATGCAGCTAACGATGTGACTGACAAGATTTTGTATTCTTAGAAATGGCAAAGCACAGAAACCGGCCATTCAGCCCAATAAGTGTGTCCCCATCACATTGGTTCTAGCCAGGCTGCACTGGCTCCCTATCGTCGAACGGATCGAGTTCAAGATCGTCACGTTCATTTTCAAATCCCTTCATTCCCTGGCACCTCCCTCCCTCTCCGACCTGCTTAACCCCCAACCCACAACCTGCTGCCTCCGCTCGACTGCCTCCAGCTTCCTGCATGGCTCTTGTGCCCTCCCTTCCACCATTGGTGGCCACGCTTTCAGCCACCATGCCCCGAAACTCTGGAACACTGTTCCTCTATCCCACTGCCTTGCCTCTTCTTTCCCCATCTTCAGGTTGTGCCATTGGCTGTTGGTTGGCAGTTGGCCATTGGGTGGTTGGATGTTGGTTGGCAGTTGACCATTGAGTGGTTGGTCTTTTGTTGGCAGCTGGCCCTTGGCAGTTGAGGCGGGGGGTGAACAGTGACAAACCGGAGCTCATGGCAGTTGGAGGAGGCGGCACGTCAGGGGAATGCACTGTGCGAGGCGTTTGGTTGGCAATGAGGCATTGCCTCCTGACATGAAAGGCGCTATACAAATGTAATGTGTTGTTGTTGACGGTTGGTTGGAGGTTGGTTGGAAGTTGGAGGTTGGTTGGCATTTGGGTGGCAGTTGGGTGGCGGTTGGTTGGAGGGTGGCGGTTGGTTGGAGGTTGACGGTTGGTTGGTTGAAGGTTGGCGGTTGGTTGGTTGAAGGTTGACGGTTGGTTGAAGGTTGGCGGTTGGTTGGTTGAAGGTTGATGGTTGGTTGAAGGTTGGCGGTTGGTTGGGTGAAGGTTGGCGGTTGGTTGGTTGAAGGTTGGCGGTTGGTTGGATGCAGGTTGGTGGTTGGTTGGTTGCAGGTTGGCGGTTGCTTGGTTGCAGGTTGGCGGTTGGTTGGTTGAAGGTTGATCGTTGGTTGAAGGTTGGCGGTTGGTTGATTGAAGGTTGGCGGTTGGTTGGATGTAGGTTGGTGGTTGGTTGAAGGTTGGCGGTTGGTTGGTTGAAGGTTGGCGGTTGGTTGGATGCAGGTTGGTGGTTGGTTGAAGGTTGGCGGTTGGTTGGTTGAAGGTTGGCGGTTGGTTGAAGGTTGGCGGTTGGTTGGTTGAAGGTTGGCGGTTGGTTGGTTGAAGGTTGGTTGTTTGGAGGTTGACGATTGGTTGGTTGGAGGTTGATGGTTGGTTGGTTGGTTGAAGGTTGGCGGTTGGTTGGTTGGCGGTTGGTTGGTTGAAGGTTGGCGGTTGGTTGGTTGAAGGTTGGTTGTTTGGAGGTTGATGGTTGGCTGGATGCAGGTTGGCGGTTGGTTGGTTGCAGGTTGGCGGTTGGTTGGTTGGTGGTTGGTTAGTTGGAGGTTTATTGGTTGGAGGTTAGTTGGAGCCGCACGTCAGGGAGGGAGAGAAGGGGGGGGGGGGGGGTACGTGCGGCGCGGCGCGGCGCGCTGCGTGATGACGTACGGGGGCGGGCGGGCGTGTGCGTACGGACGGACGTCGGTCCGTCCTGAACAGCGTGGCCCGTGGGTGTCAGTGAGGGGAGGAGGTGCCGCCATCGGGAGGCCCGGGGCTCCCCCGCCCTCTGCTGAGCACAGACAGACAGACAGACAGAGACCGAGCAGCGAGGGAGCGAGGGAGACCGACCGACTCCATGTTTAAATAGCAGCGGAGTTAACTCAGAATAAGAGAGAAAGTCAGTCAGAGAGAGAGTGAGAGGGAAAAGTCCGCGCGCGCTCTCTCGCCGTCCGTCCGTCCGTCCGTCCGTCCTGTCAGCTCGAGCGCTCTACAGCTTCGGCTGCGACCGACCGAGTGACCGACCGACCGACCCCACACACTGTGAGAGAAACTTTACACCTCCATCGAGAGAGCGACCGAGTTTATTATTATTATTTTTTTAACCCCCCAAAAAAAACATTTGTCTGTGTGTGTGTGTGTGTGTGTGTGTTGGGGGCCCGAGTTCCCTCGGCTTCTTTGTTTGTTTGTGTTTGTTTGTGTTGGTTTATTTTATCTTTATATATATATTTTTTTTTGGGGGGGGAGAGAAAAAAAGGGTTTTTGTTCCTCTCGTCGTCACCGTCGTGTGTGTCTGTGTGTGACTGTGGGGGTGGGGGTGACTGTGTCTGTGGGGGTGAGGGGGTGACTGTGTGACTGTCTGTGTGTGACTGTGGGGGTGACTGTGTGTGACTGTGTCTGTGTGTGACTGTGGGGGTGGGGGTGACTGTGTCTGTGGGGGTGAGGGGGTGACTGTGTGACTGTGGGGTGGGGGTGACTGTGTCTGTGGGGGTGAGGGGGTGACTGTGTGACTGTCTGTGTGTGGAGACCGTCAAGTCGTGTCGTGAAGCGAGTTGAAGAAGAAAGAGGTCTCCCTCCTCCTTCCTTCCTTTCCTCCTCCTCCCCCCCTCCCCCTCCCTGTCTCCCCCCTCCCCCTCCCTGTCTCCCCCCCCCCGCATCCCCCATGGGCTGGAGTCGGCATCGCGTTATCCTGGCGCTGTTCCTGCTGTTCCTGCAACCGGGTCGAGCTGTGAGGGACCCGGTGCTGTACTGTGGCGGTGAGTGATAAGGATTATTTGTGCGTGTGTGTGTGGGTGGGGGGGGGGTTCGTGTTTGTGTAATGGGTGGGTGGGGGGGAAGGGGGATAGAGGGAGGAAGAGAGAGTGGAGGGGGGGGTGGGGGGCTATTGTATGTGATTGTGATGGGATATGGAGGAGGGGGGGGGGAGTGTGTGTGTGTTGTGGGATATGGGGGAGGGAGGGAGTGGGGGGGGGGGAGAAGAGGGAATGTGTTGATCTGTTATTGGTTGGTTTGTTGCCACTGAGTTAAAGTGACCTGACAATGGGGAGAAAGGCAGGAGGCTGGACCCGAGGGTTTTGTGTGGGGGTGGGGGGTGGTAGTGGTGGGGAGGAGGGGGTCGCATGGGGGGTGGTGGGGGGGGTGGGGGGTGGAAATGCAAGGGTGAGACATTTCTGGAATTTTTTTTTAAAAAAAAAATCCTTCCTGTGCAGCAGGTTGTCCCTTTCTCTCGCACGTGTGTGGCCCAAAATTTGCTGTCTCTCTCTAGATTTTAATTTCCATTTACAAAATGGGGGGGCGGGACGGGCGGGCGGGGGGTGTGAGGGGAGAATTTATATTGTAGTTGAAGTGCAATGAATGCGCTGCTGCTTGGTTTCAATAAGCAGGCGCAGTCAGAGCGTTTACAGTCCAACTTGTGTATTTTGCCTGAGTGTTCGAGGGGAGGGGGCTGGTCTAAACCAAGCCGACGTTGGCCATTTGAATAAGTTCTCGTCAGTTGATCTTTTTCACCCCCCCCCACCCCCGAGCCGCAATATCTTTTGCACTGACTGTCAGAGAAGATTCCGCCCAGGAAAATATGCAGTCAATCCACACTTGACGCTATACTCAAAGGTGCGTTGAGGGGGCTCTATCAAATGCAAGGGTTGTTATTCTATTGCAATGTAGAGCAGCAGCATTTATTTTGCTCAGCCGGGTGCCTTGACACATGTGGAAAACCATCACCGTGCTTAAGAGTATCCAAACCAAGCTGAGGTTTCCATGCGTCCCACCCACACATAGAAATCCCAGAGATAGATTGTTGGAATCGATTCTCCCTAGATGGACGCATCCGGCTTACCTGATTCTGGAAAGTATTAGGCGCAGGTTGGGAAGAACCAAGGTTTGGGGACATCATAGTGTGCGTTGGGGTACTGTTGGAGTCTCACCAGCATAAATTGATATTGATGTCCGGCAAGCATTTCCACAGCTTGTCCATCAAGGACCACTCTACCCATTAGGGTTTTGGCTTAACCTGCAGGATTAACAGGAGCTGAGTGGGATGACTCCCTCCCCCCAATGACTGGTCTGCTCTTCCAGGTTATGCTGATGAGCGAGGTTAGGTTGGCTGTGCTGTCATCAGCAGTGAGTGTCCTGGAATACTGCGGACCTGCCTGGCTCAGGAATCGGACTAGAGACCATGCATGTCCCCTTGGAGCCAGTTCAGAGCCATGGAGATCCTGCTTTGCTCCAAGGAGACCCTGCTTAATAGATGTGAGGTTACATTTAGCATCATTCCTCGGGACAGACACACCACAGTGTCTGAAAACATGACATGTAACTTTTTATTTGTATTGTCCCCTTCTGATTTTATGCCCTTTTGAATCCTCCACCCTTCTGAGGTTATTGTCCAAATTATTTATGCTGCATATTTGAAACTGCCATATCTGTATTGTTCTGTAGACATGGCAATAAGATCAAATCCAAAATTCTACGTGGAAGTATTTTTCTAGAGCGATTTTCTCACCCCTGAATGACTTGCTGGGTAGGCCATTATTTCAGTGGGTATTGAAAATCGACCACACAGTGTGGGTCTCGAGTCGCATGTAAACCAGACCAGGTAAAGGTTTTGTTTAATAGGTCTGAGGTCAAAATCTTGAAAGATTTTCTTTCTTGAAAGTCGGTAGGATTTTTTAAATTGAAATTGCGCAACTGCAGATTCAAATCCATGATCTTTCCGTTGCTGGTTCAGTAGCGTTACCATGAAGGCTACCATCCCCCACTGGCTTTTTTCAGCATTGCCCATTTTTTGAGATGTTTTAAAAAAAATCCTTTAACTGTACCACTTTGTGACCTGAACGCTTCTGCTGTGGCGCTTGGTGCGTAAATTCAGACCGTATGTAAGTAATGGAGCACACTTTTTAAAAAAAAAGTCATTCTGTCAGCACTTCCAGTTACTGCTGGAGTTGTCAGACTCTGCCCCTGTGAAGCGCTCTGGGGCGCTGTGTAAATGCAAGTTGTTGTTGCTGCTGCTGCCTTCAATTTCTGCATGCTGCTCAAGCGTGGAATCTGGCAACCACTCCTGAGAATATTTCCGGTGGTTGCTGCGGCGCTTAGGTGTCGGGAGGCTATGTGTGGAAGTCGGACGGTCATAACCGAAAATGTACTGCAATGCACAGTGCACAAGAGCAAGAATTTTACATTTGTATAACCTCTTTATACCCGCACTTTTCTGAATTGTGAGGCCCGACTGTGATGTGCTCCTGACCTGACTTGCAGGGTTTTTGTGTTTGCCTTCAGTTGATGTATTAAGGCATATTGTAATGGTTACTCAATGCACTGCAGATAATATTTTGTCAATCATTTCCCATAGACGGGTGAGAATTTTCTGATCTTAGTTGGACTTTTGTGGGAAGGTACCAGATGATACAAGGTCATTTCTCGAGAAAAAGGAATGTTGGTTGGCGAGTTACTTCGTTTCTTGCAAATCATACACATGGTCTTAGGTGGGCGCATTACTGCAATTTTGCATTAAACTTTAAAGGCAGAGCAGGTTGACAATCTACCCCTTATATTTTTGTCGTTTCAAGTGGTGATTCTCCCACTAGCATTGCGATTACGTTCCGTGAAACACTGCAGATGTGTAGAACTCTGCTTGCTTCAGTACCAGATAAGCAGCTGGTCACACTTTTGATGCTTCGATCTCAAGTCTTCTTGAAATCGATTCGTGATCGATCAATTGGAATTGAGTATGCATCCTATGTCCTCACGTGCAGATTTCCCAGCAAATATCACTGGACAAGGATCGGGAGCAGGAACTGCTGTCTGGCTGTGGGTTTTTTTTTCTCTCTCTCTCATTCTATGACCTAAGACAATGAGGTTATACTGCTGTCAGGACCACTCTATCTGAGATCAACAAACTTCCTGTGAACCCATTGAATGACCCCACTGAGTCATCAGGTCAACGTTCAATTTATAGAAATATCTGTTATTGGTGCACAATGGATAATTGGCACATATGCATTATGCACGCAAGTTTTTTTTTCTCTCCTTGAATGTAATGTAATAATACAATAATTGTTTTGTCAAATGACTAACTTGTGATTATCCTCCTGCTGGGTGGGGGTTGGGGGGAGAAGAGAAGGTAAATGGGGTCTCCTTGGAGCTGAGTTGGCCCCAAAGTGACAAGTTTGGCAATGGACTGTCAGCATCGCGCCTGCTGTTGTACTCTGAGTAGTCCAGTTCTTGAGCCAGGCAGGTCCGCAGTATTCCAGGGCACTGCTGATGACAACTCAGCCAACCGGGCTCATTGACAGGAGCTGGAAGGGCAGACCAGTCACTATGGGCAAGGACTCATTCCAAGCAGTTCCTATTGAGCCAGCAAGCCAAAGGCTTGATGGTGGTCCTAGGTGAACAAGCAATGGAAAGCTTGCCAGACTATGGCATTATGGCAAGCTATGCAGTTTTAGCTGGTTAGATTCCAACACACACTGGGGAACTCAGGCCTTGGCTCTTGTAATCTGCACCTAATGCTCTCTAGAATTAGGTAAGCCGGAAGTGTGTCTAAGGAGAGAGTGTGCATTCCGTTCCAATAAATATCTCTCGATATCGATTTCCACTTGGGACTCTGTTTGCTTTGGATACTCATAAGCAAGTTGATGAGTTTCCGCGTGTCAGACATCCGGCTGACCCAAAAAATGTACGTTGTTCAGTTTCGTCTGCAAGATACAGGCAATTCACTTTACAGTGTATCCTGTGTAGCACTTGGTGACGTCTCGAAGACGTGATAAGGCACTATGTCAAAGGCAAGGCTTATTAATATTTTCTCAGTTACCAGCCAAGTTTTTTGTTGAATTTTTTAAAAAAATTTGCTGCTGGAATTGTTAATGGAGGGAAGGCAGCAGATGTGGCAATGTTCGGCAAGCACTGCGGTTAAGTTTTAACTAATATTTCTGAGAATTGATTGCAAAGAAAGATGTCCTTCACTATAATTTGTGGCTGTCTTAATTGAGAGATCTAATATACATGGCATTTCAGACCACAAGTTCTTTAGAGTTATCCCAGAGAGGATCGATTTCAAGATCCTCACCCTTGTAATCAAGTCCCGCACTCCTCTGCACACTCTGACCTCCTCTCTCCTCAAAACAGTGCCCGTTGCCTTCATTCCTCCGGGTCTGGCCTCCTCCCGAGTCCTCCGCTCCACCCTCGGTGGCTGTGCCTTCAGCCACTGCGCCCCGAGGCTCTGGAACTGCCTTCCTCACTCCCTTCGTCTCGCTCCCTCCCTTCCCATTTTCAGGTCTCTGCTGAAGACCTTTCTTTTCAATCGCGCCTTTGGTCACCTCCCCCCACCTCCAGGCTCGGCCCTGGGATCCGTTACTGTGAAGCACTCTGAGACGCCGTCCGGCGTGGAGGGCGCTATATAAATCCAAGTTGTTGTTTCCAGCACTGCAGTCTCGAATGCAAGGATGCTACATCATTGTATTTCTCAAATGTCTCCAGTTCTTGAATCCGGTTGTATTTTGTTTTTACCCACAAAATATACAGTCCATTCATTACAATATATTCTGAGAAGCGTTTTGAGACGTCTCAGCGACTTGATAACACTGTGTCAAATGCAAGTATTATTATTTATAGGTTGCGTTTTCAAAGCCAAGATTTTTCACATGATCAGTAAATACCTGTTTTTCCTCTTTCTTCCCCCAAGGTAGCAACTCGTATAGGGGTACAATTCCACAGATATCCTTTACGTCCATCACTTAGATGTTCTTTATATTTGGGTAGCGATGATTAGCGGACATTTTGATTAGGACAATGAAAAATGTCATTTAAATTAAGAAATGGGAATTATTTCAATCTAGTGTTTAAAAATAAAAACAGCTTTGGGTGTTTGAATGGATGTATAATCTGGAGGCTTCTCTTCGCAGTATATACAGCTGCTCAATTCCAGCAAAGGTCACTGGATAGTCATCAGAAGTCGGAAGCTTGGCTTCCTCTTTACCTTTCAATAGCCTGAAAATAAAGCCTGTCTGAAGCTGGATAATTCAGTATAGGCTACAAGCATTTTTAGTTTTTGCTCAGTCATAAGCTGCTTTAACCTGATGCATCAAATGTATTTTTTTAAACCAATGGTGCCCAAAGTTGATCTGTTATTATACGATCTGCCTTGGAAATCCTCTATATATTTCATCACGTACTGTTTTTCTTCCTTCCTCCACCATGCAGTAAAGCTATTATCAAAACACATCTCTCACTTAACTTATTAATGTCATTCGTTTATCAAAATAAAATTTTCTGATTTCTTTCAATACTTTAGCCAGCAGCAGCTAAGTTGAAGTTGTGCAGGATTTTTAAAATTGTGTATGTTTTCCCTCATCCGTGCAATACTATGCTGGTATATTGGGAATACAAGGATATTGCATTGGGCGGGAGGGGGGGGTTCCTTGTTTGACCTGCCGGAAGCTTAAGTTGAACAGAACCCCAAATAAATCTTCCTATTACCTTTTTACTGTTAGTTTGTTTGTTTAGGAACCTTGTCTACATATGTTTTTTTTGTGGGGATTTTATATTTTTGTTTTCCTTTCTGCCCTTGATCTTTCTTGTTTGGAGAGGGAGACGGGAAAGGAAGGACATTAGAACATATGAAATGCCAGACGAAAAAAGACTAACGTCCATCTAGTTCTTCTTGCAGTTTCCTGGCAGTTGCATGTACATATGTCCTGAACTACCTATTCACTGTTACAGGAATAGATGTTGAGTTCCTAACGGGTTATATGGGCCACTTTTTCCAGCTCATTCTGTAAATGGATATTCTGTAAAGTATTCATTTAGGGGCAAGCCTTTATCTGGTGCACGTATTTCAATGTTTTGCCCACGAAATATACAGTCGGTTCACTTTAAATTATATTCTGTGAAGTGCTTTGAAATGTATCAATGATGTGATAAGGTACTGTCTCAAATGCAAGAAAATATTATTTTATTTGAATAATAATATTATTAAAGTTTGAATAAAATGTATCTAGATTGAAGCACAAGGAGGGAATTTTCTTTGTTAGGTACCAGCTTTTGGAAGAGAAGTTAAAACTAAAGTCTGCTTATTCTAGTCGTAAAGCCATGTAAAATTATACAAATTTTTAAAAGTGATTCTTTGCTTGACAGACCTTGGAATTTATAGCATTGAACCCAAAGGAAACAATTCTTGCATCAGCAGTAGAAAATCTTCTTTATAAAGGCTGAGTAAAACTTGCAGATTCCTCTTCTAGTTCTGTTCTTTTGGATCTTTTCCTCAGTGCTTTCAATGAACTATTCAACTATTGCACCATACAACCAGAGTCAACACTAAACAAATGTGCGTGGGAACCAATAAACATTGAACATTTGTTAAAATGGGAAAGGGAAAACAAGTGAAACCACTCCTCATACAAACCACCTCTTTGTGCATAACTCGTTATTTAATTCATAGAAATATCCTAGAAAAACCCCCTGCAATGTTAAAGCTGGTTCGCTGCAGCCACCACACTTAATGTATTAACTGTACACCCTGTTTGTTTTATGACTGACTGCCCTTTTCGCAGCTTATATACATCTGAGGTCTACTGCAAATAGACCATATCTGTTCCATGTATTCCAATGTGACCTACTCTAATTCTAGATAACTTGTAAAGAAAGAAGTAAATTAAATTCAACATTTAGCTGTGTTTAGATGGAGCACCACAGGAGTACTGATATTTGCACAACTTAAGGGCATGGGCTGCAATTGCATAACTTGTGGACATGACTGCATAGCACAAGAGTGAAGTTTCCAATGTTTTAATAGAATCCACAAGTATCACTGGATAGTGAGCTGCTGATCTAGGTGTGTAAAGTTCTGAGTTTGAATCCCTACAGCCTTCACTCATTCAGTGTTTAAAATCAGTATGCCTAAATATACAGGAGGGAGAAGGAAGTTTAATAAATAGGGTCTCTCGAGGGTTAAACTAGTTTCAGGTATACCAGGAAGATCTGCAATAGTCCGAGACATTGTTGACCTCAATGAGATTTACGTTCTTGTGTCCTCAACTCTGTGAGCCAAAGCCCTAACCAGCAGAGCAGTCCCAGCTAGACAAATATAAAACTTGACATTTCTTCATATTTATATGACTTGGCTCAGTGAGAGCACTCTTGCCTCCCAAGTCAGAAGGTTATAGGTTAAATCCCATGCCATTGGTTGGCCCTCACTCATCTAAGATGAAACTATAATGCAGTGCTGGGGGATGGGGGTTGGTTGTCACATTGTCAGAGTTGCCGTCCTTCAATTGAGACATTAAGCCAGGGTCCCGTCTGCTTGTTCAGGTGGATGTTAAAAATCCCATGAAGGGAGTTTCCCCTCAATTCCCCTCTTCCTCCCCCTCCCCCCATCCTCATTGGTCATTCACTTCATGGTTATTTGTTGGATATTACTGTGTGCAATTGTGCTGCTGCATTTGACGGCAAATATACAGTCATTCCTAGTAATGCCTGTAAAGTTGTCCTTCTGACGTGATAAGGCACTATACCAAATGCAAGAATTGTTACTAATAAAATCTCAAATCATTGTCAAATAACCGGTTATGTAGTACTGCTATATTGCTTGATTTTGACTTTGCTTTAATCCTAAATTGGTAGTGATAATTTTAAACCGTGTATGCAATGGGCCATAGTGGGTGTTGTTTATCGCATAGTTACATCCTGAAGTTTTTGCATTTTTATTTTGTGCATTTAATCATTTAAGCCTTTTTAATGGTATTATCAGCAGCTTTTTCAAACAAATTCAGACCACTTTCTAAGAAGAATGTTATTGCTTTGTCTTTACTGCTTTAATCGTTTTAAAAAGTTGAATTTTTTTCATTTGAACTTCTATTTTCATTTAAGTTTGCAGGGGATTAGTAGATGAAATAGAATGGGCAATTAAGAAAGTGGATCCAAAAAAGACAATCCAAGTGGGATCTTACCGAATCGGGCCGGACGGCTCTCAAAAAACAAATGAGGTATGTATACAGTTTCATTATGCACAGTTTATAGCCACTTAACCAAACAGCAGTGGTCCACAAATTCAGTAACCTTAATCATAAGGGGTAATAGACTATAAATTGTATACATCCTTTGGGAACAGAAGTCATCTTTTTTGCAATTTCTTAAATGGACGACAGATATTTGAGCAAGGATTCTTTGCATTCGCTGTAATCTTTGTGAAATACCAGAAAGTGTAGCTACTGCCTCACAGCCAAGGCCAGCAATTTCCTCACTTGGCCTGCGTGTTTGGGGACCTCTAACAGAGGTCGCTGGATAATTAACAGGCGTAGCAATCCTGGCAGATATTATCCTCAACATGGGATGCACAGGCCCATTGTAGTGCCCCAGCGGAGGGCAGGTAGCTGAGCACAGACCGACCGGGTCATTCAATTTGGAAATTTATTGATCATGTGTCTGTGTTGTGTTGTGAGTTTAGTAGAATAGTATCGTATGTGGACGATGTTAATTTTGAAATTATTTAGGATCACTGCTGCTTGACCCCCTTTTCGATTATCAAAATATCTGTTTTGCCGAAGTACGTAAAGGTTGGAGTTTGGATAAAGTTTAGTGGATTGATGCGCTATATCAGTGTCTTTATTTAACATCAATCGAATTTTAAACGTGTTCCATTCTCCGTCGAACCCGTTCCAAACCGATCATGTAAACTTAAAAGAGGCTCAACTTTCCAGTTGTGTAGTTTTGGCTGTTGTGTAGAAGCATCAGTTGTAACATTCCTGAGCGTTCACTTTATTGCCCTCAGTTCTTAGAAGGTTGCACTTATGTAATCTAATGTTTGTGAGGTTTTTGAACAGAGATTCATGTCTGTGCACAATTGGGTACAGCTCGCAAGTTATTTTTTTTTACCAATCTTGAGTCTTTTAGCATGCTTGTCAAAGATTAATACACTTGTTCAGATTTTATTAAAAAATTTCTTGCATTATTGATTTGGTGGAATGTTTTATATGAAAATTGAGATTTGTATTTATTATATAAATAAGTTGCTAATCATTACATATTAATTATTAGCAGCAGGAGGTATCTTAATGGAAACTGTAGCTACTGTGATTTACAATTGAGATTGATGATTTGTAGACAGAATATTCTTTTTCATTGAAATGCCCAGCAATGTCTTAAACCCCCTACTGTTCTGAAATTTGTGGGTCCTGTGGAGTCTAATCAACTTGCCTTTATAACCCTGCGTAGTTTTTTAAAAAAAAAAATGAATTCCAGTTCTCGTCTGGCCTTTCAACTATGGAAGTAAACTCACTGATCCTGGCGTAAAACAAACTCTCTGGCATGATATTGCATTTAAATCTACATTGGTGATTAATTTCACCAGATTCTTACTTCATTTGGAATTGTCTAACTAAACACTAGGGTCAACTTGAGGTTTAACAAACTTGGAAAAATTGAGCTGGTCACTGACAGTCAGTTATAAAGGTCTCAGGTTGAATATAAAAGTAGAATGTCTTGTTTCAATGCAGATGAAATTCAGAACCCCTTTGGAATCAACTTTTGCGTATTCTGGAGGGAATGTCTCAAAATGAGTAATGCAACAACAACAACAAGATTCCATTTATAGAGCGCCTTTCACGTCGGGAGGACATCCCAAGGCGCTGTACAGTTGGGTCAGGACCCGAGCAGGGGGGAAATGGTCAGGGTGAGGGGAGGGAAGGGAGGGAGCGAGGAGGGGGGAGAGAGTCGAGAGGGGAGCTGAAGGCTGAAGGTCAAAGAGTAAGGTCTTGAGACCGGCCTTGAAGGAGGAAAGGGAGGAAGCGGCGAAGGCACTGGGGGATGGAGTTCTAGAGCCTCGGGGCTGAGAGGCTGAAGGCCCGGTCACCGATGTTAGGGCGGGGGATGTGGAGCAGACCGGAGACAGAGGAACGGAGGGTATTTGCTTAATTGTTACTTCCTAGAATTCAGTGTATTGCTGTTTTTTTTTAAAAAAATAAACGCTGGAAGCCTGAAATATAAACAAAAAGACTGATTAGATTCTATTGTCGGTCATACACCTATAATAATAATCCTTGCATTTGATATAGCGCTTTTCACATCTTCTCGACGTCTCAAAGCGCTTCACAGAATAGGCTGTAAAGTGAATTGACCGTATATTTGTGGGCGAAACGCAGCAGCCAATTGCGCACACAGTGTCCCACAAACAGTCGTGGATTGAAAATTACCAATTTATTATTGTTTTTGTTTTTTGGAGGGATTATTATTAGGCTCTGTGTGGAGTAAGGAAACTTGAAACAATTGCATGCCTTTGTTTCTTTGAGGGACTGCTAATTGACTTTTAGTATTGGACCCAGCTGACAAAAAAATCAAAATACAAGGACCTAAGAAAATATTTTATTTTGGTCAGCCGGGTGTCTGACACATGCAGAAACCCATCACCGTGCTTAAGAGTATCCAAATCAGACTGAAACTTCCATGAATCCCACCTTATACTTGGAAATTCCAGCGATGTTTATTGGAATGGAATATATCACCTCTGTGGGCCAGTCTTTAGTTATTGACTGTACTTAGTTATGAGCTGGTCTTGTTGACTTAAGCTACCTTCAGTAATAATGCTTCACAAGATATAGTTTTCACCCTAAAGCTATAATTTCTCTGCCTTTAGACTCTGTAGGCACAGAAACAGACATATGTATAATATTTAGACAGGACATGAACGCATCTTATCAGCACCTGAGGAGTGCTGATAAGATGGGCATTTTTGGGCAGCACCGTACTTTGGATGAGACATTAAATTGAGCCCTGAGATGAGATGTTTGGATCTTCTATCAAATGCATTGATTATTGTGAGGATAGAACATCAACGTCTAGTTTCATGTCTCTACAGCTTCTCAACTTGGTGATTTGTACCAGAGGAACACCATTGGAATGATGAAAAATTATGTAATAACGGTAACATAAAAGCCTGTTAGTTTGTCCTCCCATCTGGCATGACCCTTCCCCTGCTTGTCAGCATGGTAAACTGCCTTTCTGCCTATAACTCTAACAGCAAGAGAGTCGAGGAGCACGTTTGAGAATTGGACTTCCTCCAGCCTTCTCTGTATTCTGAAGCTAATCTTCTTCCAACGAGAATAGACTAGTTTTACATTGCAGAATTCCTGGGCCAGCTCTGCCTCCCAGTAGTACTTCCTAACACAATCTCGCTGTTCAGCTTTAGAAGAGGCTGCTGAGCCGCTCCTTAGGAGGGAGAGGAGTAGAGAACATAGTGTGATAGAGGGGAATTGGAACAAGGAAGAGAAGACAGCAATAACGAGGAGAGCCGATTTACTCATTCCCAGGTTCAAACAACTGCTAATAGACCCGACAGGTGCATACACTACAATTCCTAGGTAGCATTCTAACAAGAGTCTCGTTTGAACAGCCGATAAAATTGCAAAAAGATAATACTTGCAGTGGCTGCTTGTTAATGTAGGCCGACGTTTTTTTTAAGCAGGTGCTTTAAAAAGTTCAGCCTAGAATTTACACATTATCGTCTATTGTTCTGAAGTTTTATTTAGAATGAGTAGGAAGTGATCAAGAGGATATTTCTGTTTTTCTGCCAGATGGTCACTTGAAAATTGTTACTACCATTACTTGTGTATAAAATACCTTTTGTCGCTTCTGCTAGTGGTTTGAAACTAGTTGCCAAGAGGGCAGCATGAAGTCATTTGCCCTCAAATTTGTCTCCTCTTCCCTGTGGGGAGACACCTGGCCTTGTTGAGCATTGCCACATTCCTGAGATCAAGAACTCTGTGGGTGTGAACCTGTATCTCAGCACTCTGTGGCTCCAATATGCTGTGCTTCATGTCACCTTTTTGAGCAATCAAATATGTTGTTGTATTTTTTACTATGTTTTAAGCTGAATTGTGTTATTCACTGTGTGGCTTGATTTCCTGTACCGCTCTCCACCTGGTGAAAGCTCAGACCTGTGCTTGTCAGACATCGAAAGACGAGCTAGCCTTTAGGGGTAAGTTGGCCCCAAAGTGATGTGCCTAGGAATGGAAGATTGGTTGGAGTCTATCTTCTTTGGTGGTCTAGATTGTCCGATACCTGAAGTCAACAGAGGACTGTAACGTCCTGTAGCTCAGTGGTTAGAGCACTCGTGGAGTCCTGTAGCTCAGTACTTAGAGCACTCGTCTCACAAGCGAGAGACCTAGGTTTGATTCCCGGCAGGATGAAATGTTGGGCAAGTTTCCTTACTCCACACGCCTTTGTTTACCGAGCAGTAAGTAGGAACCTGGATGTTAGTTGATTAGTGGATCACTTTTCCAGGGGCAATAATTCTTTCAAAAATAAATAAATTGATGCTGCAGCAGTCAGCAGAGTGCCACAGAGTCAGCCGAGCTTGTGGTAGAGTTTGGAAGGCAGCATTCAGTTTCTGGTCGCCTACAAGCCAAACCCCTAATTGGTAGGATGGTCCTGGCTGGGCAAGCAATAGGAAGCTTACCAGTACTCTGTAGTGGTAAGCTGCACAGTTGTAGCTATTTAAACTCCAGCAGCACTCCCGCAAGCACACTGTGGGGTTCACAAACTTTGATTTTTGCCAACCTCCATCTCAATTCTCCGATATTACGAAAGCAGGAAGTGCTCTGCGATGCTATCCCGCGTGAAGGATGCTATATAAATGCAAGTTGTTGTTGTACTTCTGGGGAGAGAATATGCATTTCGGATCAGACCAATGGACACTGCGCATGTGGAACTATCGGAAGAATTTGATTGGAGACACTTTAAGAATAGTGTTGGCCAATTATTACACACATGGAAAGCTGACTTTAAAAATAACCTAGCAGGGACTTTATAGTTGATTTTATGCCTATCTTGACTCCTAGTATGGGAATTACAGTGTAGATTACACACGTATTGATCATTCCCTCATTTAAATGTTAGATACATTTTTAAAATAGCTCCATATTGTACATGTAGGCTTCCCTGTGAGTACAGCCAACGTGGGTTGTAAATTGAGTCACATAGAGCAGGGTTC